TTAAGCTGAGACCAAGCATTTAGCACATGGACCTTGTAGGATATTCCAGATCCAAGCTCTATCACTGGGTCATAATGATAACTCTATAACTTTTTAACTTTCTGAGTTAAACAGAGCAGAACTTTTCCATGACAGCTATACCATTTTTACAGTTATAACAAGGCATATTTTTACCCATATTTTACATTTGTGGAAACTGAGGCTACTAATTTGTGACTTTACCAGGTCAAAAGCTAGGATTTGACTCTTAAGAGTAGGCACTTGGCTTTTGGAGAGGCAGGGATCTAGGAGAGGGGTGGTTTGTGACATCAACCCTCCCTCTACTAGGGTGTCACTAGGGTGGACAGGAGCCCTAGTGAATGTGTCCCCCACCCATGCTGTACCTCCAGCTCAACAGACCTAGCCGACAAGGTCTTCTGGGGCAGCTGGGTCATGGCATGTGGACTCTTGAGGGTGGGTAGGGGTGTAGTGGAAACAGGCCTAGGGCCTGAGGATAAGCAGCAAGAAGTGTGGAAGGTGGTTGTGGACATCTCTGGTAGATGCCCTGGCTGTAGTGCCTTTTTTTCCCCTCTCCTGTGGGCCAGTAGGCAGTGGACAAGTGTGTGGGATGCTAAGCTCTTAGGGTGTGCTCCCCTCTTTGAAGAGAAGTTCTTGTCTTGCCTCCCCCTCCCACTTGCTCTCCCCCTGGTTAAATGACCTTCAGCCTGTAACAGCTCTGCTGTCCTAGGTGGCACAATGTGGAAAACAGAAGAAGACCAGAGGCTTCAGATGGCTGGAGGGCTGGGCAGGGACTTAAGCCTGTAACTGCCACATAGTAGTATTGGCTAGCTTACAGCCAACCATTTCTCCCCGCCCCCCATCTCTCTCTCTCTCTCTCTCTCAGGGGGACAAGCAAATCTAGGTGAAACTTAGCCTCTTAGGAGACCTGGCTTGCTAACCTCTGGAGGTGTGGAACTAGGACAGGAGCTTGTTGGAGCAGGCCTCTTGCTGACCCTATCAGAGGCAGCTTTTCCCTCTGCCTGAATTTGGGTTACAGCCTAGATATTTGCCCTTGCTCTCTTGAATGAATCTGCTGTAGCTTTTTGTGCAGGAGATATGGCAGAGTAGCTAAGGGCTAGCTGCAGAGCCAGGGGTTTGGGTTTGAATCCTGGGACTGCCACTTCCCAGCACAGTTACTTGCTAGCATTGTGAACTTGGATGAATTACTTAGCTTCTTGGTACTTTCTTCTCTGTCTGTGGAATGGGGATAATGGTGGTTGCCTGCCTTACAGGGTTGTGGGAGTGTTCAAGAAGATGCAAGGAAGGGCTTGGACCAGGGCCATGTTCAGGGTGAGCAGCACTGCTGATGCTTGCTCCCTTGAACAAGCACTGTTGAGATTTGTGAGGAGCTGTTTTCTTAAGCAGGTTGTTAGTGTGTACCTGGACCTGCTGTCCAAGAGCACTGTTGGAAGTGCAACATAGATAACAGTTTTAAAAGTTGATACCAGGTCTTTATACTGCTGGTGGGAATGTCAGATGCAGCCACTTTGGAAAATAGCCTGGCAGTTTCTCATAGAGTTAAACATACAGTTCCCATGGGATCCAGCAGTTCTGCTTCTTAGGAACCCACCCAAGAGCATGAGGGCATGTCTACAAACACTTGCTTGTTCCTAACAGCCTCATAGTGGAAACAACTTGGGTTGTTTCCACTGTCAGTAGGTGAGTTGATAAACAAAATATGGCACATCCACACAGTGGACTGTTACTCAACACTAAAAGGAATAAAATACTACCACAAGCTGCAGGGGGCTAAACCTTTATAGTGCACTGAAGGAGAAAAGAAGCCACCAGGCACAAAAAGTTGTATACCGTATGATTCCATTTATCTGAAGTATCCAGAAAAAGTAAGTCTTCAGAGGCATACAGCAGATTAATGGCTAGGGATGGATAGAAAGAAGTGATTGCTAATGGTCTGAATTTTTTAGGGGTGTGATGAGAATGTTTCGCAATTTCTGTATAACTGTGAGCATGCTAAAAGCCATTGAGTTGTACTCTGTAAATAGGTGAATTATATCTCAATAAAGCTGTTATTAAAAAGAAAAGCTAACAGTGGAGTTAACTAAAAATGAGACCATCTAATTTTGGAGCAGAGAATTTTTCTCCCACCTTTTTTGGAAGATCCATGAGTTGATTGGGCTTTGGAACCATAGTCTTTCCTTTATTCTGCAACATACTGTTTGTCATCTTTGCATGTGCTGTAAGATTGGGTAATGCCCACCTCAAACAATATTGAAGGGACCATTGGGCAGATTACATTTGTGAGATCTTGACATATAGGTCATAAATGAGCACTAATTTCCTTCAGTCCTGCCCTAGTGTATGTCTTTGCCTTTTATTGTCACTTTTGAAATCCTTTTTGGAAGGATTGCACACCCTCATTTCACACACAAGGAAACTAAGGCCCATATCGGTGAAGAGGTTGTGGGTCTTCCTTAGCTCTGAGTTAGTGAGGCTGAAACCATGACTATGTCCAGCTGCAATGCAGGGTCTTTGGCTGGTGGCTGAGTGCCCAGCAGAAACAACTGTGCAAGAGGGAAGAGCAGGCCTGCTGGGACAATGAACAGCTTGGTAATGCCAAACTATGGAATTTTCATCTCAAAGAGAACCCAGTGGATAGTCTTCCACCACCACCCCTTTTTTTTTTTTTTTTTTTTTTTGGTGGGACTAGGGTTTGAACTCAGGGCTTTGTGCTTGGAAAGCAGGCACTCTACCACTTGAGCCATACCTCCTGTTCAGGTGATCCCTTGAGAAGAAAATACTAAGACTTTCTATTGATATATTATACATCCCCATTTAACTGTCTTTGTGTGCATAGTGTATGTGTTACATTTTATAATCTGTTGATACCATGGCACAGATCTATAACTTACCAAGGGCATGTGCCGTCAGCATTTTGAGACATTGGGCCCAAGGGTTGGGTAGAAATCGAGCAGCAGGAAAGAAGAGATTCCCTGAAAAATTCCCTCTATGATCACTCCTGATTCACTGCATGGGTTTATTTTGCTCAGTCCTCACAATGGCCATGGCATTAGTTTTTTCTTCTGCTTCAGAGAGGAGGTGTGCCCTGTCCAGGGACAGGCAGCATTTCCTCTTATGGTGGTGGAGGTCCAGCTCCAAGGGGACATTTTGGCCGAAGGGAGTTCAGAGGGGCACACTGGACAAAGCCCAGGATTAAGACTTCTATTGACTAGAATAAGGGATTGGAGCTGGGGAGAGGAGGCAGAAAGGGTTAAGTTTCCTGCCCTGGGCCTCCCTAGCCAGAAGGTGGTAGGGACTTGGATATAGGCAGGAAGGGGTCTGAGGTCACCATCTGTGCCCAAGGAGCCCCCTCTGCTTGGCTGTGGGACAGCCCCACCTGGCTCCCTTTCCCAGCTAGAGAAACACCTGTGGGCTGCTGCACTGATGAGAGCCAGGCTGGGCTTGACTAAGGCCTCTCCTGGACCAGCCTGAGGCAGGTACACTGTGAACATGGACCCCAAGGTGCATGCTTTTTGCCACAGAAGCAGAGGTTCCCTGTGAGTCCAGCCTTTGCCCTGCATTCTGAGCTGGGTGTGGTGTTAGATTAAGCTCGCAGGCCCACAAGGAAAGGGTCCTGGGAGCCTGGAAGACAGCTGGTGAGGGTCATGTGTGGGTGAGGACTCTGCCATCCTGGTGGCCTCCCCATCCTGTTTGTGCCTGTGGCAAGCATCAGGGATGTGGAGGCGGGTGGCAGGCAGGGTAGAGGAGCTCACAGGTTGGCCTGATGGTGGTAACAGGAAAATTACACTCAATTTGGTCAGAGGGGGTCTGGGGAAGTCCTGCCTAACCTGTGTTTTGGCAGATGAAGCAAGTAGAAGTGTGTGTATGTGGGTTGTTCTGAGTTCAGTGTAGGTTCAGGCCTGCCTTCTGCTTTCAAATGAAACCAGCAGGGAGCTGGGAGCTGGATGGTGGTAAGCATGGATGGACAGAGCTGTAGGAGGCAGGCCTACTGTCAGCTGCCCCAATTGCCACCATTTGCTTCTTTTCCAAATTTAAGCTTCATGCATTTGCTGCTTCACCAGGAATGAGGCCAATCAAGTGGTAGGCTCTCTGGTAGCTTGGTGAAGAAGCTGGGGCTGCCCCGTAGGGGGCAAATAAACTGGTGGCCTGCCCTTCCGTGGCCTTGAGGGCAGGTTCTGCTGCTGTTCTTTCTTGTGGGAACTGATAATTCTAGGGAAATGTGGTAGAGTCAGGTCCTGGCTCCTTGTTATGGTGGGAGTCACAGAGTCCTTGTCTGCCTACATGTTTGGAGGTGTGTATGAGGCAGTGTGAGGCTAGAGGACACAAAGGCTAACACATCATCTTTAGAAAGCCCTTTTCATCAAGCCCCTCACCTCAGTGTGACTTTCTTGAAGCCTTCCTTTCCTGTTTTTGGTTTTTTGTCTCTCATTTCAGTGTCTTAAGAGCTTTTGCTATTAAGGGAAAAAAAAGTTACTGCTTGTTGAGTCAGACCCAGCCAGGCATTCTCAGGCAGGTGTGGGTGGGTCCCTGGTTCCACACCCCCCAGCCCCACACAGAGTTCAAGGATGTGGATCTGGTCTAGCTTGCTCTTTACATCTCAAAACAAACAAACAGCATTGCTATTTTGAATCTACCTCCTTTGAGCCTTTTCTCGCAAACTATACTCTGGGAGCAGAATCTTGGCTGCCTCTGTCCACCTACCAGCTGTCCTTATTGAGCTGTCCCCTTCCTGTCCTCCCTCTCTGCTGCCCCTGTCCCTTCCTCTAGTGCAAGCTGGGATATTATTCTCCAAATAGGAAGTGAAGTCCAGCTGGGTGTTCACTGAAAAAATCCAACCTGCCCAGTCTTCCCTGGGAGAGTGGGCAGGAAGTAGAGCTTCGAGAGCAGAGGGTCTGGCATGGCCAGGGGCTGTGGGACCCAGCACCACCTCTTTCGGATTCTTTTCTCCTGTCTCTGAGTGACTGCCCATCTTGCTGTTACAGCCCACCACCCTTCCACAGGGCACCATCAACATGAACCAGTGCACAGACGTGGTGGATGGGGAGGGCCGCACCGGGCAGAAATTCTCCCTCTGTATTCTGACGCCTGAGAAGGAGCATTTCATCAGGGCAGAGACCAAGGAGATCATCAGCGGGTGAGTTGCCCAGAGTTGTAGGGGGTGCCATCAGTGGGGCCATGGGCCAGTTCAACTACATCATTGTCATTTACCTTCTCAAAGGGTTCTTCCTCTGAGCTCCCTGTCTCTTCAGCACTGCTGCATTCACACTTGCCAGGGCTCCATTCCTGTGCCTTACACTTACACCATCCACACGCTCGTTAAGCCCACCCCTGACAGACTCCAGGGCCCCCATGTCATCTTCAGGCCTCTTCATTGGTTTCCCCACCTCCACATATCCTCACACCACCCCTTTACCCGACTCTTGCCAAAACTCTCCATTCATGGGCAGGTCATAGTTGCTTAGACCCTATGAGGCCCTTCCCAGATCTGCAGCCCCCAAACTGCCCCATGCATCAGTGGTACTAAGCTTCACATGCTGCTCTTGACCTTCCCTCAGTCCTGAATGACCTCTGTTTCCTCCAGACTGTTCAGGGTGTGCCAGCCCTTCTGGGGAGCATGTCTCATACAGTGCTGAAAGCTCTGGATGATCCATATTCACGTGTGTTTTCCTCAGTGACAGCCCTTGAGCATGGAGGTGTCTGCCACATACACAAGCCATGCTGCTGCCATTGCAGGGGCTGGCTTATTTGTCCCAGGGAAAACACTGTCAATCCTCCTACTCACCCCATTTCCCTATGTAGTTTCAGGGGAAGCCCTGAGAAGTGGAGTGAAGTCCAGGTTATGAAACCTGGCAGTCCTGAGGGACATGAGCCCCATGCTCTGGAGCCTCAGAGAGCTCCCAGTCCAACAGCAGGGCATCTGTCACCAAGACTTCCCAATGTGAGGTACATGGTACGTGCCTTGAGCACGTATAGGTCTTGCTGGAGCTCTGGGAATGAATCTCAGAGACTCCCACTTGTCCTTTAAGGCTGGAAGGGGGCAGATGCGCTTGAGGCTTTGGAAGAAAGCAGATTTGGGGAGTTGAGGGGAACAGGCTGGTGTTTATAGAGCAGTAGAGGGAACTGGGGGAATGAAGCCCTTTGCTTGACAGATGCAGCATTGCCTAACTTTAACCTCTCAGCTGCAGTCCTGGCCAGGCTGTGAAGGAGGTTGGACAGGACCAGCACTGGCCAGGGGATGCCCCCTGCTGGGTGGCAATGAGGTAGTAATTAAATTGGAGGAGCACTTTGTGTCTTTCCTTGAGTTTAACCTAGAACCATGGGATCTAAGGGTATCCAGTGCTTTTAAAGAACCCTCACTATACAGCGAAGAGCTTAAAGGCCTAAAAGCAGTTGTTGCCAAGAGTACTCTCCAGGTGGGGATGACCATCTGCATTTCCTACTTGCATCTGCTGTCACTGCCTGTTTTAGCCATACATACTTGGCCTAAATGGATCCCCTAGGGAACCTTGCCCTCCTAGGCTGGGTCTCAGAGAAAGCTTGGATTATAACCTTGGATGAAAAGGGATCTGAGGTATCTGGGTAAATATCATGGGTCAGTGGTACCATGTGGTTTGGAGAGGGTGATGTGTAGTATTTGACCCATCTATCTGACTGTTAACTCCAGGGTCCTCTTGTTCTCCTCTGTTGTCTCTTCTCTTGGCATGTACAGGACCTGCTCTACATAGAGCTTGGGTAGACATAGTCAGTAGCAGACTAAGGGACCAGGCACATGTGGCCTTGGGATCCTGTGTGTGGGCTGGGTGCTTCATGGGGCTGAGGCTTGTATAGTGGCTTAGTGACATAGCCACAGCTGGATGTGACCAGCTGAGGTCTTCCCCTGGGCCTTGGAGCTTCTCTCCTGTCCCAAGCAGCAACTTCCTCACTTTCCCCACATGCTGGGACCCTCAGCCCCTATGGGAGTCAGACATGGCACATGTGTCCTGGGGACAGGTGCTGCTGCATCCATCTTCTCCATCTCCTTTGGTCCTTGTAGGTAGCTCCTTCCCTCAGTGCCCTCCACAACCGCCTCTGCTTGTCATGGTTCCTCATCTGTGGGCTCTGGTCACAACAAAGACTGATTCCTAAGGAGGTACAGACACTTCTGCCGGGCTAGCTGGGAGGGAGCAGGGTCATTGGGACCATCCCACTCAGCCTTTTTCCCTGGTTCTTCTCTGAGCGGTCTGAGATGGTGCATATCTCCCAGGGCTGAGTGGAGGAAGTGGGCAGGAGGGATTTCCAGGCCTCAGAGGCACATTCCACATAGCTCTTTAAGAGGAGATAGCATAGGATAAAGTAGGCAAGCAGGGCTCATCTGCTCTGCAGCCGGGCTGGAGGCTGGACTTCCATTCTCCCTACCTTGCTGTCAGCTCTGTCTGCTCCCCCATTCTTTCACCCAGCTCTGCCTTTTGGAGTTGGGCAGCCCTGGCACTCATCAATCCCATGCTCACATTCACCCCTACCCCTCTTCACTGGTTTGTTTTTATTAACATTTGTAACACATCTGGATAATAACATCAAAGACTTCCTCCTGGGCTTCCATGAGAAATCCACTTGCAGAAGACACATTCCATCACCTGTCCCTGACGCAATATCTCCGACACCAGTTACAATGGCACAACAAACACTTCCCTGCCACCCGTGGCTCCTCCCAAATCCCAGCCTAGTAGTGCTTGGCAACTCTGTTCAGTCAGTGGTGCTGCCTGCCCAGAGAGTCAGCCCTTTCCTTTTCCCTCAAGGCCCTGCCCTGCATGGCTCCATGGTGTTGTCAACAAGTGGCTCCTGCAGGGCTTAGGGTACCCAGAAGGTTTTGCAACATCTGCCAGGCTCCCCCACACATCTGGGGCCCTGGGGGAGTGGAGTAACCTTGGCCTAGGAATCTGGTAAAGTTGTAGGGGCGGCCCTCTGGAGGCCCAGATCTTCAGGCAGTAGAAACATCAGCCACCATGGACAGCTGGAAGGGAATCCCCACCAGCATTGTAAACTCTGAGAGCAACATCCTCTCTCAGTGGCCTCTGTTCCCAAGGAGTAAGCAGGAAAAGAAGGACTAGGGCTTAGAAGCTCACCTCTCTGCTGGCTTTACAGATACACTTGCACCCTTTTTTTCTTACTTTGGGGCCATGGAGATGTGACTGGCAGGACCAATGACACAGGCCTTTGTACCCTTAGCAAGTTGAGTATTACTGACCATGGGCTAAGCTGGGCTCAGGGTAGCCCTGGTTCAGTCACTAGGGCTCCCTGTACTAACTCTAGCTTCACCAACTACCAGCTGTCAACACCCTTGAGGCTGTACCAGAAAGCCACTGACTGCCCCATTCTCCCTCCCACAGCAACCTCAAATTAAAGAAGCACTTCAGGTACCCTTCATTTGCCCCAAGGAGCCCGCTGAGTGTAGTGATGCAGCCACCTCACCCCAGGCCTAGGCTCAGTAGGAAGCCTGGTGCTCCAGGAAGGTGTAGACCAGTGTGATTCCTTTCCTTCTGAGAGAGAACACTGGATATCTTGTCCACCTGCCAAGGGCTGGAGCTGGGCTCCAGAGGCAGGCCTCTCCTAGCCTCCACAGATCAGTCCCTTTGTCCTTATAAAATTCTGGGCAGTGGGAAAAGCAGTGTTCATGTCCTGGCCTGATCTAGGTCCTGATTTCAGAAATGAGGAGAGAGCAGCCTCAAGGGACTAAAAGCACTTGAGGCTTTGGCCAGAGGGTGACAGAACCAGATTTGGGATCCTGGTCTCTTGCCTGTAGTCCCCTCTTTCTCCATGGTCTCTGACCTGGCCCAGAGTATCCCTTCCAGTATTTAAGCCCTAGTAGGAGAGGGTCTCTCTGGGCAGCTCTGCCTGGTCATCCCCAAAGCTGGGTGTCCATTGCCCTCCCTGGGTAGTGGGTAGTTAACTGCTCACCCTTGAGGTGACCTATCATGGGGAACTTAGCTAGCACAACTCCTGGTTTTCTCTTTGGGGGGCCAGCATCTGTCTTGATAGCCCTAACTAGCTTCCAGTTACTGCCCATCTGTGCTTGCCAAATCTACTCTGGGCAGGCAGTTTTAGAGTCAATTATGAGACAGTGATGTGTCCTCATGCCCCAAGGCCTGTGGTTAGGCCTGCCTCTTTGCCAGAGTGGAGCCTGTACCATGCCCTGAGTCTGTGGTGGCCATAGCAGAGTCATTGACTGGCCTGGTCCTGGCATAACCTGTGCCTCTCCTGGCCCGCTCTGTAGCATGGCCTGGCTCATCTGTGGTACCTTTCATCAGGAATAATGTTCTGCCCTGCTCAGTGCCTGGAGGTCTGGCCACTGGATGAGTATTTTCAGGCAGGAGGCATAGGACCTAGGACTTGGTACACCCCACCAAGATCATGGTTCCCAAGAGCCAGGGTCTTACCTGATGCTGTCTGCTTCCCTCTCCCCAGGTGGCTAGAGATGCTTATGGTCTATCCCAGGACCAATAAGCAGAACCAAAAGAAGAAACGGAAAGTGGAGCCACCCACCCCACAGGTAGGCATTCCTCCCAGTGGGGCTAGGGTCTGGGATGAAGTGAGGGCACCTTCAGGTTAGAGACTGAGGAAGGTGTCAGGCCAAAGTCAAGGCAGTCATGCCCTGCATACCTTCTCCTACCTGTCTACACTCTGGGGGCCACAGTGCACACCATCCTCTCTGACCTACTGGGTGACCTGCTGGCATGCCCTGGAGCTGTCTGAGGGAGGGTTTTGAACAGCAAGCAAGTGCCCAGCAATGGCATGTGTCCCCTTCCCTGGCCATTCTTTATATTGGCCTCTGTGGTAGACTACCTGTTGTATACTCCTTTGCTGCCATAGCCCCAGGCACCAGGCTGGGTGTCAGGGAAGAACTCAGGAGTATCCCTGCCCCGACTCTATCCCTGGCCAGAGTTGGTTGGCCAGGGTGTTTCTTCCAGGCCCAATTCTACCCCTCAGTCTCTGTCCTTCTGTCTCTGGTCAGCATGTGGGGACTCAGGGCAGGAAGAGCTCTGTCTTTCCATCCCTGCCATACTTTTCATATTCCTAGGCCCTAGGGGAGTGAGGAAACCTTTCAAGCTAATTTGCAACACAGTCCTGTTGATAACTAATTGCTAGGGTGCTTGTGGGTATTAAAGGAAACATTACGCCCATAATGGGGGCTCAGTGAATGTTAATCCTTTCCTCTCTGTGCTGCCTTCACTATGTACGTCTGCCTATGTTGAATCAAGCCTCCCAGCCCTCCTGAGAGTGAGGTGGAGGAGGTGGGGTCCTTTGGGCATAGCAAGGCCAGAGGCCTGAGGAAGTAAAGAGAGCCAGTCTGAGGCAGAATCCTGTGCCCTTGAGGTTATGCAGTTCTCGCAGGCTTCTCTGCCTCACTGTGTTGCAGAGGTGGGATAAGCAGCAAGTGGGCAAATTGTGCTGATCTGGGTCCTCTCCCCCATAGTTTTGGGCATCCATCCTTCTTCCCCTCCCTCCCTGAAGGGCGCCATGCCAAACTTCTGTGGACGGGAGATGTCCCTGGTTAGAAGTCAGCAAAACATGTAATCAGAGCTGTTCCTGGAGACCGAAAAACGGAGCACCCTGCTGGGGAGCAGCAGTTAATGTGCAAATCGCCAGAAGCTGTCTGGTTTGAGAGGAAACAGCATTTAGGGTTATGCCTCATTTCCATGATGATGCCTTGGAAACAGTTCAGTGCAGTGAGGAGCTTCTGCCTCCAAATAAGGTAACTCCATGTACAGGAGACATTCTGGGGCAGGTCAGGGAATTTGGCCATGTCCCCTCCCTTGTGACCTTCATCTTCCACCCCACACCTCTGCCCCTTAAATGGAGCTGCTTGTGACCAGGCTCCCACTTGTCAGTAAAAGATGCCATGTGGTCCCATGGCAGGGAGTATCTGTTAGAGCCCCACCTTCCTCCATCCCGTGCCCAGAAAGCTGGCCTGATAGGGTCTCTCACTTTTCTGCCACTTGATCCCCAGCATCCCTTTGGCTGCTCATTTCCAAAGTTTGTAATTTCCATCAGGGCCCACTTTCCCCAAATGGCATGTGGGGTATCCTGGGTCCTCTGCAGAGGAGGATGAAGACTGTTGGGTTGGGGTCTCTAGGGAGGACACCTGATGCCAAAGGCATTCAAGTGACCCAGAGTGGTCGGGTGCTAGTGGCTCACATCTGTAATCCTAGCTACTTAGGAGGCAGAAATCAGGATAGCGGTTCGAGGCCATGAAAAAGGTCTGATGGAGTGGCTCAAGTGGTAAAACACCTGCCTAGCATGTGTGAGGCCCTGAGTTCAAACCCCAGTACTGGGGGAAAAAAAAATAGTGACTCAGGGTGGGGCTGCAGAGTGACTTGAGGCCTTGGTCCCTTATAGAGGCTGGACCAGAGATCCCCATCTCTGGCTTTTTTCCCTTGGCTCTGTGCAGACCCAGGAGAGTTTCACATTGGACCACTGAGGGCTGGGAATCTTGGTCTCTGCTGAGTCCATTTAGCCTCTGCTTAGCCCTGGAAGAACTCAGATGAAAGAGCCAATGGCCCAACTCTAGAAGGTGGGACAATAAATTGGACTGCAGGGCAAGCAGGCAGCCATTTGGTTGGGAAGGGGTTCCCCATAGGGCCTAGAGCAGAAGAGACAGACCCAGCCCTGCCAGTTCTACAACCTATAGCTGGAGTGGCATGGGCTCCAGGGAGCTGCTGCATACTTGGCCTTATGCAACTGAGGAGAGGCCCTAGAGCAGGGGGAAATTCTAGTCCACTCAGGTGTGGCCAGGGCAGAAGTCCCTTCCAGGCATGCAACCCAAGAGATCTGTTGGTCCAGTGGAGCCCCAGGAAGCTGCCTCCTCCTCTCTACCAGCTCCCAGGCTCTGGGCTCTTTGCAGAGACCAGTACAACAGATGGCCTGCCCTTGCTCATGCATATATTGAGAGGTACTTTTCCTTTCCTAGGAGTCTTCTGTTGGAAGACTCCCTACTCCAAGGCAGGGCCCTCCCTTCCCATGGGGTCCCATGTTGCATTTTCATTCCAGGGAAGTAGAGAGACAGGCCTTCTTTGACACCCTTTCAGAGAGGGAGCCCATTTCCTGTTTCCTCAGACTTTGAAAACCTTTTCTGAGCAGCTCTAATGAACAGTATTTCAGCCTTCATTTGGGGTCCTGGTCATCAGGGACCTGGCACGAAAACCTAGGCATTTTTGCTGCTTCTTGACCCAGGCTAGCACAAGCAGTGTGAGCCCTAGCTGCCTCCCACACTGTGGAGAGTGGAAGCGCCCCCAAAGCCTAGGCCTGGCCCTAGGCTCATACCTGCTCAAAAGAAAAGCATCTCTGCCCAAGGATGGGGACCCTTTCCTGTCCCCTGGAAGACTGTGGCTTTGCCTCTGTTGCCCCATTGTGTAGAGGCAGGAGAAAGATCTCCAAAGGAAAAAGAGCAGATCTTGGGTACACATCAGGATCTACTTTTCCTGGGATGAGGATGGGGAAACTCCTTCTCTATATCTATCTACCTTGTGGATTGTAGATGGCAGTGAACTTAGCCCAGAGGTATATCCTTTTCCCTCACCCTGTTCCAGCCCCCTGATTTGTGTCTAAAGTACCTGAGAGTCTAGGAACAGTAGACTTTGAGCCAGTTCCTGTGGGCTTGCCCTTGACGCCTGGACCACTCCACTATTCTGGGTGCCATCTGGCTATGTGGATAGGAGAGCTTGCCCATGTTTGGTTACAGGGCTCTGGCAGAAACATGGGCTCTTCCTCTGTGTATTTGCCAGGATGATCTAAGGCCCCTTGGATTTAGGCACTGTGGGACACAGGTGGAAAGGCCACAGAGCCAATGGGAAGTTGCTTCCCCTCTGTTCCAAGTATTTTATTCTGGGACTCCTCAGACCCCAATCTGTAGTTGACCTGATGCCTCCTGAATCTGGGCAGCCAGTACTTGTGAGCCAGCATAGGCTGGGTGTTCTTATGCCCCACTGTCTTTCCAGGAGCCCGGGCCTGCCAAGGTGACTGTTACAAGCAGTAGCAGCAGCAGCATCCCCAGTGCAGAGAAAGTCCCCACCACCAAGTCCACACTCTGGCAGGAAGAAATGAGGGCCAAGGACCAACCTGATGGGAGCAGCATGAGTCCTGCTCAGAGCCCCAACCAGAGTCAGCCTCCTGCTGCTACCTCCCTGCGGGAACCAGGGTTAGAGAGCAAAGAAGGTGAGTAGTGGCTGGTTGGCTTGAGTGCCCTGTCTTGCAATACTGGAATGGGCCTCCACCCCAGTGAATTGGAACTGATAATGGGGACCTGGTGCAGGGCCCACAGAGCCTCGTCATGGACTCTGGATCTCTCTCCCTTTGTGTATTAGCTCTAGACAGTACCCCACTTGGCATAGATTCAGATTCCTGGGCACTGGGTTCCCAGCCTTGTCCTTTTAGCTCTTACCTATCATTTGTGAAGGAGGAAGACGGCATCTGCTGTCAGCTCCAGGTGGTGTCAGGAGAATCAAAACCACTCTGATGTATGAGAAGGCCCCTGTCCTTGCACTGTGTGCAGACAGGTTTGCCTGCCTGCTTATTTGGCTGAGAGGGATCTGGGTTAGTGGGAGAGGTAAAGAAAAAATGTATGGGTAGACGTTTCTTTCCCACCCATGGTTCTTTCCCTCCAACTCTGCCCTGACAATCCTGACTAGATGCTGGAGTCGGAAGATGGAGAGATGGCCTCAGTTTGATTCTATATGAGCTTTTGAACCATCCTCATGGCAGAGTTAGTACCAGTCTGAGTGTGCCTCCTCCCCTTCTTTCTTCCAGAGGACAGCACCATGAGTGGTGACCGTCTGGACTGCAGCCGCAAGGTGCGGGTAGAGAGCGGTTACTTCTCCCTGGAGAAGGCCAAGCAGGACCTGAAAGTGGAGGAGCAGCTGCCTCTGCCGCTCTCCCCGCCCAGCCCCAGCACCCCTAACAGCAGGTATAGTTGCCCTGAGTCGCCTTTCCAGGAGCTCGGCCACCCCCTTCACTCCTCAGGTCCTCGAGCCCCCAGCCGAATGGTTTGCAGCATCTCCCTCAGCAGCTTGGGCGAGGCCATCCGGCCCACCACCCACGAAGATTCCAACAGTGCTGGGGGGCGGGGAACAGAGAGACTGGGGAGCGCCTTTGCCTTTAAAGCCAGCAGGCAGTATGCCGCCCTGGCCGACGTCCCTAAGGCCATCAGGATCAGCCACCGAGAAGCCTTCCAGATGGAGAGAAGGCGATTGGAGCGTAGGACTCGGGCCCGGAGCCCTGGCAGGGAAGAGGTGGCCCGTCTGTTTGGCAACGAGCGGAGGTAAGGAGGTTAGAGGGCTAAACATACCAAAGGTGGTGCACATATGGTACTCATGCATACACATTCACACACGTGCTTCCTCACTTCCTCTGGAGAGACACTTTGTGTTCAGAGTGTGGGCCACCTTCCCCTTTGGGCCCTGGACTGTAGCCTGGAAGCCAGCTGCTGTGGAGTACTGTCTCCTAGGACTGGGACTTTTAGTGCCCCTGGAGGTTCTCAGCTGCTTGGGGTTTGTGGGGCTGGATCTTGTCCTTCCTGACCCACTTCTGTTGTCTCAGGTGACCCTGGAGGCTGTAAGACTCCAGAGCTTCAGGTGGGGACAGCCTTCCTCACCTCAGCAGTCCCAGGGTGGGCAGAGAACGCTGAGAAGTTGTCAGGGTAGATATCTGTACCCAGGAAGGTGGGGACAGCACAGGTCCCTCTCTTGAGGATGCACAAGGCAGCCTGTGAAGCTCCTGAATGCCTCATAGCATCCCTTTTGCTCTCTTGGCTTGGCTGAAATGGGGAGACAGAGCAGAGGCCCAGCTTCTTCTTTGGGAAGAGATGTGGTCTGGAAAGCCAGGCTGAAGGTAGAGAGATAGAACTCCCTGCTTGCTGTCTGAGAAGAGGAGGCTCTTGCCTGCCTGGCCTGAGCTTCCTAAGAACTGGAGAGGATTCCACCTGAGGCTGCCAAGCCCAGACCTGGTCAGACCCTTGAGTGCCCTTCTAAGGGACTCTGCCTGCATCTGTCAGCAGGGACTTTGCCTCAGGGCTCCTTGCCCTGCACTGGGACAGACTTCTAGAGGCCTGTGACCCTCCTCCAGGACAGTTAGAAATTATATAAGTACATTTTTCTGAGAAGAAAATTCATAGTTTTCATTGAGTTTCCAAAGAGGTTCACTGTCCAGAAAAGAGATTCAGTCTTAAATTCCACAAGTGTTACAGTGACCTCCCTGTCCCCAGCCCAGAGGTTTCCAGGGCAGGGGAAGGTGGCATGAATTCCTGTCCCTTAAAAGGATGAGTTAGAGGAGACATTTCTGCCTCCTGATCTTTTTGAATTCAGAGCCTCTTCTTGCCTAGGCAAGGTGCTCGATATTTTGAGCCACATCTCCAGTCCTTCTTTGCTTTTAATTTTTTGTTCAGATAGAGTTTCAAGCTCATTTTGCTTAGGCCTGCCTCAGACAGTGATCCTCCTGCCTCTGCCTCCTTAGTAGCTGGAATTACAGGCATATGCCACCAAGCCTGGCCTTCCTGTCCCCTTTTCTTAACCATGGTTAGCTGCCAGCCCACACACTTGTCAAGATGTCCCAGACAAAAGTTCTTATGCACCCTTAGGTCAATCTCCAGGATAAGGGAAGCTGCCCAGAGTAAGGTGCCCCATACTCTGTTGGTCTTGAGAAGAGAAGAGAGGAAATTGCTTATCTATTTTCTAGGGAGAGGCAGGAGATTTTGAGGGTTGCTGCCCACCAGGTGACCCTAGGCTCTTGGCTGTCCTCATGTTCCGTTAGTGGCTCAACAAGATCCCTGCCTGTTATTGCCACCCTCAATGTGATGTGAAAGCCAAGGATCAGAAATAGGGTGATCTCTTAGGATGAACAGCTGAGGGGCTCTTAATGACAAGTCCCTACTACCATTATGTGCCCCAGGACAAGGGCCAGAGCATTCTCTCAAGCATTTAAGTTTACAAATAAGTAAAGGTTTGTGCTAGCAATTGAGGAAGTTGGCAGAGCGAGCAGGGGAGGCTTTGCACTGGCTGGTGGGCAGGCTGTGTGTTGTGGTGGCTCCAGAATGGGATCAACTATGCCCTGGGTTAGTGGCAGACCACAGAATTAACATTTTGCACACTTGCTTGGCTTGGCCGCTTCTCTGACAGATTAATTTTGAATTTATTCTTGCCTACCTGCCTGGGATAGATGCAGTCTCTGGGGCTTTGCTCTTGCATGATCTTTGCCACCATGAGAATAGTTTCACTTGTATTGGCACCCTGAGACTCCCTTCTTCTGCCTACTAACCCTGTAACTGTTCCTTTTTCACTGATCCTAATCACCTCTGACTGGCTGCTGATGCTCTCTTAGGCCCACTCACCGGATCCCGAGTAGGCCACCCTTGCTGAACTGGATCCTGTCCCCTGGTAGGTTAGTGCAATCTCCTGAATGGCAGGAAATCAGCCACAGCTGCCTTGAGTGGTGGCCAGGCAGCTGGAACCATGGAGTCGGTTTCTTGACAAGCCTCAGCTAAACTAATAAGCTGCCCTGTCTGAGTACAACTGGCTCTGGGCTTGAGTGTCTGCTCTTCAGACTTCTACAGCCTTTGCACATGTTTCTTGGATAGCAAGTCATCTCTGGCTACTGAGTGTGGGGAAGCGATGGTCTGCTGGTGATTGATCACAAGGCTAGCCTCCCACTCAGTTCTTCTGTGGGGTCAGCACACTGGGAACTGGGTGTTGCAGCAGGCATATGTTTTCAGTGCCCCCTGAGTGATGTGCCTGCTGTCACACTTCCTACCCTACACAATGAACCGTACAGAGCTTGCCTAAGTCTGAGGTTTCAGTATCTCCTAGGGTCCATGTGGAGTAGCTGTAGCAGGTGCCTGCCTGTTTTCTGCTCTGACTCCTCTGCCTGGAGCCTTGGGAGGCCTGCAGCATGTGTTTCAGCCCAGCACAGTACTCACTGCTCTTCTGAGGCTTTCCAGGTCCCCAAGTCAGACAGAAGGGCTCTTAGGCCAAAAGGAAGCAGCAGTACTAAGGCCTGTCAGTGCCAGATCCTACAATGTCAGTTTGGCCATTCTGGGTGCCTCAGCTGCATTTATAAAGCTTTCCTTTGTGCCTGATAACCTGGCAGCTTCTTAGCTTCCTGCTCTCACAGTCTGCTTCCTATCCTACTCCCCTTAGCACCACCTTCTCTGCAGGTGCAACAGGCTGGCCTAGCATGTTTCCCTTCCAAAGAAGATGCTGTGGGTGGAAGCAGAGGGCCCAAGTGCCATCTGAGCTCTGCCTGTGGCATTCTGCCTCTGTTGGAAGGGGCCTGTGTAGGTTGATATGCTAGTCCCTGAGGAAAGTCTCCCTGTTCCCTCCCTCTTCCTCTTCCTCTTCCTTTTCCTTGTATAATAGGTTTTAGACTTCTGGGTGGGGGAACCTGCATTGCTTCCCCTTAGCTCAAGCCACTTGTCCAGAACTCTGCATAAGGAGACAAGGTATTCCCAGAAGAATAAGCCCTGGGTCCAGTGAGAAGGGCACTGCTCTCCTGACAAGTTTTAAGTCCAGATTCCAAGCCCCCTGGTGGGCAGTCCTCAGCCTTCCTGCCTAACCCTTCCGCGGTGACTCCTCAGGCTGGGATGATCATGGATTTTCTCCCTCTTTAGCAATCTTCTTGGGTTTTTGCTGCTTTAATTCTTTGAATAATTTTGATTTACCATTATTTGATTTTTAAAAGCAGTCCTTTTCTGTTCATTCATTTTCCAGCCTTGTTTTCTTTCAGGTCTTGCCCTCTCCGCCCTCTGCTGTGTCGCTGTGGCGTTCGCGCCTCCTCCACCCGCTTCGCTCCCATCTCAGCTCCGTCTCAGCGGCAGACCACCTGATGAGGCTACCGGCCCTTTCACATGAAATCAACCTGCTTTGTTTTTGTTTTAATTTATTTTTTGATTCCTTTTAACTGTTGGCAGAAACAATGTTAATTCATGGGCCTCTTTCTTGCTAAATTTTGGGTACCCTGGGGTGGGTACCCATGATTGTGGGAGGATGCAGTGTGTGCAGAGGTGGTAGTTGTCCTTTGATTGTGTCTGTGGTTGAGGGCAACTACCAGGTGCCAAGCTGTGTGAGTGCCATGTGGGTCAACATGAATGAACCTGCAGGACCTCCAGTGTGGGGGCTGGGCTAGGTATAGGCCTGGCAGGAGAAAACTGTGCCCTGAGCTCCTTTAGCCAACCAACTATGAAGGGTGCGCAGATGGAATTCATGTTGACTGAGTCTGTGCTCGAAGCCTGGTCAGTGCTGGGTGATGCTTCACACACCTGATGGAAGCTGGAGGAAGCTGGCACAGGGTCCCAGCTGGGTGGGCCAGGCATGGGGAGGCAGCTACAGGAACCACTGCTCAACTCAAAATCAAGTCCACATTGGGAACATGGGACTCTCAGACCTCAGCAGCTTCATATCCTCTCTTGTAGGAGGTCACAGGTAATTGAGAAATTCGAGGCCTTGGACATTGAGAAAGCAGAGCACATGGAGACCAACACATCGGCCATGCCTTCCCCATCAAGCGATACTCGCCAGGGCCGCAGTGAGAAGAGGGCCTTCCCTAGGAAGCGGGTGAGCTTCTGGGGTTGGAACACTAACGTTCAGATGGGGCACCAAGGGGTGGCTTGGGGTCTGGTCAGCACACTACCCCACAGGCTCCATGTTCCCCACACACAGGGACACACTTCTGCCAGGCCTCCACTCTGATCTCTTCCAGTTAGTGAGCCCTTTGAGGGACAGCTTGTCTTCTGCATCTTCCTTCTAGAACTTCATCCTTCTCTGCTAGAGGATGCTTAAATGAAGTTTAGATATCAGGACATAACTAGCATGTTCTCTTCCTCTCTGGGGCAGCCCAGCAACAAGGTTGAACATCACACCTTTCTTTCTTCATGTCTTTCAAGTGCAGCTGTACCCTCAGTTCTCTGCTCAGTTCATGAGTTCTACCAGCCTCAGCAGTCCTCCTCCTCCCCAGTATGCACCCACCCACCTACCTCTTCTGTGGACTGCTTGCTGTGCCTGAGTCCTTCTTCCCTGGCTTCTCTTATTCATGAGATGCCTGCTGACTCTTTTGTGACCCAAGAAGCTGGAGAATGGGGTGGGGTCAGAACAGTGATGGTGACTGGTCATCCAAAAGGAAAAGCTGCTCTATTGGCCAGGGTATTCCAGGACCTAAGTTGTCCTAGACAGAGTGCTGCCCCTCAGTGGGAGCAAGGCCCCTTCCTGCACTAGGAGGGATGGACGACCACCCGGCTGGCTAACCCTGCACCTGTCCAAGCTGCTCCAGGCTGTACTGATAGGCGGCTGCTCTCTGCCACAGGACTTCACCAGCGAAGCCCCCACAGTTGCTCTCTCAGATGCCTCGGCCTCCCCCCTGTCTCCACACCGAAGAGCCAAGTCACTGGACAGGAGGTCCACGGAGTCCTCCATGACGGTGAGCCCAGGCCATGCGCCAAGTTCTCTGGAGATCTGCTGCTGCTGCTGCTTCTGTCCACTCTGGGCCACTGTCTGTCTGTGTCCATGTGTGCACACTGGCCGTTCCCTGTGCACAGCCCTCGTGTCTGTGAGTGCCCAACCTGCTGGCCTGCAGTCCATCAGAAGCAGATCTTGTTTCTTCCCATCCTGGGCTCAGCAGAACTGGGGCTGCATGGAGCCCTGAGCACCCTGTGGAGGTCCCTACCCAGGAAGTCACTTTGGCCATGTCAGGGAACCCTGACTTTGGGAGTTAGGAACACAGCAGGACCCTCTGCTCTTCTGGTTTTGGGTGTTTGTTTTTGTGGCACTATGGAATAGGAGCCACATCCTGGGAATTTGTCCTATTCAAGGTTATGCCATGGGAGAAAGCAGGCCTTGCCCAGGTTCTCCCACTGGGCACGGAGCTGCAACGGAGGCAGTTTGGCAGGAGTGGGCAGAGCTAGGGGCATGGGTCACCTTGGCATGCTGGCCCGGCTCTTCTGCGCTCCATCTCCAGTCTCCTGAGGAGACTGCTCTCACTCTCCAGCTCTTACCTCCCAGGCAGAGCAGTTTATCTGTGAACTCAGCTGATAGCTACTGTCCCCAGCAGCCACCAGAGACCCAAGAGAAAAGACAAGCAGGAACCCACCTGTACCATTCCCTGGGGCAGGCTTGGCTGCAGTGATACAACCACTGCAGAAAGCTTTAAGAGTCTTTATTAGTGACAGATCCATAGCTTGGCAGGGTAGGCAGAGAAGCAGAAAGCAGCCCTTTGTCTCAGGTCTCTTGCAGCAACAACAGCTGTGTGCACCAAAGAGGAACTTCCTTTCTTTTAGGGTCTCTGGACTGAAGTGTTCTAATTTCTTTGTTACTTCCTACTGCCACTTCAAACAACTCTGGTGGAAGGGCAGTCTGTTTTGAAGTGGTGTTAAAGCAGGACTCCACAGAGTGACTTCTTATCCATTGTGGTCAGATTGGGTCAGGCCACTATGGTCTCTCCATGACAGAGCAGAAAGTCCAGAACCTCCATGTTGGTGTTGTCTTGCCTCTTCTCACCTGTTCTTCTAACTCCCTCCATGTCCTTGGAACACTAAAAAGCATCAAAACCAGTTTCTGATCAGGACAGCAGTAGAAAAGCAGAGTGTGCCTGGGGCTACAGAAAAGATGACTGGGGTCTGTGAAATCTGGCCACACAGGTGTCAGATGAGGGCCTCATCTGGGTGAGATGCAGGTATCTTAATGCAACAGGTTTTTAGGCTGTTCCTCAGCCCCAGGTATGTCTGAGTGGGACAGGTAGAAAGGGATAAACAGACAGCATCCCACTCCTTTCTGTCTGCTGTCCTGCTTCTCCTGGGGAATGGAGACTGAATTTCCTCCTGATGGAGGAGTGGTCTGCAGGTCTGGGCAGGACTATTACTGCTGCTTCCTCCACATCAGACACTGTCTCTGCTTCCAGGCTTCTGTGGCTTCAGTCTTCCTACAGCTCTTGCAAGAGTCTCTGAATTCTCCTTTCAGTAATCGCTATAGATGTTTCCCCTTCACATACAGTACCCAGGGACTCTACGTCTGGACCCGTGTTCTGCCCCCAGGCAGGCTGTGCGGTGGGCCCTGTGCAGGTCAGAGCAGGGATCTCAAGGCAGCTGGGCAGCTCATGCTCCTGCTGGGCTAGTGAGGCCATGCTACCTCCCTTTACCTAGCATCTCCTTCCTCAAGGACCTGCGTGCCTATGGGCAGCATCACTGGGACATGGAAAAGGGGTAGAGGAGGGATGGTCAGGCTTGTCTGGCAGGGAGAAAAACCTCATTCTTGGTGCCCACTTCATCTGGATAAAAATGTTAGCCCTTCAGACATGCTTTATTCTCAACTGAGACACCATGAGGCTTTCCTCTGAGCCATTCTTTTCTCTTTTTTTCTCAGCCTGACCTGCTGAATTTCAAGAAAGGCTGGCTGACCAAGCAGTATGAGGATGGCCAGGTGAGTGTGTAGAGCTGCTGTGGGCTTGAGAGTTGGGGATCTGGCCTTGTCCCCAGCAGGGTCAAAATGAACCCTGACTCCATCTTCCTCCCTCCTGCACGTACTTGTCTTGTGGACCAGGACTATGGCAGGATCCCCACTTGCTCAGTGATAGAGGTGCACAGCCCCCATTGCCACAGTGGTACAACATCTCTCAGCCTCAGGCCTGGGTGCATCCTACAACATCTCACAATATTAGCCCCTACCGGTGTGATCTTTTTTAAAGCTCTCCAGGAACTCAGGCTTTCCCAGGAACAGGGAGGCCTCTGTCCTGTGGGTTTGGCTGATATTCCCATACAAGGCAGCCAAGTCATTTAGAGCTGCAAGACCCTTGTGAGATGAAGCTCAGCTACAGTGAGATGAGGCCCCAGAGGTAGCACATGGGATACATTCTTGCCATTAAATTTAAGCAGGAAGAACCATTTGTGGTTGGGCCTGCTAATCCGACCTTGACCATGACCTGTTGGCTAGAAGCCCATGCCTCCAAAGGAGGCCTGTAAAGGAGCCGCTGGGTCCTTACTCTAGAGGTCCTTAAACCTGGCCATCCCAGCTCCTCCTACTTTCTGAGTCTGTGCGAAAACATCCTCTGTTTCTCTCTCCTTCCTCCCCAAATGCCTTTGGTCTTGCCTGAAGACTCAAGTTCCCCTCCTTGCTACTCACAGTGAAGATTGGGACTCTGGCGGGTTAGTTTACTCATGCTGGTGTAGTAGGTTGCACCCCTCTGGTGAGCCAGCCGAGTGGCTGTGGCTCTCAACACCCTTTTCACAGCCACCTTTATGTGTAATAATCTCAGCTATTGTCTTCAGCCTCTGGAATCAGAACAGAGGCCTGCAGAGCACTGGTCACTAGCCATGCCACCATAGGTCACAGAGCCCAGCCGAGGCCCACCCCACTCTCTGCTGCCTCTTCACAGAGAAGCTGCAGCTTAGCAAGTTTCCCCAAGGTTGTGAATGCATGGCTACCTGCTGTCTGTCTGCCCCACGGGGTCCAGCCTGTTCTCTGCTTTACCTTTGCTCTTGGAAGGCCCCAGGATTTGGTTGTAGGTCACCCTGGAGTGGCAAGTGTACTGCTACTGCTTAATAGTTAAGTTTATTTTTCTTTGCTTTTAGTGGAAGAAGCATTGGTTTGTTCTGGCTGATCAGAGCCTAAGATACTACAGGGACTCTGTGGCTGAGGAGGTGAGTGTCCTAGTTTCATCCCTCTGCAGAGACAACTGCAGGTACAGTTGAAGTCCCTCAGCCTGTAGAAGGGTGTCCTTGCCTTTTTGGGTGTCCCAATTTCAAACTGATAGGAGTCTGGGAGTCTGAGTGTAACCATACACAGGCAGTGGTGCCTGTGACATTGTGGTCTTCTGAGGTTCTGTTTAGGTATCAGGGTACAGTGGACTTCAGCAGCTTCTATTTTTTCTGTTCTTTAAAGAACACTGAAATTTGAACACTTGGTATAAGCAATCTTTTTATCTACAAAGAGAATTTTTGTGGCGAATTGAGTTGTTGGAAGAATTGAACTAAGTCTTGTCCCAGGTTTTGAGGATGAGGATGGGATGCTATGGATGAACTTGGTTGAGCCCCTTGGCAGTCCTAATTCTAGGATGGAAGACCAACCAAAAGGGACTCTCTTTTTCACCTTACTCCTCCCCCGCAAAATCTCTTGAACAATCTGCCAAGTCTACATGTTATGTTTTCCCTGGTAATTCCACTCTTGTACTCTTCAGATCACACCACATGTCTAGAAAAGATCTCGGTTTCACATCTTTCACAGCCATTTCCACACCTTTATACTAGGAGGTGGGAAAGAATCTAAATACACACTGTTAGGGGCTGGCTTATGGTTTTAAATACTCTGAACCCCCTGAATCAACTGAAGAAGATGTTGTGATAAGTGTGGGTGACAGGCAGGCTCTGTTGTGTCTGAAATCAGGAATAAGAGTGCGTCTAATGAAGTGTTTGCTGTTAGTGCACACAGTGATTATGACTGGACCTGAGTCCCTTTCAGGAGAACTGTGGTGGTCAAACTGTTTATAATAAAACTTTTTTCACTGTTAACATCTGTACTGATGATACAAAAGCAATGGTAGGTAAAACCACTTGGTACAGACTGCAGCCATACCAGTGGTCACTGTATTTGCACTGCCACACAGTCATGGTATTTAAAAACAACAATAAAAAGGTCGTTGGTGGGGTAGTAAAGTCCCAGCCTTTGAATGCCAGTCTTTTTTGTGTTCTGTAATTTTGTAGAGTCAGTCACTCAGCTATATCCCAGAGCCTGTATGCTATCTTGTGAGAGCATACTTGCGAGATTGTTGAGTTGCTGCCTGAACTACTCATTTCTTTGTGAAATACCATTGGTGCTTGACAAACAAACTGTGGTCATTTGTTTTGGGGATTTTCATGAAAATGAACCAAGAGACTATCCCTTCAAGGAAAACAATTGGCATAATTTGAATTTTTAAGAAAAATTTAGTGTAGGTGCAAGTAGCTTGCTACTCTGTAGGCTGAGGCTGGAAGATTGCTAGTGCTCAACAGCCTGAGCCAACCTGGACAACACAGCAAGACCCTACCTCAAAAAAAGAAAAGAGATTTCTTTTTTTGAGCTACCGGTGGAGTAGCTCAAGCAGCAGAGTGCCTGCCTAGCAAGTGTGAGGCTCTGAGTTCAAACCTCAGTACCACCAATAAAGAAAAAGAAAAAAATTAGAACTTTAGAAAATTTATCTTTACCATCATGAACTATAGACTCTCCTGATGAAATAGGTGGTGATTTAACAAACATGGTATTTTGATTCTGCACAATGAATTGTGTAGACATTTGGAATCTATGCATAACCTAGTACTTTGTAAGTGACCAACATATAATGTTACAAAACCAGGAGACATTCAGAGGGCAGTATGAACCAGAGCACAGAAGATTCATGGACAGGATTGTAGCTTCCATATTATAGTTAACCTTTGTAAAACAAGCACTTGTCATAGAACACCTGCTACCCTAAAAGGCTGTTAAAGTCTTTTCTTTTCCAACTCTGTGCAAGACCGTTTTGTCTTCACACTTTTCAGCCAAAACAGTATATGAAACAGACAATAAGCAGAGACAGATAATCATATTTTTAATTTAGAAATGAAATGGGTTTGTTTTCATACTTCAGTGAATAAACAAATATGTTAATTTTTAATTTTAATGTAGTATGGTAGATATCATCAATAGATAAAATCCATATGCACAGACTTTTTGGGGTCCTAGGTTTTTTAAGTATGTAAAGAAGTTCTGACTTCAACATATTCGGGAACCACTGGCATGGAGTATCTTTGGCCAGATGCATGAGAAAGTGGTGGTATGGATGTTCCTAGGGCCTATAGTGTTAGGACAGGTGGTTAAGTCCCATAAAGATGTAGTCAGTACAAGAAATCATTCGTGAAAATATGCTCATCTAGACAGTTGCTCTTCTTGAGTAAATCCTCTCCCTCTCCCTCTTATATTGAGGTTTGAACTTAAGGATCACTCTTGCTAGGCAAGAGCTCTACCACTTGAGCCACTCCTCCAGCCCTCTTCCTTTATCTCTTATGGCCTTCTCATTTCTCTCTGCAGGCAGCTGACTTAGATGGGGAAATTGACTTGTCCACATGTTACGACGTCACAGAATATCCAGTCCAGAGAAACTATGGCTTCCAGATACATGTGAGCCCAGGGGTGAGGTGGGAGGAGAAGGGCTTGACCAACAGGGTTGAGTCTCCAAGATCTTGAAGTACTGACCAGGCATACCGCTGGAAAGGCCTGACTTGATGTGTGTAGTCAGCACTTGGTCTTTTCTGTTAACATTGATAACTTTCCTTCCCCTCCCCTCCCCTCCCTCCCTTCCCCTCCCCTCCCCTTCCCTTCCTATCCCATTTTTTGGTGGAATTCTGGCCTTGAACTTAGTGTCTTGTGCTTACTAGGTAGGCACTCTACCACACAAGTCAAGCCCCCAGTTCTTTCTGCTTTAGGTTATTTATCAGATAAAGTCTCACACTTTTTCCTCTTACCTGTGCCTCCTGTGTAGCTGCGATTACAGATGTGTTTCACCATGCCCAGTTTGTTTGTTGAGATGGGGGTCTCACTATCTTTTTGCCCAGGCTGGCCTCAAAACATGATCCTTCCTCTCTCTCCCACCTGATTAACTAGGATTACAGGCACATACCTCCATGTCTGGTCTTTTAATTTTAATGCTGGTGTTTAGGTTCATTGGAAGGATGTAGGATATGAGGAATAAGAATGAAAGTGTTTGTTAATTATTTAAATCCCAGAGAAAGAGGTTTATATTTGCTTATTCATTCATTCATTCATTCACTCACAAGTCTATTTTCTAAAATCTTGGGAGGTACTCTGATGAGCAAGACATGGCTCAGTCCTCAAAAAAGTAATCTTATTGGACAAGTGATTTTCACTGGCCACGACATCAGAGGATCGGGTTGCCTAGAGTCAGCTAGGCCCTGACTGCCATGTCTGCTGACATGTCTACTCTGAATTCTGAGCAGAAATTGCAAGTTCGGGGCTCTCCAAAGCAACCTTCAGCTTCCAAAATTCTCTAAAGTGCCTAACAGAACTTGGGAAAGCACAGTTTTTACAATTAGCTTTATTATAGCAGTTTTATTTAATCAGAACCAGCCAAAGTAAGGTACTCATGGGTAGAACCTGGGGCTGGGAGGATCCCTAAGAAAGTTTCTGTGTTTTGGGAAGCATATTGCCCTCTTGGTTTTGATGTAAAGCAATATACAGTATTTCTAGGACGCTTTCCTATGCCTTAGTGCCATTTTCATTGAAGCTTCATAACTGTCATAGTCTGTTGAGTCATTGTTCTTGGTTGATCTCCATCAGTAAGGCCTCCCCCAGCAGCTAGCTGATGTCATGAGGCCCACCCACAGGCCTCTAGGTTCATGTTGGGTTTTGCTTTTTCTGACACAGCAGTGCTTCCCGAGTTGTCAGCAGCACTACAAGGCAGAATCTTGGTTAGTCCACTGGTAGCATTCCACTCACTCAGGTTTGCACCCAGGTAAAAAAGTCCAGCTCCTCTTTGGGTGAAACCTCTTCCTCTTTCTTCACAAGAGCCTTTAGAGCTGTGGCAAGTGGCAAGTCTTTGGGACTTGGTTTCTTGCTCCATGCTGAGATTCTGGTAGGCTCACTGGTGGCAAGTCTTACCTTCCAAGTTTTGTGCCCACAAACTTGACTGTGTTCCTATGTTCAGAGTTAATGGAAACACCTCAGAACTGACTTAGACTCACCAAACTTAAAGGAGACCAATGTATAGGTATGAAGGTAAGAGTGTCAGTATTAGGAAAGGCCCTGTGCCAGTCTCTAGGCAGCTGGTCATGGTTTCCTTCCACGCACTCGGGTGTCTGTGAGGGAGCCACGTCATGGACAAGGCTGCACCCATGGCCTGGCTCCAGGACTGGGCATGAGAAGCCTCTCCACTTCCCAGAGGAGAGAGCTCTTAGCAACCAGCAGTGCCCTGCTGAAGTGTTGGTCCTGGCTCTTTGGGCCCCTGCCCCTGTCCCACTATCGGTTGGCAGGTGTCTCTAGACAAGGCTTCCACAGCGAGAACTCACCTGCTGTCTCCCAGAGAATAGCCAGGGCTAGTGGTGGACAAGGCCTCTTTGCTTACTTTGCCCCTGGGATAAGCCCCAGGGCCGAGAGTCCTCAGTCAGGAGATACTGGTTTCAGTGCTTCCTGGAAGAGGGTTCAGCTCTGAGGGTCCTAAAGTGGCACAGAAGAGGGAGCTGAGTGCAGAAGGCAGCTGGGGAGGCCAGGAGGAGGGGGACAGGGTTGTTCCTGCCCTGAGGCTATGGAAAACACTGGCCAGGTGTTGGCCACACAAAGGAGGTTGTAGCACTCACAGGGTATCTAGAAGGGAGGCCGGGTAGGTGGGCACAGTGGTGCTGGGCAAGGAAGGAAGGAGGGACTGAATGGCACCTGGCAGAAAGGCAGGTAAGGGAGGGGCCCATTTGAACTCCTGTCAGGGTGGGCTAAGGCCACATAGACCCAGACAGAGAGCTGACTTCACAGAGGAGGTAGGTCCTCTGGGATCCTGGCTGGTGATATGTTTGAGGTTGTGAGGGGCTCTGGGAACATGCAAAGAGCAGGTGGCTCTGAAGCTGAGAAGGAGCACTCAGCTACTGAGATCTGTCCCACATGGAGAGCATGCACAGCTAGGAGTGGAGAGGGATGGTCGTCCTACATTAAAGTGTGAGTGCCACCACACAGCAGCATACTCCTAGTGCTGGAGGTTCACGAAGGAGAGTGAGCTGGACATGGGGCCAGCCCACAGTGGAGGAAAGGGAAGTCAGGTCTGAGCTGTAACTCACAACACAATGCCCTGCATGTGACTTCTGGTGTAGCTCCTGACTGCCCGCTCCAAAGTGGTCTTTGTGATTTCATCATCCTGCCAGCTACTTTGCTGGATGCTCATGGCTGAGTTTGTAAGCAGCCTGTGAGCTTCCAGGATGGTGCGATAAGCTCCCTTCTGAGGATGCAGAAGTGGGGAGATGGCTCCCTGAGGGCTGCTGGCCATGCATCAGGTCCTTTCCTTTTCTGAGGGTCCTGGGACACAGAGATTAGTCTCTGAGGTCACAGATGCTGCTCCAGGCTCCTTTGTCCCATCTGCTGCAGTGTTGAGCACTATGAACAGACTCTTCCCCTCCCACCCAAAGCTCTCCCCTATCAAGCCAGGAACACCCAACGTGTCCCTCCATTACCTCTCTTCTGCCACCATTTAATTCTCATCACCTGGATGATGATGATAGTAGCTACTCTATAAGTCTTCCTTCCCTCTCTGAGCAGGCAAAGATCCCAGTCAGCCTCTGGTGCTTGTTCACTCCCATCTCCTTTGCCACTCTATATGCCTGTGCTGGGGCTGCAGAGTGCTGCTTTCCCTACTTGGTGCACCCCAACCTGTACCCTGCCTTCACCACTGTCTACACACCGGTTCCATCCTTTGCTGCAGGGCTGGGAGAGCTCCTTAAAGAACAGGAAATGCTGTCTTTTCCATTTCTTCATGGCCGGCAGCTGGTATGTTATAGGAACTCAGTGTATGCTGGCCCTGCATACAGGAGACAACAATTTACCATTCCATAAGAGCACATCTCTATCCATTCTCATCTGTCCTGATTGGGCACATGCAGCACTTTAAAAGGCCACCTGGCCTTGGCCTTTCTCCTATGGGACTTTGTCTAGTATAACAGTCTCCTTTGAAGGTAGGAGGCAGCAATCACCCCCAGGGTCTGGTCACTAATGATATCCCTGTGTCTTTTATGTAGACAAAGGAAGGTGAGTTCACCCTGTCAGCCATGACGTCTGGAATCCGTCGGAACTGGATTCAGACCATCATGAAGCATGTGCACCCAACAACTGCCCCGGATGTGACCAGGTAAGACAGGGATGCCTGAGGGAGCCCCCTTGTGCCTCCTATGAGCACCCTCCTGCTTCCACTGAGGGAGCTGCAATTTTGTACCTGAGGCCTGAGCTCAGCTGTATTCCAGCACAGCTTCCTTTCCTCCCTTTTCTGTCCTGCTGTTGGCTGGCCCTGCTTGGTTTCCTTATAGCCTTCCGGGTTTTCTCCCTCCTCTAAGCTGGCCTGGTCAGTCATGCAGGTTGCCTTTGTGCTCATTGTTAGCACCGAGTTTGTCAGTCTTCCATCTCTGTCAGCAGGGTTCAGCAGCTCAGGCCTGGCCTCAGACTACACTGCAGGCTCTCTCTGATGGCTGCTCTAGCTGAGTGAGGGCATCCCTGAGCACTGCATCCACAGGCCACCAGAGCTTTGCTCTCCTTGGTCTTTTTGCCTTACTCTTACATCTGTTTGATTTCTGTGTAACCAGGAGAAGCTCTTTGAGACTGTTGGTGCTAAAGTTCAAGTTGGAAAAGTGTGTTCTCTCCTGTGTTAACTTTCTGTGGTTCGTATCTCTTGGGACACGCTGCATGCCTTCTCTTGCCTTGAAGGTTAGAGACTTGCCAGATTCATCTTTTAAGAAGTGGAGATGGCTGCACTGTGTGGGGTTGGCTCTCTGGTGTGAACTCTGCTATGCCACCTTCAGTGCATCCTGAGCACCTTGTGCCTTTCTCCACCTGAGTAGTTCACATTGCTGCCAAGTGTATTCGTGGCATTGGAAGTTAAGTTGTGTGGAAGCAACAGGGTGGCATGATGATGGTGGCCTGTGGCAGTCTTGGCCATGCCTCAGCCATCTGGATGCTGATTCTACCCCTCTTTGAATAAGAAGGAAAGAAAACCTGAACTCTTCTTCACCTCCTTTCCTGTGTCTGTCCTATATTCATTCTTTCATTCATTAGCAAACAATATCTAGTTGTTCCTCTGTCACAGGACCAGAAGGTGGTGGCCAGAAGAGAAGCCTCAGCTGCTATTAGAGCTGTTTGGTGGGTGAGTGTTGGCCTCCTACCTCTGTGGCTCCTCCTGTCAGGAGCAGAGCCTGCAGCTTGAAGTGCCTAGTGTTCTTCCTGCACATATAGGAGGCCCTGCAGCAAAGTGAGAAAGGTACTTGGGCTGTCCTGGCCAGGCCATGACAGCAGATGGAGCCATGGTGTCCCTGCCAGGCCCAAGCTGCATGCGCAGATTGAGAGTTGTGGCTAGAAGATGCCAGTATTGGAATGTCCCAGGGTAGGTGTGAAGAACACACTCGTGCACACTATGTGTTTTCATGTAGCTCAGGAGGGCAGCCTTAGACATACATGATTTACTGCACTCCATGACAGGACTGGGGCCCAAGGCTAAGGAGATGAACACAGAGACCAGGCATATGCTTTCTTTCATATCAAAGTGGGCAGACCATTGTCTTACTGACTAGACTCTACTTCACAATCCAGTGTCTTAAAGCTGGTGGTAGATCCCGTACCCCAGCTTTTTTGAGCCTATGAGATTCTGTTGGCTCTTATGAATTGAGGAAAATTTGAATTGCTTACTGCTAAAAGACCAAATGTCTAGGAGGGATCAGAAGCAGGAATGGGCCTGGCGCCAGGGGCTCACATCTGTAATCCTAGCTACTCAGGAGGCAGAGATCAGGAGGACTGCGATTCAAAGCCACCCTGAACAAATAGTTCAAGAGACCCTATCTCAAAAACCTCAAAACAAAGCAGGGCTGGCAGAGTGACTCATGGTAGAGCACCTGCCTCACAAGCATGAGCCCCTGAGTTCAAACTCCAGTACTGCTTTCCCCCCCACCCCCCGCAAAAAAAAAAGAAAGGAAAAGAAAAAAGAAACAGGAATGGTAGTATCAGAGCTGTTGGCCTTGTTTGCTTCCCATTGTTTTGTGGTCTCTTGAAGGACACTGCCAGCCTTTGAGGCTAGAGGAGCCTCAAGGGGGGACTTCCTCTCCTGGGAGCATTCCTGTTGGCAATCTGGCTGGGGTTTACTGTATCCCACCCACTCCTGTGTGTCATCCTAATGCTGCCCCCACAGACCTGAGCCTAAGCTAGCTCTCTTAGGTCATGATGCTGAATGATCCACCCTGGGTTGTTGGGTCTTTTGTTTTTTTTTTTCCTTTTTGAATCAGGATCTCAGTGTATAGCCCAAACTGACCAAAAACTCTTATTCTCCTTCCTCAGCCCCTTGAGTGCTGGAATTGTAGGTATGTACCCCGTGCCCAGATATAGGTCATTCTTTGTTTGTTTTTTGGTTGTGCTAGAATTTGAGCTCAGGGCCTTGCATTTGCTAGGCAGGCACTCTACCTCTTGAGCCACACCCTCAGTCCTCTGGATCATTTTTATTTGTATTTTTGTGTGGTCTTAGACTGGACTCTTGCCAGTCTTACTGCTCTGAAAAACTTTTGTTCTTACTATTGGCTGTCAGGATGGTTGACCTCTGAGAACCACTTTTTTCTTTTCCTTGGGTGCCCCTTTCACAATCTCTTTGCCTCTGATTTAAACACAGGTGTTCTGTGGCACACCCCTTGTGTCCTTGCTGTCCCCAGGTTGCATCCAACTCTTATGAGGCTTGGACGAGACCACAGACCATTCTGCCAGCCTAGGACTGGGTGGCAGTTAGTCACTAGGGCTTTGCTTCCATAGAGCTCACTCTCAGCCTCTTGTTGTTTTGCCACTGGTGATGTCCTTGACCCTCTTCCTTCAGGGTAAATTAGGAAAAGGCAGCTTCCACCCTCCTGTTGCTGGGCAGGCTGAGCACCTGCTGGCAACCCATTCCTGGCCAACTCCTTTCTCAGGGTGCTGAGTTGCTCTTCCCTGTAGTATAAGCTGTGGCTACCTGGGCCACCTGTCCCCTTTACCTTTCACTCTGGTCATATGGAACCAGAGTGAATTTTTAGAACAGAGCTGATCACATTGCTTGCTTTTTGCAACCCTGGAGCTCTTCTAGGGAGGTGGCTAGTTCTCATTCATTGTCACCATTGTGCAGCATTGGATTGCTTCAGAGTCTGCCTCACCAAGAGACTGTACCTTTCCTGCCTGTGGGGCCCATAAGAGTCCTAGGCTCCCTTGTCCCCATCATCCTGGTGACACAGCCACCACAGCACACCCCTCATGACATCTCCTTAAGAGATATGTGCTAGAAACCTTGGGAACATCTGAGACTCTTTCCTTTCCCCTCCCAGTCAGAAGGAGAATCCAAGATTGGACTCTCCAAGGAAGGGATCACCAGGCATAGGTGGAATGTTCTCCCCACTGCACCTGAAACCACTTTGGGGACAGAAGAAAGATGTTGAGCAGGTATGGGTGAGTCATGGCTCACCTTTGCTGGCCCTGTTATGAGTCAGGAGTCTCAGGCCTCTGACAAATGCTGTGTTTGGCCCCTGTCCTATAGCTCATTGCCTGAGGAAAAGAACAAGAGCAGCTCATCTTTTGAGACATGCTCAAGGCCACATGAGAAGCAAGAAGCAGATCCTGTAGAGCCAGATCCTGAACAGAAGAGAAGCCGTGCTAGGGAGCGGAGGCGGGAGGGCCGCTCCAAGACATTTGACTGGGCTGAGTTCCGCCCCATCCAGCAGGCCTTGGCTCAGGAGAGGGCCAGTGCCATGGGCCCCGCTGACACACGTGACTCTGGGCATCTTGAAGTGGAGCCAGGTGAGCTGGAGCGGGAACGGGCTCGGCGGCGGGAAGAGCGCCGCAAGCGCTTTGGGATGCTGGACACCATGGATGGATCCAGCACTGAGGATGCAGCCCTACGCATGGAGGTTGACCGGAGCCCGGGGCTGCTAGGGACCACTGACCTCAAGACACAGAATGTCCATGTGGAAATCGAGCAGCGGTGGCATCAAGTGGAGACCACCCCTCTCCGGGAGGAAAAACAGGTGCCCATCACCCCTCTGCACCTATCCTCTGAGGATGGAAGTGACCAGCTGTCTGCACATGAGCTGACCTCTCTGCTGGAGAAGGAGGTAATGCTGGGGCAGCTCCCTCCCTGCAGCAACCTGTTCTGAGTGCCAGTTGTATCCAGCTATCGCCTATGGATTCAGCTACACAGTCCTCCCCTCAGGGACCTGCAGGCCCCTAAGGGAGTCAGGCACATAGATAGGTTCTTACTTCAGGCGAAGACTGAGATGAGGGGAGAGTGCCAGCTTATGGCAGGAAGGGCTAGTGGGCCTTTCCAGAAGGGTGGAGTTCACAGTAAGGGAGGAGCTATGTGGCCAGACACTACGCTGATGGTTTTCAGGGCCCATACAATGGGCCTGTTCCACTCTCATGGAGTGTGCGCTGGAGGTTTTCAGTGGAGGGGTGTGAGTAGAGTTAGGTTTTGATCTGCATGAGACAGCTTGGGGGAACAGGCCAAAGCTGGAGGCACAGATGAGCCAGGTGCCTCAATAGTAGCCTTGGGACAGTTGATCAGATCTTAAGAGTCAGGGGCTAGGCATTGGAAGACAAAGGTAGGCCCCAGACATTTAGGCTGTGAAACATGACTGGTTACCTGAGGTGAGGCCATCGGGGAACTCTGCAGAGCTACAGGAGCCAGTCCTGCATTCATGGTATATGGTGTTCTCTCACAGAAGTATATCCCAAGACCACATCTTTGCAGTGGATTTATGTCTCATTAGCAAGTTCTGTGGCCAAGGAAGTTACAGTGTGAGCAACCTTACTCCAAAAGTCCAAAATCTAAAACCTTTTTAGCGTCAACATGACACCACAACATGAAACTGTTTCATGCACAAAATTATTTAAAATACTATATAGAGGGCTGGGGTGGGGCAGTGTACCTCAATGTTAAGCACTGCCAAAACCAAAACAAAACATCCATATAAAATTATCTTCAGGCTACATGTATAAGGAAGAGATGAAGCGTAAGTGAATTTCATAGTTAAACTTGGATCCCATTCCAAAAATTGCTCATTATGTATATGCAGTTATTACAAAATTTAAAAAATCTGAAATACAAAATATGTCTAGTCTGAAGCATTTTGGATAAGGATACTCAACCTGCATAGCATTGTTTCTTATGAAACTCCCTATCATACCTGTCCCTTGGGGATGCCTTTTGCACACGTCGTTTTACATAGCAACTGACTAAAGATCTGCCACGTCAGCATGCCTCACGTTTCTCATCATTTTTTTTTTTTTTCTATTTTATTAAATATTTGAATCTGGCACTTACCACTAGCATTAACATTTTGACATTTCTGTTTTCTACACAGTTAATAAAATAATAAAGGCAAGATGAAATAAAATAATTCAAACGCACATGGTTCTAAGCTATCAAAATAGACTATCCAACCTACAGACCACACACTGAATCATCAGTTTGTGTTTTGGACAGCAATCTGTGGGGTTCAGTATTTAATGTTTCCCTGCCTCACATCTCAGCCTGGCAGTGCCCTAATTGCCCACTGTACACCAGGCTCCCTGACCACCAGCCCCTGTGGAATAGGACAGGGCAGCCCTGTACACACTGAGTATCAAGTAGGACCTTAGAGATGTTTGGGGAAGAGGTAAATGGGTGATTGAGTGAATCTGAAGCTGTTGAAAGCAAAAATAATGTAAAAGGCTTACCCAGCGTTTTCCTTGTCTTGTTTGAGGGCACTATAGGAACACTTTTGCAAACAGAACCTTAATGTGCAGCCCATCATGTAAAACTGGCCAAATGCAGTAGTTTTAATTGAAACCACAGCAGTACTTGGCTAAGACCTGCTTGGGGCTCTCCACCACCTGTAACAACCTCTGTGGTGGCCAGCCTGGCCAGTGTGGCCATGCCAGGGATTTCCAGAGGACCCTATGGTGTGATCTTCTTTCTGACAAAGATGCAAAGCCCTCATTCTCAGTGAGGCACAGCCCCTGCCTTCCCACATGAGCCTTTGGACCTGAGCAGGGCCCACGTGGTACATTTGTGAGCAGGTAAGGAACATATAGAGGTACCCAGGGCTTCCTGGGGTGGGAATGACAAAGCATGTCCCTTGGTCCCTGGAGAGCAGCAAGGGTACCGATGTTATACACAGTCCCGAATGCCTTCGGTACAGGCCATATCTGCATACTTCCTGAGATTTGGAGGCCCAGAATCCTGGGCCAGTGCACCAGACACATGTGCTGCAGCCTTGCTATAGTCGTGAAGGCCTCATGGGTTTATACTGTGTGGCTGCTTTTGTTTGTTTGTTTGTCATCATGTTGCTTAAGAGCATGTGTCTTTTTACCAACAGCTGGAGCAGAGCCAGAAAGAGGCCTCGGACCTCCTGGAGCAGAACCGGCTCTTGCAGGACCAGCTGAGGGTGGCCCTGGGCCGAGAACAGAGTGCCCGAGAGGGCTACGTGCTACAGGTAGGGCAGGGTGGCTGCTGAGTGCATAGTGCACCCAGGGGCTTCAGTGTGAAAGGCCCGCTCAGGCCTGCAGGCTAGGAATGTGCAAACCTGGTGGAGCTCAACCTCATCTCCTCTGCTGAAAGGACCAGGGCTCTCAATTTGCTGGTAGTACTGTGTTCAGTTTTTCCCTCTTAGAATGACATTTTGAGGAATATGCCTGAAACCTCTACATTTAAGGATTTTTTTTTTTTTTTGTAATGAAATCATTTTGGTGATCTCTCCTTTCGGCTCTCTTGCCAATATATGTTTTTTTATGAATGTCATACATCTTCATGCCATTTCTCATTGTTTTCACCATAGCAGGATCCCAATGTAGAAATTGGAGAAATTTACTCACACAGGGAGCCAAGTGCCTTCTTATGACCAACAGCATGGTAGTGGCCGAGCTAGAACAGACCCCATCGCTGCCCATGTTTCTGCCACACCTGCAGCAGACATGGCCAATCACCACTGTTGTAGGGCCCCCACTGTTAATTTTTACCCAGGCTGAAGTTTAAGGAGAATGTAGCCACCCAGCCAGCCCAGTTGGGAAGGGGATAAGGAGGATGGCAGTCTGGGTACTGAGTTGATAGCACACGCCCAGAGTCATTCTGCTGCTGGAGGTGTCTACTGTGAGTCCCAGCTGCCCCCAGATCCACAGGAGGTGGCATGTGTCACTGTCCACCAGCATCTCAGGCCGCATGCTAGTCCCCATTGTGCTGTTGTGATAGCAGAGACTTGACAAATGAAAAAAATTGAATAGTGAAATGGGGAAACAGAACTGGAATCAAAGCTCTTGGTGAAGGCCAAGGCGGTCTGTGGAGTCAGGGCCTGAGGTTCGAGTCCTGACCCTGCCACTGACCCTAGAAGCAAGTGCCCCTCGCCCTGCAGCAGCAGCCTCCTGCCTGTGTGACTTAGATTTAGTGTTCTCCAAAGGCTTTGGGCTCTAAAATACCCAGAGTATCTGTGGTGAGTTGATTGTCAATATTTCCAGACCATCTTGCAGTGACCTTCCTCATTCTGACTTGTTCCAGGCAGCAGGTGGACCAGGGTTTTGCTGCCCTGACTGGAGCCTGCCTTCCTATCCCTCCCTCCCTCCCTCCTCTGCTACACATGCCCTTGGCCTCTTTACCCACCATGTGCCTGCACCTACTTCCTTCTAGCAAACCATTGCCATGCCCAGTTCAGACTCTTGGGCCTAGGAACTGGCCATGACAAGTATCCCCCTCCTCCACATCCTGCTGTGACGGCCTTCAGATCATTCGTGCAGGTCCTCCCTGTTAGGGGAGCATCCTTCTGAGCCTTGGTTCAGAAAAAAACATCCTACAAGAATTGACTACAGATCAGGTAGTAAAGACACTGCATATGGGCTTTGCACATTGCTAACCTGGGATCCTGCCTGTGTGTCTAACGTGGACCATTGCGTGCGCCTACACTGCAGGCCCTGTTGGTCAGCACCAGGCCAAGCTGCTTTTTCCTAACTCCCCGCTAAGTCTAATAACAAGTGACTCTGCAGCACCCCTGAGCTATGGAAATGCTTATGGTCAAAAGTCAGAAGCGGCAGGGGCCTTGGGGCTGAGGGTCAAGAGGTGTGACTGCTGGGGCAGATGCTACTTAAACTGCTGGGAGGGGTCTGCATGCTTTGGATTTGAATGCGGCATCAAACTGGAACTTAACTGAGTGTCACATCTGTGGCTTTCCCACCAGGAGACTAAAGGAGCTTAGACAGGCCAGATTTTAGGTGGGGTTCTCCTCATTCTTGTTCATGTTGTTTTCCCCCGCGTTATATTAGTTGTCTTTTCTGCATGTCTCAGTATGAGAGTTTTGTGTTTGTTTTGTTTTGCATGCTTCACTCTTATTTTGAACTCCACAAAGGTTTGTTTTGTTGTATATAATATTTTACTCCATAGTTTGCATTCCTCCTCGTTCTGTCTTCTTACAGGTAGAAATTAGTTCTTCCCATTAACCGGGGAGGCCTTGCTACACTGTCCAAAGGAAAACATTTCGAATGTCACCTCACTGATATCTCCCAAGCAGCAACCTGCCTTCCTTCTCTCCCTCCTCTAGAAGGAAGTAACATCACTACCTGCCCCTATGTTCTATGCTTGTTTAGATTTGTGGTCTAGAACCACATATTTCACAAAACAAACAGATGCAGGTGCTGTGCTCCCTGGTAGTCCTCTCACCCTCAGTCTCCGTTTCGCTTCTCAGTGTGTTTTCATTATTCAGTTTTATTTGGTTTATTTCTCCTAGAAGCTGTTTGGTTAGAGCTGTTTTTTGATGTTATTGTCCGTGTTTTCTGTTTACCTGGAAGCAGCTGCTTAACAAAATAATAATAATTCGTTGAATTTTTCTTAAGTGGGAATAAAAAGTTGTGCAAAAGATAAAAGCCAAACTCATCAAGGAACTTTTCTGTGGTTGATCCTGGCCAGAGGTGTGACACTCAGAAAGGGGAGGCCCGAGTGTTACTAACCAGTATTTAATCGGTTTTTTTAAGACTGAAGTGGCCACTTCCCCGTCGGGTGCCTGGCAGAGGCTCCATAGAGTCAACCAAGACCTCCAAAATGAGCTGGAAGCCCAGTGCCAGCGACAGGAGCTGATCACACAGCAGATTCAGACCCTGAAACGTAGCTATGGGGAGGCCAAGGATGCGATCCGGCACCACGAGGCCGAGATCCGGAGCCTGCAGGCAAGGCTCAGCAATGCCGCTGCCGAGCTGGCCATCAAAGAGCAGGCACTGGCCAAGCTCAAGGGCGAGCTGAAGCTGGAGCAGGGCAGGGTCCGTGAGCAGCTGGAGGAGCGGCAGCACAGTGAGGCTGCACTAAGTGGTCAGCTGAGGGCCAGTGAGCAGAAGCTGAAGAGCGCCGAGGCCCTGCTGCTAGAGAAGACACAGGAGTTGCGGGACCTAGAGATGCAGCAGGCACTACAGCGTGACCGGCAGAAGGAGGTGCAGAGGCTGCAGGACCGCATTGCTGACCTCAGCCAACAGCTGGGTGCCAGTGAGCAGGCCCAGCGGCTGATGGAGGAGAAGTTGCAGAGGAACTATGCTCTGCTGCTGGAGAGTTGTGAAGAGGAGAAGCAGGCACTACTGCAAAACCTGAAGGAGGTAGAAGACAAGGCCATTGCCTATGAGGACCAGTTGCAGGGCCATGCACAGCAGGTAGAGGCCCTCCAGAAAGAGAAGCTGAGTGCCACATGTGAGGGCAGTGAGCAAGTGCACCAGCTAGAGGAGCAGCTGGAAGCCCGGGAGGCCAGCATCCGTCAGCTAGCTCAGCATGTGCAGGGACTCCGTGATGAGCGGGATCTCATCAGGCAGCGGTTCCAGGACCTGATGGAGCGTGTGGCTACTTCTGACGGGGATGTGGCTGAGCTCCAGGAGAAGCTGAGGGGAAGAGAGGCCGACTATCAGAGCCTGGAGCACTCACACCGCAAGGTCTCTGGCCAGCTGCAGAGCATGCATACTCTGCTGAGAGAGAAGGAAGAAGAGCTAAAGCACATCAAGGAAGTTCATGAGAGAGTTCTAGAAAAGAAAGATCAGGACCTCAATGAGGCTTTGGTTAAAATGGTTGCCCTAGGGAGCAGCTTAGAAGAGACAGAAATTAAACTGCAGGCAAAGGAAGAGATTCTAAGGAAATTTACAAATGAGTCTCCAAAGGAGGTAGAAAAGCCACGGAGCACTCCAGAGGAACCAGAGGAGGATGGTGTTTTGCTCTTGGGCCAGCAGCCCCCAGCTGCCGAGGCACCACCAGTCTTTCCCCATACACAAGTGGAGGACGAGGATGCAGGTGCTGGCTTACGGGAGGAGTGTGCCAGTGGAAGCCCTGGCAGAGAAGAGCGTGCTGTGCCTCCAAAGTCCGTGGAAGTGCCTGACAGGGAGGGTCATCTGCAGAGCACAACCAAGCCTGACCAGGGAACCCCTGGTGTTAAAAGGCAAAGAATCCGGTTCTCCACAATCCAGTGCCAAAGATACATCCACTCTGAGGGGTCTGAGAAGACCTGGACCAGCAGCACATCATCAGATACCAGTCAGGACCAGTCTCCTTCAGAGGAGAGCATATCCTCAGAGGCAGCCCCCATCACACTGCCAGCAGCAGGAGACTCTGAGACATACCTCTCCATAATCCACTCCTTAGAGACCAAGCTCTACATCACAGAGGAGAAGCTCAAGGACGTGACTGTGAGGCTGGAGAGCCAACAGGGCCAGAGCCGAGAGGCACTGCTTGCACTGCACCACCAGTGGGCCGGCGCTGAGGCACAGCTCCGTGAGCAGCTCCGCACTACCTTGCTGCAGGTGGGTGCGCTGGCTTCCCAGCTGGAGCAGGAAAGGCAGGAGAGGGCCACAAGCATCGAAAACCATGTGGGGGAGCTCGGAGACTTCCAGGCAAAAAACAGCCAGGCTCTGACATGCTTAGAAAACTGCCGGGAGCAGCTAAGGTCTCTGCCGAGGACTGGCCAAGAGGACGAACAGGATGCATGTGCAGTGTCCCTGGCCAGTGTAGAGACTGTGCTCATGAGTGCCATCAAGGCTCTGCGGCCCTGGGCAACCCCTGCAGAGAGTGGGGCCCAGGCTCGCGGTGAGGAGAGGGAGATGGCTACCTCTGTACAGCAGCCCCACCAGCCTGTGCTGAGCCAGCAGGAGCACATGAAGCTGCTCTCTGATCAGCTAACTCTGGAAGCCTCGCTCATCAACCAAATAGCAGACTCCTTAAAGAATACAACCTCAGATGTGTCTCATGTTCTCCACGAACTTGCTCAATCAGAAGAGTGGCTGCTGGAGGGAGAAGGTGTCACCATCTCTTCTGGGGCTGCAGCAGAGGCCTGGGCCAAAAAGGTGCTGGTGGATGGTGAGTTCTGGAGCCAGGTGGAATCCCTGAGTCAGCGCCTAGGGACACTGGGAGAAGAGACAGCTGGCACATCAGAAACTGGGCAACAACATGTCCCCCAAGACCTGGCTGACACCACATGGGTCCGGGCAGAGCTCAGCTTTGCCACACAATTGGTGAGGGAGTCTTTCTACCGTAGGCTGCAGAGCGTCCAGGAGACCCTGCAGGGGACCCAGACAGCCCTACAACGGCACAAGTGTGTACTGGGGGAAATCCTGGGAGCCTATCAAACTCCAGACTTTGAGAGAGTGATGCAGCAGGTTTTAGAAGCCCTTGGGAATCCAGTGAGCAGTGAGGACAGTGTACAGACATCCTGGGACCTGAGCCCATTGGAAGTACTGAGACCAGGCCCAGAGGGCTCCCCAGAGTCCTTACACATGCTCCGCCAGAGCCCTGGGACCCTTGTTGCGATTCAGGAAGAGCTCGCTCAGCAGCTGAGGGAGAAGGCCAGTGTCCTTGAGGAGATCGCTGCTGCCTTGCCAGCTCTGCCTCCCGCAGAGTCGCTCAGGGGTTGTCGGAGGCTTCTGCAGATTTCCCAGAATCTCTCATATGATGCTTGTCTGGCAGGCCTTGGTCAGTATTCTTCATTACTGGTTCAAGATGCAATTATTCAGGCTCAGGTGTGCTATGCAGCCTGCAGAATCCGGTTAGAGTATGAAAAGGAGTTGCGGTTCTACAAGGAGTCCTGGCAGGCCAAGGGGGCCTCCTCCTGCCAGGAGCAGGCACAAGTGGTTGGGGCCCTGCGGGAAGAATATGAGGAACTCCTCCGCAAGCAGAAGAGCGAGTACCTGGAGGTGATCACTCTCATCGAAAGGGAGAATGCTGAGCTCAAAGTCAAGGTGAGCCAGCTGGACCATCAGCAGAGGTGTCTGGAAGAAGCAGAAAGCAAGCACAGTGAGAGCCTGTTTGCTCTGCAGGGCAGGTATGAGGAGGAAATCAGGTGTGTGGTGGAGCAGCTGAACCACACTGAGAACACGTTGCAGGCAGAACGCAGCCGTGTCCTGAGCCAGCTGGATGCCTCAGTCAGAGACAAGCAGGACATGGAGCGCCAGCATGTGCAGCAGATGCAGACACTGGAGGACAGGTTCCAGCTGAAGATCAAGGAGCTCCAGGCCATCCACGAGGAGGAGTTGAGGGCCCTGCAGGAACACTATGCACAGAGCCTTCAGGAGACCCTCAGTCTCTGCCAGCGGCGGCACCCTGAAGCCCTGCCAGCCACCCCCCACTGCTGGCGACCTGAGCCCAGTGCTGCACAGCCACCTGAAGGGGAACCCGACTCCATGATGGGGCTGCGGGAGCGCATCCAGGAGCTGGAGGCCCAGATGGATGTCATGAGGGAAGAGCTGGGCCACAAGGAGCTGGAGGGTGATGCAGCCACGTTGCGGGAGAAGTACCAGCGAGACTTTGAGAACCTCAAGGTTTTCAGCACGATTTAATTTGCAGAACTGATTCTCCTTGATGATGTGGGGAGGGAGGGGGGGTAGTGGGAGTATCCAGGGCTCTCAGGGTTGATCTGGGAGTAGGTTCTTGGCTCTCGGCTACTGTGCAGGCAGAATCAAAGTGAGGTTCTGCTGTTCCTCTACTCATTGGGTGTGGTATGGTCTTGGAGCATCACCACCTGGAAGGAGGAAGGCAGTGCCCCTGTGGGAGAGTCTTCCCCTCACCTCTTCATGCCCCCAGAGCATCCCAGCCCCCGCCCCCCTCATGTCCTTTCTGTCCCTTCAGAACTCTCCCAGTCTTGAAGGGCAGTTGCCTTTTCCTGACTGCTCTAGGAGTGCAGAGTTGGAATTTCCTGACACAGGAATATTTGCAAGTCAGTGTTGAGGGTCACTCTCCCATTGCAGCTCCCTAAGAGGACCTGGTACAGGGTGGGCACTATGTCTAGAAAGGACTTTCTCCAGAGCATGGCTTTCAGCTGCTCCTGTTCCCTTCTCCAGTAGCTTCATACTCTGCTCCCTAGGTCCTGGCTGCAGAGGTGGCACCCTGGGCCACTCAGTTGGGTGAGTGGAGCAGTCCAGGTTCTCTGTCCACCCTCTTTGTGACCTCACACTCCATCATGTGTGTGGCTGCCCAGGCATAATCCTGGCGGGTCTCTCCATCCCTCAGACTCAGAAAGTTTGTCCTGGTAGCTATATCCTCATCTCCTCTCCCTTCTGGAAAGTGCTACAAGGTCCCCAGGAGCTATGTATACTGATTCCTGGCTGTCTTTCACAGGCCACTGCTTCTACCACACACTGTCTTGGGTGTCTGATTCTGTTACCAAACCTTAGTCCTCTGGTGCTGAAGAGAAAGGACAACATGCTCATTCCGCAGCTTATCCTTTGCTTCTGTGTGGCCGCAGAACCCCCAACCAAACAAGCAGGGGCAGTCAGCAGTGAGCATCTTCTCAGTTGCTAAGATGCCATTGCTCCCTTGTCCTTCCCCAACTCAATCCAAACCTTTTCAAAAACCATTATGTATTGTGCGGAAGCTTCAGTGGCTGTTTTTCCAAAGTGCGCATTCCATGACCCTATGGCCAGTTTATTTAATGAAACATTAGAGAGAAATAGGAATGCCTTTAAAAGTAAATGGCACAGACCTGGGTTTGACTCCAAATCCTCTCTGTAGTGCTCTTCCCTGCTGGAGCCCTACTTCCTCTTTGTGTCCCTAGGATCCTCCATGAGGGTGGGGGGTGGGGGACTGCTCTAGCCTCAAGATAGTCAGTATGGATGGGTCCAGCCAGGTTACATCACATCATCAGTTAGCAGGATGTTAGAAAGCTTGTGCTGGGCCCAGGGTCACCCAGCAGGGATATCTTAGTTTCAGGTGACACAGTTCAGGAGGGGGCATTGGCTTGGATGAATGCATGTACATAAGAATTTCTGTATATGTGTGACATACATCAACACTGAACACATGCAGCATGACGACCTCTTGAGAGAATCTAGCTGGGAGCAGCTGCTCTTTCCAGACTTCTGCCTAGGTTGGGGAACTGGGGTGCTGGCTGCTGGCTCCTCTAATACTCACCAGTGCTCCTCCTCCTTCCACAACTCCATCATAGTCATTGAGGAACTTTTTGGATCCCAGGAATAATTGACTTAAAGGTTAAAATTTGTTTGCAGAGCTGGGCACCTGTGGCTCATGCCTGTAATTCTAGCTACTCAGGAGGGACAGATCAGGAGGATTGAGGTTCAAAGCCAGCCCAGACAACTAGTTCACAAGACCCTATCTTGAAAATACCCAACATAAGACAGGGCTGGTGGAATGGCTCAAGTGGTAGGAGTGCCTGCCTAGCAAGCATGAGGCTTGAAGTTCAAACTCCAGTTCCACTAAAAACAACAAAAAAAAAATTGTTTGCAGATTAACCATTTTTTAACATACACGTATTTAACAAAGAAGTCACTGGGTCTTTAAAGCTACCTCAGTGTTTTTTTAGAAGTATTTCAACCCCTGCCTTTATATCCTCTAAGCACAAAAACAATTCAAAATAAAACTTACAAGACTTAATACAGGGTGAGCATCTTGGAAATCCAAAATGCACCAAAATCTAAAATTGTGACATGATGCCACAAGTGGAAAATTACACACCTGACCTTGTGGTGTATCAAAGTGAAGATGTAGTACACTAAAAATACAGTATAAAATTACCTTTAAGCTATATGTATAATGTATAGATAAGACATAAATGAATTTCATGTTTAGGCTTGGGTCCCATCCCTAGGATACCTCATTATGTGTATGCAAACGTTCCACAATCTTAAAACAAATTGAGATTGGAAACGCTTCTGGTCCCAGTATTTTGAATAAAGTGTAGGGGGGGAGGTTCCACCTGTAGTTAAATATGTTGACTGAGAACTGCAAATGAACCAAGTATATGGAAGGGAGAGTGAGGAGCTCAGTGGTGGCCTGCAGGCCTCTCTTCAGACCTAGCTGGCACCTAAGATTTCTGCAGCTGTCCTGTGGTATGAGGAAAGCAAGAGAGGAGGGCCAGGAGACAGGCACCTTCCAGGGTTGAGCCCTGGAAGAAGGGATGCCCTGTTCATGATGGGTAGTAGTGAAGACTTTTGCCAGTGCAGTGAATATGTTGCAATGAAGTTCTGACTGTGACCAAGGGCTTGAAAATTCTAAATGAGTGCTCTCAGAAAGGCATCTTGATGACTGTGGGGCTCAGAGGAAGGTACTAAAGCATGCTGATTGGACGCCTTTCTTGAATCCACAGGCAAAAAGATGGAATAGGGAGCACAGGGATAGAGTTACAAGTTGCTCTACTTGGTTTTTGTTTGTTTTTGGTTAGTGGAACTGGGGTTTGAACTCAGGGCTTCATGCTTGCAAAGCAGGTGCTTTACCACCTAAGCCATACCTCCAGTCCCAGCTCCACTTGTGTTTGGAATGCAGCATGGTCACATTCTTTCAACTTTTAAAAATCAGGAAAAGGCCTAATTCCTACCCTGAAGCAGATCTCGCAAGGGTTGTAGTCAGAGAATAACTCTGTGCTCAAAGTAGATGGGCATTCCAGCTGCTTATAGTTGTGTGGCATGCTCTCCTGCTTGGTGGTGAGAGCAGCTCTGATAGGCCAGGGCTGGGCTAATGTGGGTTGATGTGAGCACCTCTTGGAGCTCCCCTGTGTCCTGCCAGGTGAGGTGGGAATGTGGTTCTCCTGTTATACCTTGGTAAAGGTGCTGGAAGCCCTCACTGATTAGATCTCTGTTCCCCATCAGAAGAGGAAGGAACAAGGTACAGGCTAGCAGAGGAGAGATCCTGGAGCCTATTCTGACTCTCAGTTGACACTGAGGAATTAAATGACCAGCTTAAGATCACCAGCTGGCTAGTGGCAGGAGCAGGTCTGCCAGCTCCAGAAATGAGCCCTGTGCACTCCAAACCCACAGGGGATGGGATGTGGGTCGGTCCCACCACCACAGGTTACCCCTCACCAGGATGTCCTTGACTCCTTCCAACTAACAAATCCATCATCCTCTTTGTGTCAGCACCAATTGTGTTTGTCCCTTAAAATTAAACACGGCCAGCACGTACTCTGTCTTCCTTCTTCCCCCAGCAGTGCCGCCACACAGTTCCACACTGGCTGGTTTAAATCCCACTGCACCCTTTTTCCCATTCACAGTGTAAACTTTCCTGGGAAGAAATGAGGTTCAGAACAGTTGCAGAAAATAGATGGCGTGTATATGCCATCTGTGCCCTCAGACCTCTACATGGCCAGGAAGCTTGCTCGTACCCTGTCATAACTCACCCATGGTGAATGCCAGTTGTCACTGCGCCTGGACAGGGAAAGGGTGCCAGCTTCTTCATTACACAGGACACCACTTGGAGGCAGAGAGAAACCGACGAGCCCTCTTGCATTCTGCAGGCTACATGTGAGCGAGGCTTTGCCGCCATGGAGGAGACACACCAGAAGAAGATTGAAGACCTGCAGAGGCAGCACCAGAGGGAGCTAGAGAAGCTGAGGGAGGAGAAGGACCGCCTCCTGGCTGAGGAGACAGCAGCCACCATCTCAGGTGGGGCAGGGCCTGCAACTCTGAGGGTGACTGGCCTTACACTACCTTTTGGCTGAGTTTTAAGCTTCATTTTGATGAGCTGAGGTAAAGGCTGATTTGGGGAGCTCTTGGACAAGAGTCTTGCATCTGAGACCCAGCTGTCCATGACAGTGAGGCTGGCTCCCTGTCTTATCAGCCCCTGTGACAGACACCTATCAGTGTGAGACCCCTGGCTAGATCACCCCCAAACACCAGCCGTAGCTTCTCCTTGGCTGTGTGTTTTATCACAGCCCTGAGCAGCGCATCCATCATCTGGTGTTACCTTCTCTTTATGTAGTTAGTGACATTATAGTGGCTGATTATTTTAGTGTCAAAGAAGAAAGCACAGTATTCTGAAAACCTCATTGTTTTATAAACTTGTGTTTAATTTTAACATCAACATTTATCAATTTGGGGGTTTCTAACACCAAAAATAACACAACTACACCTCTTCTGGAGGGAGATGGTTTGGGGATTCTCCCAGCCCGTCATGAAGTCCAGCTGCTCATGAATTCAGCATTAGCAGCGGGCAGATGTTATGCTGGCCTATCCTACTTAATCCCACGGAAGGGATGGCATAGTGGGGAGGGCCACAACCAATGTGCAACCCCAGCCCTTGGTGCTGAGGGCCATGCCCTTCCTGTAGCCATCGAAGCCATGAAGAATGCGCACCGGGAGGAAATGGAGCGAGAGTTGGAGAAGAGCCAGCGCTCCCAAATCAGCAGCATTAACTCGGACATTGAAGCCCTAAGACGGCAGTACCTGTGAGTCCCTGTCCCTGGAGGGGCTCCTGAGGGAGGCCAGGGGAGGAGAGCTCTCCCTTCCTGTGTCTGTGAGAGCCTCAGTCTGGTGCCAGGGAGGTGGGGAAGCTGTAGTGCCAAGGGCAGCCTACACTGCCCTCCTCTCCAATGGCAGACATGACCCACTTGGGGCTTGTTTCCTGTATTAAAGACTAATCACTAAAATCCAAAGAAAAGGGTACAGTAAAGGACATTTTAAAGTCCTAGCTTGTCCAGGGCAAGAGCCCACCCATAGTTTGTTCTGCATTAGCTTGCTGTGTCTGGCTAGGGTTAGGGTCTGGCTAGGGCTCCGTGGCTGTACATGGTAGAAGTGGCCAGTTACTATACCCTAAAAGCTGTACGTTTACTGATCCTCTTTGTGCAGGCAGGAGAATCTTAGGTGTGTGCACCTGAGCAGCATCTGGTGCTTTTTTCTTGATACCAATAGAATTGATACTGCCAGGGGCATTTGCATTGGCCTCAGGAAGCTGTGAGGTACCTAGACCTTGCCAGGGTCTCTGGGACATGTCAGGAGCAGTTAGTGCAGTTGGGCCCAGGCCATAGCAGCTTAGGCAGATTCCCTACAGTGGCCATGCTCACCTGACTGGGCTATGCTGACAGATGTGCCAGAGTCAAGGTGGTTCATCCTTGGTTCCACCCATGGGAAATCAGCCCTTCTGGCTCCAGGGTAACAGAACAGCATCCTGAGGGTAGGTTTTCTATTATATAGTGTCCATAGCTGGACTTCAGAGACACAGAAGGTAGGAGTATGAAACAGTTTCTGAGTGAGAAGAGTCCTGCATCTGACTTCTCTCAGAAATAGACATCCGTGTGGCCACAGTGACTTGAGTTCTGTACTGAGTGGCATCACCAGAGAGGTGCAGTCTTTGGGACTTCCAGTTGTGAGGAGGAGCAGGCAAAATGCGGAGTAGTTTCTGCAAGCATTCTCAGCACACTTTGGACACAGATAGCATGTGCCTGCTGGTGTGCACCTGCAGTATCCAGTCATCCCAGGATCCTGCAGTATGAGTGGAGGCTGAGGGCTATCATATCCCCAGGGAAGAGCTGCAGTCGGTACAGCGGGAGCTCGAGGTCCTCTCGGAGCAGTACTCACAGAAGTGCCTGGAGAACGCACACCTGGCCCAGGCACTGGAGGCCGAGCGGCAGGCCCTGAGGCAGTGCCAGCGTGAGAATCAGGAGCTCAATGCCCATAACCAGGTGAGCTCACAGTCAGGTGAGCCTGAGCTGGGGTCAGGCCTAACCCTCAGGGTGGCCCCAACCCTGCCACTTGTCCTGATACCCAATGTGCAACCAGCCTGCTGCTTTTGGCCTGTTGCCAGATATTCTTTGTGGGTGGCCAGTGAGGCTGCCCTACCACAGAACAGCTGCTGGGGTCTGGGGCCACTCTCATTGACCATTTCTGAGACCAAGAGTCTGGTGGCTTCTTTGAATCTCCAGTTCATTCTGTGCAGGGCCTGGGGCTCATCCCTGAGAGTCGGGACAACCTTTTTAAGGGCAGCCAAGATTAAACTGCTCAGGATCTCACATTTATGTTTGTCAGATCATTCTTTGAGAGTTCACTGCACCTCAGGAAATTGGAATGCATTTAAATCCTAGCTAGCCCAAAGGTTTGAGTTAGTACTGCTGAGTCCAGTATAAGCTCTTCTGCAGCACCATCTTAAACTGTCCTGCACCAGCCCCATCCTGATGGCCTCCCTGGTAAGGCTGCATGGGCAGGACCAGATCCACCCGACCACCTCAGGGACTTGAATATGACCACTTGTCAGCTGACACTTTGTATAGTGACTTGGACGTCCACATGATTTGGTACCTGCTAAAGTGTTAGAACCAATCCCCAACAGATACTAAGTGACACTGTATTCAATCTGTGTAAACAGCTTTTAGAGAGCTGTACATTATAGGTAGTGAGAGGCTGAAATGTTGAACCTCAGATGCAGCGATGCGCATACATACCACTGTGTGGTATGTATCCTCATCTGTAGGTCCGTGCATGCTGTTGGTGAGAAATGACCTTCCCAGATTTTGTTGTAATATTGGTACCCAGGCGGCTCTGTGGAGGGTCACTGTTGTGTTGTGTTGTGTTGCTGTCTCCCAGGAGCTGAATAACCGCTTGGCTGCCGAGATCACACGGTTGCGAACATTGCTGACCGGGGACGGTGGTGGGGAGGCCGCTGGGTCACCCCTCACCCAGGGCAAGGACGCCTATGAGTTAGAGGTACTGTCAAGAACCAGGCTTAGCCCTACAGCTGTACTACACAGGAGCTTCAGTAGAAAACAGAAGTAGCCCTTAGCTTACAAAGCTTGAAGACAAGACCTGGGGGTGTGGCTCAGTGGTACAGCACTAATTTAGCATGTCCAAGACCCTGGTTTCACCCCAGCAGTACAAAAACCCCAATACTTGAAGTCAGCATTGTGCAAGGTCTGGGAAGACACAAAGTCACCCCAGGACGGCAAGAGAACACTTAGCCATCAGGTATCTGAGGTCCACAGGGAGGAGCAGGGGCCCCTGTGGGTCTTAAATCCCATCCTATTTGCCAAATCTACCCCCATTTCTTGTGCACTGCAAACACTGGCCTTGAAGGTGCCCATTTCATGGATACGAGACACCATGCTGTCTGAGGTTGGATCCTGCCTACCTTGCAGGGATAGGGCACTCATTTTTAAGTCAGAATAACTGATTCTGTAGTGCCAGATGCCTGCGGTCCCAGCTACTCAGGAGCCTGAAGTAGGATCACTTAAGCCCACCAGACCAGCCTGAGCAACACAGCAAGACCCCATCTCAAAAAACAAAACACTGACTCCTGGTGTATGAGATGTTCTCAGGAAGGCGTAGAAATTTCTCACATTAGGTTAAGATTTCACCTCACAAATGCATCACACTACAGGAGAGGCTGAGTGAGTCTGGCAGAAGTTTCCACCAGAACAGTGTCCCAAGCTTTGTGGAGTCTGTCTCAAGAGACCAGCAGGTCAGCAGTGGTGCTCAAGGTGGACCTCAGGCTAAAGCAGAGGACTCTCAGGACTGGGAGGGGTGACCACAGCTCCTTCCTTCTTCTTTCTATTTCTGTATAAAACATGGAAGCTTTGAATGGTATTTAAATTATATTTTCTGTTGGGAATCGACTAGTGTGGGCACAGCTGTCCTGCTGCCTGGTATGTGGAGCCTGTCTCCTTGACTTTCATGTGCCTGAAAGTCAGACCCTATTTTCTGTCTCACAGGTTTTGTTGCGGGTCAAAGAATCAGAAATACAGTATCTGAAGCAGGAGATCAGCTCTCTCAAGGATGAGCTCCAAACAGCACTTCGGGTAATGGCTGCACTAAAAAAAAAAAGGAAGCCATGGGCCCAGACTTGGCACTGCTGCCTGGAATAGATTTCATTTTCATGAGAGTGTTGGTACCAAAGTCAAGGTTTTTTAAAATACTAGATGCCCTAGAAGTGAGCAGCCACCTGGCCTGGCCACGTGGTTGCCATTTCACATGTTTTTGTGTACTTTGGCAAGAATGGTGACAACCAAAGGAATGTCCTGGGGGTGAAACAATGTCTGACCTCCCATTCAGAGTTGAGTCAGGTCTAACCTGTCTCCTCTAGGGGATTCCTGGTATCAAAAACAAAAGGTAATGGAATCTTTGATGACAATCCAGTCACTTAGAAAATCTAAGACACATAGGGATTTCCTGGCTGAAGCTCATGAGGAAGTGTCCTGGGCAATCCAGGTTGCACCAGGCTGCCCAGTTTCTGCCTCTGGGAGATGGTGGCCCATTTGCTCTTGTACTGCCTAGGAGAACAGCCAGTTCCCCAGCCATAGCCAAGTCCTCTGGAGCAGGGTAGGCCAGGATTTGATGTGAGCTTCTTCCCCTGGCTGTAACTGCCATTTGCTTTTGTCCTTCACCACCTAGGACAAGAAGTACGCAAGTGACAAGTACAAAGACATCTACACGGAGCTTAGCATCGCAAAGGCCAAGGCAGACTGTGATATCAGCAGGTTGAAAGAGCAGCTAAAAGCAGCCACAGAAGCACTGGGTGAGAAATCCCCCGAGAGCACCACTGTGTCAGGATATGGTAAGTACTTTGAGTTGATAGCTCATGGAGTTTTTCTGGGACTTGGATCAGAGCTGAAGGATTCAGATGCCTTTGTAGACCTGCATCTCCTCACAGAGCAGAAGTGCAGGAGCAACAAGTGCCAAGACTGCCCTCTCTCCCTTTGCCCAGTGATTATTCTGAGGAGAAGCTGCTCCATCAGCACACATTTCCATAGTAACAACTGGTCTTGTTTTTTGTGTTTTCTAGAACTCAGTTAGTTGCTTGATCCAAGGATTTTACCATGAAAGTTCTGGTGGGGCAAAACAGGAAGCCCCCACCTTCTCCAGTAAACAGTGGGACAGACTGTTCTGTGTTAACTAAAAACATTCAGGTGCCCACACAGGACAGACTGCAGGGAGAGCCACCTTTTGTCAAGCACTTTCAGAAAATCCATGATTCCATCTGACCTTCATGGTGACCTTTTTTTAAAAAGAGACCCACAAACATGAAAGTCTCTTCAAGCTCCCCAATACCCCAAAACTCAACTTTCCTCCATTAGCCAGCTCAGAAAGAGCAACCATGCCAGTGCTGACACATATGTGCAGGAAAAGTAGTTGGCATTGCTAGGATACAAAGTACCACTCTTTCTGGAAGGCAGCTGGCAATATGCAGCAAAATTCAAAATCAAACTACCTAGGGCTGGTAGAGTGGCTCAAGTGGTAGAACACTTGCCTAGCAAGCTAAGGCTCTGAGTTCAAATCCCAGTACCACACACAGACAAAAAAAAAATATATATATATATATCAAAAATCAAACTAACTCTAAAGGGGTAATGAAGTGCTAACAGGGCCCAGGAGAGAGGCAGATGTAGAACTAGGGAGAGTGTGTATGTGTGCTTTTGACCATTATGATACCTCTGGAAAGTGCATAGTAGGGTGTGAGTATTTCTGAGCAACTGTGAACAGGAGTTGGAAACAATAGTCTGCCATAAGGCACAAATCAGGATTGTGAAACTGCAGCCAGCCCAGCCACACAGTGGAAGAGCATGCCAGTAAAAGAGGCCACAGAGATGTTTTTGTGTTGGCATATCTCTATGTAAGCATGTTAAAAACAAAAAAAGCCTACGTGCACAAGACACGTAGTGTGGTATGACCCAGTATGTATTGTGTGTCTGTCTTGTCAATGTTTAAGAAGTCAGAAGGACTGCTATCTCACTGGTATGGGTCCTGAGAAGGACTTGGTCTGACCTTATTTGATGACAGTCCTTTGTCATCAGTGGGAAGTAGGGAATAAATGGGTAATGGGACCAGTTGGTACATCCAGCAGTTAAGGAAGGTCCAGCACAGAAACGAGACACTGTCCCTTGCTGAGAGTTCCTAAATATACAGCTAAGGCACTGGTGGAAACCATACCCATGCTCTCCCAGTATGCTGGTGCTTTGTGGTGTCCCAGAAAGACCTACTATGTGTTGCGGTTATTGACTTGAATTCCCTTAGAGACATTCAAGGACATGTCTAATTGTGTTACAGTAGTGTGCTTGGAAGCTTTTAAACATTCAGTCTGGTTCCAGATTTTAGAAAACAAAGATAATGGGTCTGTTTATTCTTTTAGACATAATGAAATCTAAAAGCAACCCTGATTTCCTGAAGAAAGACAGATCCTGTGTCACCCGGCAACTCAGAAACATCAGGTCCAAGGTGAGTAGGGTCCAGCCTGTGGTGGGGAGGGCTTGAGGACACTGGGGAGAAGAACAAGAATCAAGGCCCAGGCACTGACCAAGCCCAAGGCCACTATGGATACCAGTAGCAGAGGCCCCAGGTCTGGATGCCAGCCCACCCATGCAGTCATGCTGGGCTGGTTCTGGTGGCTTCAAGCTTTGTGTCTCTGTCATGCACCACCTTCTGGCATCAACACCAAGGGACCAGAGCTACAAGAGCAATGTAGAGGGATTCAGCCTTTTGTCTTTGAGGCTGGGCTTTACCCCAGCCCTTCCTGGAATCAGCCCTGCTGTCTGTATTGTTCCCTGCACATCCCTGTCATCACACTGAAACCATCTGCCTTGAGAGATAAAGCCACCTGTGCTCCTTCTCCACTGCACAGTAGCCAATCCCCAAAGTGCTACCAGAGCCAGGCGCGTGTCTGGGAGGATGGGCGGAGAGGGCATGGCCACATGCTGCATTTAGGATTGATTGTGTGTGTATATCTTATTTTTGCTCTTTCCTCTGACAGTCCGTAATTGAGCAGGTCTCATGGGATAACTGACTCGCGCCCGCTTCCAGGTCCCCTGTCGTGTAGGTAAACCACTTCTCACCACCGCCTGCTGCCCGCACCGGGCAGCTCTGCATGCACTGCTCACACCTCCGTAGCACACGCCTCTGTGATTGTTACCTTAATTCACCCTTTCAGCAAGTGCACACAAAGTCCACGTGAGGTCTCGGGAGCTGTCTTGGGGAGTTGACTGGCACTCTAACCTTTTCAGAGCTGCGTCTGCTCAGGGCGCTCTCCAGCTTGGTGGGTGGGCACAAGCCAGCATGCATACTGGGTAATATGTGCACGGTACTGAGCTCATGCCACCCCTCTCTGGGAAACGAGCTATCTTGCCCTCTGTCAATGTGGGAGGTGACAGACACCTGTTGCTCCTAGCCAGTGAAGTCTGCCCTCATGAAAGACCTCAGCCACCCAGTCAGCAGCAAGGTCACCCAGGAGCCCCCCTGTAGATGGAGCAGGTCCACATCGCCCCACTCTACATGGCCTTTCATTCAAAGAACCAATCAATATGTCTGGTAGCACCTGGGAAAATGGTTCTTAAGGACCTGTTGATCATGTACAGGAGCTGAGTATCTCCCAACACTTCTTTTCTTGGTGATACTGGGGTTTGAACTCAGGCTTTGAGCTTACTAGATAGGCATGCTACCATTTGAGTCACGCCTCCAACCGATACTTTTTTTAAACAACACGAAAGCCTTTCTTTCCCTGGGCTCCATGGAGTGGCTGTGCTGACAGGAAGTACCCAACCTGTTCAGGTGAGAGCAGGACACTTTGTGGTCACTGCTCAGCAGCTTTGACCTTCCTTATCCAGTGACGAGGAGGACCCTGGCCTGGTCTCATCCCACTACTGGCTCTTACTGTGACCTGTTAGAGGCATCAGCCTGCGACTCAGATGAAACATGTTAGCCTTAGGAAGGCTACTGAGAAAAACCCAAGGGTTTTAACCTAGTCAGTTTGGTTTTGCTTAATTTTCTCTGGTCCCAAATCACTTACACCCAAATGTGGTTTAGGCGAGATTAAAAACTTAGTTTGGGCTTTTTTTGTTGTTGTTAAATATGAAAAATGTTTAATTTAGTGCAAGGAAACCTGCTCTCTTGGCTCATGGTTTTCATACTGAGGATTTCACTTCTGGCTGAGGTTGAACTTAACTATGCCTTTGAGCCCTTCCTCAGGGGAGCCTGGAGTTCACTGTGAGCAATTTGAGCCTTTGGATCAAGCCTAGAAACAACAGTCAGGATGGGGACCCGAGGAAGTTGTTTTGTGGGGTGTTCAGGCATGCTCATGAACCCCTGCAAGGATAGACAAGCACAAGGCTCAACAGCAAGGGCCTGGGTGGTGAGAGGTGCTAGGTTGGGGATCAAGTAGAGCAGAAGGCATGAGTAGGCCATCAGGATCACTGGGGTGAATCCTAACTCAAAGGGAAGAGGACCAGAAAAACGTGGAAGAAGACCCAGAGACTGTTTTTTCTCAGTTGTTTGTTGTGGCTGGGTTCCTTAGTGTGGGAACCCACACTAAGGGTGGGGCCTCAATGGGGGTGTGTCACAGTGTTGTGTTATGATGTTTCCCTGAGTGTATTTGAAACTTCCCTCTAGCTCCTCATGGACAAATGAAGGAAGCCAGCCAGAAACAGCATCTCATTGGTGCTTTTTTTTTTTTTTTGGAGGTACTGGGTTTTGAACTCAGGACCTCACGATTGATTGCTAAGCAAGCGTTCTATCACTTGAGCCACTCCATCCAGCCCATCATTGGTGCTTCTTGATATGGTCTCTGCTGTGTACTGATCCATATCTTTCCTGTATGCTGTTTTTATTTCCTGCCTCACTCAAAAGGATAGGAAGTCACAGTGCCCACAAATCATAGCAAGCTACTTGCTTCCTAGCAGCATAGCTTTTTGAGATCAAGAGCAGAGAGAGCTTAGTCTCTCCTCAGCGTTCTTGTTGGAGGCCTAAGTCTGTAGTGACCTCTGGGATGCATAAGCCCCAAAGGGAGCCATATATCAGGCAGCAGACCCAAGAGAGAAACAAGCCTTCCCAGGGTTCAAGAGAGCAGAAGGGTTTGGCCTGCTTTCTGCTCTGAGAACTGTAGTGCGCACAGATGCCTGAGTTCACACTACCCTGTCACCCAGGGACTTACATTGTGGTGTGCACAGGGACCAATCCTGGGGACTCACTGTTCGCATGAGTCTCAGGAGTAGCTGCTTCGCTGAAGTCCTGAACGAAAGTCCCCGCTAGAATGAAGTAGTTGTGGCAATGCCAGGCCCCCCAGCTGTCCTCCAGCAGGCACTTTGGCCCAGGCCTTCTTTCCCTGGTGGTAACCAGATTTTCCAAACAGCACTTTAGGAGTCTAGCTGCCATGGAACAAATGGGCTCAGAAGAAGTGACCCCATGGACACCTTGAGGCAGGGGTAGATGTTTACTCACTTAGACACACACACATCATTCTCCACTATTAAAACCAAACGTCAGAGCTGTGGTAACGGAAGCTGGGAACAGAGGGGATTCCAGAGTCCACCTTTTCCCTCAACCCTGGAGAAAGCTGGACTCCCAACCTTGGAAAACACTAGGGTGCCAGTGAGCTGGCCTGGCATTGGGTGCGAGTGTGTGTGTGGGTCCTTGCAGGTAGTTCCAGCACTGCTTGGAATTTTGGCTAAAATTAATCTGTGTGGATGCTGAACTGGAGGCAGTCTTGGGCTTCCTATTTCCTGGTAAAACCTGTGCCTCACTGGCTCTGACCAGCAGAGGTCACCTGGCTGAACCTGATGCCGATGCTGACTTCATAGGAGAGAACTGATCCCTAAGGAGCCACGGCCAGGCCCAGGTCATGCTGGAAACGGACTATTTCAAAAATTCTGAGAAGTGGTACTTCTTTTCTCATCCAGAAATGGGAGTTTTTGGGAAAAGTCTTCAAGGGTACAATGGGGAATAACATGTCCTTCATCTTGTGGCACACAAGGTCCCGTATGAACATTGCAGAAAGTCTGTCAGTTGAGCATGTTGACATGTTCCTAAACCCCACGGTCTTCCAATCAGAGGATACCTGAGGTGGGGCTGCAGCTGCAATGCCACTAAGAGTGTGGCAGGGGGAGCCGGACACATCCTGAGGTGGTCGGTTCCTGGGCACAAAGGTAGAGCTGTGAACAAATCTTCACGCAGGAAGAGACCTGGGTGGGTAGGTTCCTAGTTCTTAGCACAAGTTTTTTTCCTGGCTGAATCAGTCTGATCACTGCTTATCTGAAGAGCCCTAAGCCCAGAATTTAGCTACCTAGACACATGGCCTTGTTTCTCTGAGTTTTCCCTTTTTCATTCAAGTTCCTTTAAGGAAAACACATTCCACCAGTAACACCATTTCACAGGGGCCCTCTGCCCCAGCATGCCCACTAATCTCAGGAGCCTACCCTCTGTCTCTGCCTCCTCGTCTGCACCCGCTGACCAAAGGCGCCTGTGGGGTTGCCAACTTAACACTGCTTCTCCCTCCTGCTCTGTCTCCACCAGAGTCTAAAGGAAGGCCTGACAGTGCAGGAGCGCTTGAAGCTCTTTGAATCCAGGGACTTGAAGAAAGACTAGCTGCGTCCCCGGTCTACTCGACATGCACCCTTCCTGGCTGGCAGCGGCACAACCCAAGCGTGGCTTCTTTGTCTGCACCTTTTGTTTTTTTGTTGTTATTGTCATCATTTAACTGGGTATTGGATGCATGAGAGACTGGTATATGGGTTGCCGCACCATTCCCTGCTGTGTTGATTTTGACTTCCTGTTGTTTTTATCACAGCTTTTTTTCCATGATATTCTTAAATTAGTCAAGCTCAAGCAGTGGGGTAGGGAGGACTGCCCTGTCCAGCGCTGAGCAAACCCCTCCCACTGTCCCACGGCACTCACTGTCAGTATTAAGGCGCAGCAGCCTGTTAATAAGCTAGCCCTGCCTCGGAACGCAGGTGTGGGAACCTGCCTGCAGCTCTGCTCTTCTGCACATGGCCAATGTGATCAGATGGATGCAGTCCCTGTCTGTCAGAGCAGAGCTGAGCCACCCTGCCATTCTGGTCTGGTGTGGACCACAGCAGGAACTTACCTGCCTGGTTGCTAGAGGAGGAGGTGGCCTGGGGCAAGGGGAACAGCCTGCATGCACTGCCTTTTTGGCCTGTGAGGAAGACAGCATTTTGTATTTGTTCCACTAATGCAGCTTAGAGCCACGCCCCAGATAATCCTGGCAAACCTTTCACAACCTGGAAAATGTTGAAAGCAACCATTCGTATTTTTGTTTGTTTTTTTATTAAATCTTGCACAAAACCCCCGGCCCCTCTCATTCCTTCCTCCGCCTGTGCCTCCCCTGCTCTGCAGTAACTCCAGTCTTCCTACTGCTGGGATTGGTGGCCTGCAGCCTGGGGCTTTAGACTCGGTTTTGCCAGAAGTGAGGGGTTCCCTCTGGGAGTCATCCAAAGGGGGAAAGGTTACTGGGTTTTTGGTTTGTTTTTTTAATTTATTTATTTTTCTGAAACTGTCATGTTGTTTTTGAAAAGACTAAGGAGACACCATGCAAAGCAGGATGCAATGAGACCGGCCAGCAGGCCATGCTCAGGACTCTGATTGATCAGAGTTCTGAAAGTTCCCTTATAGTGTTTGCCTCTGGTAGAGCCTGGTTAAAATGAACCTGTGCTAACAAGTTTGCCTTCCTAACTGTCTGACCAGGGCCACAACCTCTGCACACTTCCTGAAACTCTGTTACTTTGAGGTTTCTGTTCTGGTCCAGTTCAGACCATAAGATGTGCATATTGAGGAGCCCCAGTTCCCAGGTTCATTGGCTCCATGGCCAGGAGGTCTGCTTTGTGCTGAGGCTTGAGTTGGCCAGATTGTCTCTGGGCACACTCATGCTTTAGGGGGTAAAAACTTAGAAATTCCTTGTCAGCCTCTAGATTAGTTGATGCTCAAGGTCATCCAGGCTTCTGATTGGCCCCAGTGGGTAGACAGGCAGGACAAAGGCCCTGAGATGGGATGGCTTATGACACACCAGTTGCCGTCCTCACTGGGATGCACAAGCTTTGAACCGTTCTCATATCTGTTGGAAGAGAAAATTTGGTCTGTGTAAAAATTTACATATCACACCAACAGCGCTTTGAGAAATGACAGCACAGGAATATGCAGGAGACTGGACAACTGTCCCCCAGATACCAGTAGGGCATGCTGTGCCTGGTCTCCAGTTCTGTGATTTCACGTTCTTAAACACTACTGCCCTCCCCGCTTGAACATGGTTTATGGTTCCTTTGTGACTGTCTTTCTGCCCCTGGGACCCTCTGGCCAAGCTGTAGGCAGCTCCCTACCCTCTGCCCTCTTCCCTGGTGCTGCTGGGAGACAGGCTTCTCTTGTCTTCAGGCCAGCAGTGCTTTGAATAAAAGCAGGTTTACCCACAGGTCAAAAGCATCTTATCTGTTCTTCATCACTTCTCTATCCTTTGAGGCTGAACCTGGCAACCCTATAAAATGAACTTGCTGAGTATGTGGGGGTGGGAGGTGTTCAGATGAGTTGGGCACTGCTCATCCTCCTGGCAAGGGTCCCATATTTGTCACAGGACAACAAACTCACTGCCCCAGGGCTGGTTTGGTGTATGAGTATTAGCAGAAAATAACCTGGATGCTGAGCAGAGAGAGGGTAAGGAAGTCCCCCTGCAGCCTCCCCACCACAGCCTGCACCTGCCCAGGCATTTCTGAGCATGGACACCTAGGGACAGATCCTGCCTAGTCTTCAGTTTCCTGCTTGTGGGTTCTGTCCTTTGGGCAGAGTGAACCAGGCAAGAAAGAGAAAGATGATGTTCTTGTTCCCCCAGTATGCCCCAAGATGCTTGGCAGTGTCCTCCCTGCAGGTATTCATTCCATCGCCTGGCAAGGAAATGAGGCAGGTGTGTTCCAGAGGGAGGAGGAATGAGATGGGCATGTGAAGGTGGTGTGTGGTGGCAGGGCTGCTCAGGCAGCAGAGGCTATGGACAGGGTGATGTAGGTGTCTGGGAGCCTCAGGCTGCTTCCAGCACAAACAGTGGCAAGTTTCCCTGCTGCACAGTGAGGAAAATGTTGAAATGGGTGGGTTTAAGTTCTGATCATTTTCCTATTAATGCTCATTTGTAATCTGCCAGCACCTGCAAGCCATGCCAGGCATGGGAAAACCACTTCCCATATAGATGTCACAGCTGTTATGACATCTATATGCTACATCATGTGCCTATGTCAACACCCATGAATGCACACACACATAAGAATCATCTTATGTTAGTTAAGTTACCACTGTGATGGACAGCACCCAGCAGGAGAGAGGTGCTGGCTGCAGCCTCCTTGATGCATTATGCTGACTGGGGCCCAAATAGGAAGCTGCAGGAAACCCAAAGGAAGCCTGGGTCCAGGTGAAGCAAGGAATGTCCTAGATAGGTGAGGGAAGTGGCTTGGGAACATGTGGGTTCATTAAGCAAGAGCTGAAATGAAGTCAGCTGAACCTCTACCAGATCCAGCAGTATAAGGGAGAAGAGCACACAGAAACAGGTACACACTGTGGGACTGTTGACCCACAGACTCAGAAAGACTAGGGAGGAAATTGCAGTTTTTTAAGAATAATGAACTGGGCAGGGGTGGACATGCCTGTGATCCTAGCTACTTGGGGGCCTGAGACAGGAAGATTATGGATTTGAGGCCAGCATGGACCCTGTCTCTAAATAAAAATGGGTTGGGGTATGACTCAGTGGTAGAGAAGCTACCTAGCATGTGTGAGGCCCAGGGTTTAATACCCAGCCCCTCAAAAAAAGAATACAGTTATGAAACTCAAGAGTTCTGAGAAGGAACAGGAAGGAATCCAGACAGATCCAGCCAGGAGACAAAACTGATGGCAGACATTTGGTGGAAAGTACGTGCTGTCATTCATTTCCTTTCCCACAGAGGGGGACTGCACACTGGCTTTTACCCACATGGGAATGTGCTGAGAATTGAGCACATTCCTGTTCACCACCAATGCCTAGCTGTCTCCAAGGGAGGTGGCTGGGCACTTGATGGATATTGGCTTGCACATCTGCAGTGCCGTGGACCAGGATTCTCCTGCCCAGGTTGGGTGTGTGGGCACATCCCCCACACCAACAAGCAGCCTTCCTCTTCTGGCTTCCAACCATCCCCTGGTTCCCAAGACCAGGGCTGGATGAGCACCCCAGGACCCCATGGAGCGTGATGTCAGAATGTGCCTTCATGTGCACATCCGATACAAGCCACATGGTGGTGATCCCACTCCACTCCTTGCCTGGAACTTGCAACAAGGTGTGCTTCCCTGCAGCCAGGAGGCACAGCTAACACCTCTGGGCCTAGGCACACCTGCTGGAAGAGGGGACATAGGCCAATATGTATTTGCCTGCCATGCTGAAGACATTGCCCACCACTCTGCAAACAAGTGTCTCAGGCGTCCTAGCTTCTCTATGAACAGGGCGTCCTTCTCAACTCCTACTGGACTGACTGGAGCAGGGAAGTCAGTAGCTCAAAACCACAGCACATGGAGATAGGGACAAGGGTGAAGGTCACAGGAGCTTGGTGCAGTGAGGACTGCACGGAAGTTGCTGCATTGTATGCTGTGTGGCTCGCTGCCACTTGGGCTCATTTTTCTCAGACTACAGGGCAAGCAATGTAAAATTGCTGAGAAACGACTGCAGGAATTTTTGTGAAAAGTTTGGATTTTTAAACAACTTGTCTGGACGCCTCTTTTTTTTAAGATGGGAAGGACAGTGTTGGGGGCTGTGTTGAGCCACACCCAGTCCTGGAAGAACATGATTTGATGACTCATACCTGCATAAAAGCCTTGGTCATTTAACAAAAGTTTTAAGAACTGTGTATAGTAGCTAAAGTAACCCCTTGTCACACCATACCTTGTTTTTCATTGGAAGCATTCTGTAATAACCTGCTCTTATAGAGCCACTCAGACACCTCAAGTAAAAGTAGGAAAATGAGGGAAAAAGAGTTGTCTTGACCAGGCCGTCTTTCATACAGACTTTAGACTTCTCATTGGAGGAACCGTGGCTGAAGGCACACGGCTACTGGGAGTCTTGGGGCCTGGTTTCTGACAGCTTTCAGGACTGTTCATGGGAAGGACTCTGTGCATAGCACCTGAGACACCTGGATCCCCAACTACCTAGCTGTAGTGTGTATCACTGTGGCAGTCACAAAGCCTCCAGTGTGTATTTCTGTGACTTTGGTAAGGAGATACTTGGTCAAGGGAGAGTCAAAAATTGTACGGTCCAGTACTCTAGAACCTAGAAGACACTGCAGTGTCCTGTGGTTCACCAGTGAGCTTAGGTCTAGGCTTCCATGGTGGGCAGGGGCCTTCCCAAATTCACCATAAAGAATTTTTGGGAAATAGTTGTCATTGGATCCAGCCTACTGTAGTCAACATGCCCGCAATTCTCTTCCCTTTAGAAGATAGTCATATCACCTATCTAGTTTTATTTTAGCTAGAATTAAATTGTAAAGAACACTAAATTCACTATTGTGTTATGTTTCTATCACAAAACCTTAATTAAAAGGATTTTGGGATTTTCCTTTGGTATTAATAACTTATCTACACAGCCTTAATGCTAGGACTCAAAACCAGTTCCATGACAATAGTGCTTTTCCTGAGGTGATACTTATTGTATGTAAAGTATCCCAGTGGCTCCTCACAGAACTCTCAGTGACCTTCTCACACTACCCCTCTATCAGCTCAGCTGTCAGACAAAACAGACTGCCCAGCTGTGGAGGTGGGGCTGGGCCAAGGACCATTCCTGGCTGCTGCCAACCGTCTGGTGACAACCCACAGAACCACTTCTGCTACTTATTCAGTAGTGAAGATAAATAGCTCATACCGTCTTAGCTCGTGTTTGTGTTCTGGCACAAAATTATTTTGGTTGCCAGACTAGAAGTTATGTGCAAAAGAAAAAGTCTGATGAGCCAGAGAGGTACTTGAGCAACAGCTTCCTCAGCTAGGTTAGGTCTCAGGCCTGAGAAGTCCCTGGAACCGAGTGCCCAGGGTGGTAGCTTTCCACTATACACAACCACCTGAGCAGGGCTCCTGCCCCTACTCACACTCCAGTTCTGGGCTTCCCCGCCCCCCGCAGTACTGGGGTTTGAACTTGAGCCACTCCACCAGCCCTTTTGTGATGGGTTTTTTTCGAGATAGGGTCTCTTGAACTATTTGCTTGGTCTGGCTTCGAACTGCAGTCCTCCTGATCACTGCCTCCTGAGTAGCTAGGATTACAGGCGTGAGCCACCAGTTCTGAGCTTAGGCATTTCTTTTTTAATCGTACAAAGTTTGTTGATCAAGTGCTCACTAAATTTGAAGTGTTACTTTGTCAAATGTTTATTCCTTTGTATGACACTAGACTTGCATGGCTGTGGCTGACCATTTTTATTGTAAATATTTCCTTACTACATGAAATACATCATAAACTATTTTTACATCACCCTTTGCATGCTCTGTAATGGGGTGTTAATTCACAGCAGATAAGTGTGAAATGTGTGTTTAGCTCACAAGTCAGAAACTGAGGGCTATGCTAGGCAAATACTCTACCATTTGAGCCATGCCCCCCCTACAGCCTTTTTATTTTGTTTTTGAGATAGGGTTTCACTAAGTTTGCCCAGATTGGCCTCAAAATCATGATCCTCTTTCCTCCATCTCCCAGTAGCTGGGGTTACAGTGTGCACCACCACCCCTAGCTAATTTTCAGCATTTTAAAATAACAATCCAGATTTTACATGTTCACACACAAGCCATAGTAAGAAATATTCCACATCTAGAATCTAAGCTTTATTGCCTTGGTTATAGAAACCTTCAGGGGCTATAAAAGAACAGTAGTAAGAAATATTGATGGTGCTGCCTTCGTAGTCAGGGTATGATAACTCTCCCAGCCTGTTTCTCTTATTTATTTTTGTGGCACTGGGGATTGAACCCAGGGCCTAATGCATGCTAGATAATCACTTTACCACTGAGCTATATCCCTTGCCCAAAAGTGTAAGCCAAGCTGGTCTCTAACTTGTAATCATCCTGCCTCATTGTCTTCAGTTTATTCATTACTGGTGTGCTAGACTTACTTGCAATAAAACTATAACTTCTGTTTAAAAAATGCATTCTAATGACCCAAAACACACAACAAAATTAAATGAAACAATGATCTCTTGCTATGATATAACCTGATGTTTCTGTTCTGTTTCATTTTTTAAAGTTCTGGTTGAATAAATAAATTTAAAATAAATTGGATTTTTTTCAATATTGTCACAGCCTTTAGAATAAAATTGTGAAAATGAATGTGTGGGAATCCAAACTTCAGGAAAATTAGAAATTAAGTCTCTACCAATTAGAAATCAACTTAAGGAAGTTGTAAACCTATCAAAACAAAAAGTCAATTACAGACATAAAAAGATAAATATTGGCCTGTGGCCTCCCCACCCTTCCTATAGTGCTGGACCTAGGATCCCCTCAGCTCACCTGCCACCATAGCCAACAAGGAAGCAGCCTTTGACAACACAGTGGGAGAACATGAGTTCAAAATGTGGAAAAAGAACACCCCTTTTCCTTATGATTTGGTGATAATCCATGTACTGGAGTGGCCCAGCCTAACCTCACAGTGGCTTCCAGGTGTAACCAGACCCGAAGGGAAAGATTTCAGCATTCACCAATGTGGCCTGGGGACATACATTGGATGAACAAAATACCTTGAAATAAAGTGTACATCTCACAATGATGCTCAACATAACCCTTCGACAGGAGAATTTGGAGATCTTGGCTGTTGGTAGGAAAATTTAAATTCATGAAGGAGAGGTAAATAGGGCCCGTCATATGCCCCAGAACCCTGGCAGCACTGCAACGAAGATTCTATTCAGCGATGTTTTTGGTTTTGACTATAGGAAACACCCTTTTAAGCCAGATCCCACTGGAGAGTGCAACCCCGACACATCTCCATGGACATCAGAAGGCAGGCTGTGGGCCTTCTTGGAACTCAGCTCTCAGGGGGTACTTACTCAGTGCTTCAGATGACCACACCATCTGCTTGTAAGACATCAGGAAGGAAAGGTAGTGGATGCAAAGACCATTCTTACAGGGTATACAGCAGTAGTACAAGAGGTTTCCTGGCATCTGCATCATGAATTTCATTTTGGGTCTGTCACTGATGATCAGAAATTTAGGACTTGGATACTTTTTCAAACAGTACTTCCAGACCAAGCCACTCAATTGATGTTCACAATGCTGAAGTGAATTGCCTGTCTTTTAATCCTTCTTACAGTGAGGTCTTTCTTGCCACAGGATCAACTGACAAGATTATTGCCTTAGCCAGGCGCCCATGGCTCACGCCTGTAATCCTAGCTACTCAGGAGGCAGAAATCAGGAAGCTCGCAGTTCAAAGCGAGCCCTGGCAAATAGTACACAACGTCCTATCTCAAAAATAACCAACACAACCCAGGCACAGGTGGCTCATGCCTGTAATCCTAGCTACTCAGAAGGCAGAGATTAGGAGGATTATGGTTCATAGCCAATCCAGGCAAATAGTTCACAAGACCCTATCTGGAAAAAATTCATCACAAAAAAGGGCTGGTGGAATGGCTCAAACAAGTGGTAGAGCATCTGCTTAGCCCTGAGTTCAAATGCTAGTACCATCAAAAAAACAAATATTGCCTTATGAGATCTGAGAAATCTGAAGCTTAAGTTGCATTCCTTTGAATCACATATGGATGATACACCAAATTAGTGGTCCCCTCACAATGAGACTATTTTGGCCTCTAGTGGTACTGATCGCTGAGTAAATGTCTGGGATTTGAGTACAATGGAGAGGAATAATCCCCAGAAGATGGAGATATGGCCCACGAGAGTCATTTACTCATGATGGTCACACTACCAAGATACCTGATTTCTCCTGGAATCCCAATGAACCTTGGGTGATTTATTCTGTATCAGAAGATGATCTAATGCACATGTGGCAGATGGCAGAGAACATTTATAATGATGAAGTAATCATGGGTCCAGCAGGACAAGAACTTTAGCTCTGTCCACACTTGTGAATTTAGACTCCTCTTTCTTTCCTCACATCCTTGACACTGATTTCATACTGGTTTTGAGACATGCAGACTTTGTGTAGCTACCCTCTATAACAGATCCCACTACAATGCTATTAGCCCAGCATTTCTAAATCTTAACTGGAGGACTTGATTCAACAAAGCCACAGATGTACAATTTCTTCAGGGTTTTGGTTTTTAGTGGCACTGGGGTTTGAACTTAGAGCCTCACGCTTGCTAGGCAGGTGCTCTACCACTTGAGCCACTCTGCCAGCCCTCTTCAAGAATTCTTTTGGATCACTTCTCAGCCTTTTGGCTAAGATCAAGTGTAGTATCTGTTCTTACCAGCTTAATTCTGGTACGTCCTGTATTCAAGGACAATGTATTAAATGGATTTTTGGAACAGGGAGATGGAATAAGAACTTGCTTCGTCCACTCCACGCACTGACCTGGTATTGCAGTCCCTCCAGGAATTGTGCACACAAAAAATAAAATAAAATAACCAAGACCTAAAGTAGTTACAGAAAATGTTATGTGTGATTATGTTTCTCCTTAAGCTGTGTCCAAGTTTTTCAGACTCTAAGAGCTAGAGTAAAGAATAGAGCCAAATGAGGTAGGTGTCTGAGCAATGAAGTATAAATACTGCAAGATACCATTTTTACTCAGGAATTAGGGAAAATGTGAGTCATATACATTCATATTTTAAACTTCCACACCTGTCTTTCCAGGATGCACATTTCCTATGTAGACCAGTCTTCTCTTGATTTCTTCAGTTAAGTCAAAATTATATGGTCCTCCTTCCCCATTTATTTTTGATCATTAGTGGATTTCTTGAGCTGTGTTTGTATTATTCTTTTCCTTTCTGTAAAATGTTTTGTGCTATTTTTTTAATTTAAATTTGGGACCACCAGATTGAAGATTGCTTTTACCTGGCAGTTGTACCACAGGTGGACTTTCAAGTTGAGAAGAGTGGATTGACAGATTTTATTTGTTAAAATTATATTAATCCTTGATAAGAGTTGCTTTTTTTTTTTTTTGAAGAGTTAGTCCTTAGCCATTAGTTTGATACCATCTCCATTTGGGGTGACCCATTTCACTAGCAGGCCTGTTACTCTCCCTTACTAACTGTGTAAGTGCTTATAGCGGAATAAATTGCTTTTCTACATAACAAAAGGTAAGTAGTGTGTTATTACAGTTGTTTAGGGACTTTTCAATAGTTTTTTGCCTGTTTTAAAAAAATACTGTAGTCAAAAAACAAAAAGGATTTTAAAAAGCAAAAAAATTGTAGTCAAATGTACACAGCAAAGTTTTTAGACACTGGCCTAATGTGGAGTCCATAACTTCAACACATGCTATTTTTTTTAAAGCTATGTAAGTACAACTTAAAATCAGTTGGCATTTGCAAATCCAACATTCTTTCGTTATTTAAAAAAAAATTATGCAGGCACTGGTAGCTCATGCCTATAATCCTAGCAATTTAGGAGACAGAGATCAGGAGGATTGCGGTTTGAGGCCAGCTTGTGCAAATAGTTCATGAGACTCCATCGCCAAAATAACCAGAACAAAATGGCCTGGAAATGTGGCTCAAGTGGTAGAGCACCTGCTTTGCAAGTGCAAAGCCCTGAGTTCAAACCCCAGTGCCACACACAAAAAAATTTTAAAAATCAGCAACCAGCAACAAAAGAGAACTTTCTCAATATGATAATCAGCATACATGAAAAACCCACAGCTGATCATAGGCAATGGTAAAAGGCTGACAGCTTCCCCCCAGGATCGGGAGCTAAACAAGGTATCTGCTTTCACCAACGTTGTACAGAGAAGTTTAGCTAGAGCAATCAGGCAAGAAAAAAGAACCAAAGGCATCAAACTGAAGAGAAGACAGACGTCTGTTTGCAAATGAAATGATCTTGTATGTGGGAAATCCTAAGGGGATCCATTAAAAATTTTGTTTAGGGGCTGGAGAAGTGGCTCAAGTGGTAGAGTGCCTACCTAGCAAGTGTGAGGCCATAAGTTCAAACCCAGGTACTGAAAAGAAAATTTGTTTAGGCCAGAAGCCCATGGCTCATGCCTGTAATCCTAGCTACTTGGGAGGTTGAGATTGGGAGGATCTTAGTCAGCCTGGGGAAACAGTTCGAGACCCCCATCTCCAAAATAACCAGTGAAAAATGGACTGGAGGTGTGGCTCAAGTGGCTTTGCAAACAGAAAGCCCTGATTTCAAATCCTAGTCCCACCAAAGAAAGTTTTTTTAGTAAGTTCAGAGACTTTGCAGGATAGAAGATTAGTATACAAAAATCATACCTATTTCCACATACTAGTTATGAATTGTCAGGCTCTGTCTAAAATTAAACAATTTCATTTATAATAATGCCAAAATAAATTTTTAGAAAGTATAGGACTTGCACACTGCAAACTACAAACATTCAAATAAGGAATATTTAAATAAACAGGAAGATATTCCACGTTCATGGGTTGGAATATTTAAGATGGCAATACTCCCCAACTTGATTTGTAGTCAGCACAATCCCTACTGAAATCCTTGATACTTTTCTCACCTCAGAACTTAGCAGCTGATCTTAAATTTTACATGCCAATGTAAGGGACCCAGAATATCCAAACCAATGTTGGAAAAGAACAAAGTTTTTGTGAGGGATAGTGGAGTGTGGCTCAAGTGGTAAGAGCGCTTGCCACCAGATTTCAAAAATACCATCTGTAGCAATCAAGACAATGTGGGGGCTGGGGGCGTGGCTCAGGTGGTAGAGCGCCTGCCTAGCAAGCACAAGGCCCTCAGTTCAAACCCTAGTACTGCAAACAAAGGACTGTGATACTGTCATTTACGATAGACAAATCAATGGAACAAAATTCAGAGTCCAGAAATAGGCCCTTAAATTTTTGATCAGTTCATTTTCAACAAGGGTGTCAGTGCCATTCTTGAGGGAACCATCTTTTCAACAAATACTGCTGAGGCAAGTAGATAGCCACAGGCAAAGACTGAGGTTAGACCTCCTGTCTCACGCCATTCACAAAAATTAACTCAAAATGGGTCACGGGCCTAGCCACTGAACTAATGAGATGGAGCAGTTGGAGGGGAGATTCCTTAGACGCATGAAGCAACTGTCAAGTCTACTTGGGAAATTTTAAAGTCTTTCTAGAAGGAGACAAGACAAAATCCTGAAGACAGAGGCTCAGGTGACCTCCCCAGCCTCTTCCATTCCGTGCTGAGTCTTCAGCATGCTGGAGCAGAAACCATTTGTCCCCTTGGCCTGTCTATTGCTGGAATGCTGCCCTGAACAACTGCTTCCTGAAGGATCTTCTCCATCAAGATCAAATGCTTGCTTAAGTGGCATTCATGGTCCTTGGGTATCTGTGGTACCCCTGTGCCTGCTGGTCTGACTACCAGCCTGCCATGGTCACTCGGGGCTCTGCACCTGCCCCAGCGACCCTCATGCTACTTGGGAGCTCATGCACATCAGTACTGCAACTGAGGCACACCTCTAGATAGTCTGTAGCAGCCTTCACTTTCAAAAGTGTTTCCTCAGGGATGTTTTAACTTCTTCACAAATTCTTAGCAGAAAGGTTAACCGAAAGGTTTTGTGAGGGATAGTGGAGTGTGGCTCAAGTGGTAAGAGTGCCTGCCTAGTAAATATGAGGCCCTGAGTTCAAACCCCAGTACCACAAAAAAAGAAAAAAAAAAGTTTTGTGAGATTCAACTTTCTTCTGCTAAAATGATGGAAATTTTAAGTGTTGCATTAAGTAATTTCATAAGTCAAACATTCCTGCAGACAGCTCAGCCAGGGGACTGGAGAGTGTACACATATGGTTCCTGATAGCCGCACACTGCAGAGAACATCAGTGCTCTCTAGTAGAGGTGCAGTCGTGGTGTGCCAGGGGCTCCGGCACACAGACTGACACAGGTCAGGGGGTGGGAAAGGAAATAGCTGGGATCAGTCGTGCTTCTGCTTGTAGGTCTAGAAATAGTATTCAAAGCAACTGGAACATTTTGGAAAACACTAATCCAGAAGGAACCCAAGTAACACCTTGTAAGTCCTGCTGCTCTGAGGAGCTCCTGTTTGATCGTCAGTGTCCAAACAGCTGTATCCCGCCCCCGTAAGAAGTTTTGTTTAATAACAGACTGAGGCAGGGACTCACAACAATTTGTCCTCCAGAATAACATTTATTTAAATGTACCAGAAGCCCAGAATCTCAGGCTCACCATCCATGAGACACTTTGTGACAGGTATCTCCCCTGCCCCTTCGCAGAACATTCACTATGGGAGTTCAGACTCAGGAAGAACACATCTAATGTCATTATTTCTGGGTATATTACACTTTACGGTTTCCACTAAATTTCTTTTTAAAAATTCAAGTTTACTTGCTTAACACTAAGTCAAAGATAACACTAAAAATTAAAAAAGGAAACACATGAACACAAGGCCCTGAGTTCAAACTTCAATACCACCAAAAAAAAACCTCACGTAAATACTGTAGCACTGAGTGTTCTCTGGGACTAATGGTGTGAGCTGGGGAAGGAGAGACCCCCATCCACTCATCAAACTTAGGATGGTCACCAGGCACCCAGCACAAACACAGAGCATGGGTGACAGCAAAACTGCAACCCATGTCAATCATGCTATCTGACTATAAGATGTTATTTAAAAAAACAAAGTAATTTGGGACATTTCACAAATGCATGAGATACTTGTTCCTCTCTCTCTTAACACCCAGCCCAAGCTGAGAACCCAGCCCCATAGTCACCACAGCCTGAGCCTCCTCCTCATGAGAGCAACTCACGACCCAGTGAGCTGGAACACACATTAAAGATGAGGTCACTTCTAAATACACAGATTACCTTGAACGTGACAGTGTTAAAAAGCACAACATGGAAACAGATGCAGCTTCTGGAATGCCTGCAGCCCTTACTGGCAGCCTATGGACTACACCACAGGAAAACAGAGGCCAGCTGTGAGGGTCAATGCTCACACACACATCAGGAAGCCACCTAAGAGAATGACCTGTCTTTTGTGGCAACTCCCATTCTAGGATGAGGGCTCCCCACCTGCAGCATTACACACACTGGCTCCTCTCTGTTGGCTTCCTCTAGCAAGGAACAGGAAGACACTCATCCCAGCTAGGAAATTCTGATCCAAAGGGGAGAGGGAAAACCCTCAGGGACATGCCAGGGGCTGAGCAGGACCAAGCTGGCCAGAGAAGGAGACTTGCTAGCATATGAGGAGGGAGATGTTCATCCCTGAAGAAGACCCCATGCCCATCTGTGCTGCAGAAACTTTGGGTTCCAAAGCAGGACAGGTGCGAGGCAAAGCTTCAGAGCAGCCTGCTCTAGGCAGTGGCTGGGCTGATGGGTGCAAATAAACCGCTCTGTTACCATGGGAACTTCCCTCTCAACCCCATGTTCTCTAGGTCAGTTCAGGACTTCAGGGAGCCAGTTTTGCACTGGTGGCCTTTTTTTTTTTTTTTTAAGCATAGAGGGCTCGGAGACAGCAGGGCAGCCAGCAGCACACAATCCCTGGGCCTCTTCCCTCCCACACAGGTGAGGGAACAGCTTCAGCGACCCTGCTTCTTCTGGGGGAAAAAGCTGTATTTGGTGGGGTCAAACTCTTCCCAGATGCGCTCAAATTCCTCCAGGAACAGCCTCACGTACTCAGCGTCCTCCATGATCAGGACATTTTCTCTGTTGTTCTGGATGGCTTGTGTGGTCCAGTTGAGGGAGCCAGTGATGAGCACCTTCTTGTCTACGATGGCAAACTTGTGGTGCATGTAGCCCAGGTCCTGGTCATGCCGCACCTGGATACCTGTGGGTCACGGTAGCCTCTCACTCACTTGCCCAGCATGGCCACCTGGACTGTCAATGTTGCTGCCTGCTGGTGGTCCCAGTAGGCTGCTGAGACCACCCAATGGGGCAAAGGCAGAGCGTGTTTCTCAGGAGGACACACAGAGCAGGGCTGGGACCAGTTAGCCCAGAAGAGCAGGGTGGTCCTGAGGGACACACAGAGTTGGTGACCCTGCACCCTTGACTACCATGCCCTTTCCTCTGGGGAACAACCCACCCCATACCAGCGTCCACTATGTCTGGAGTCCAAACTAGCAGCATGTTCCTTCAGGGCTTCAAGGCAGTACCACAGAGTGGCGTGGCATGGCATCGCCTTCCCTTTCAGCTCTCGCTTGGTCAGGGGAAGGGACAAGTTGAAGAGGACAAAGGCCTAGGCAGGAAAAGCCTCACCTCACCTGGGCAACTGTGGCCAGAACTTCCCAGGGTGCCTCACTAGCAGACATGCAAAAGAACTATCCCTCCACCTTGGCCTGCTGCCCTCACCTGAATCATGCTTTGACTTCTTACTTTTGGTGGTGAAGTATTTTGAGGGTCTTTTTGTGGTGCTGCAGATGGAACCCAGGGCCTCAGCACACTAGGCAAATGCTACCATTGAGTGACATCCCCAGCCCTCAGATTCATTCCAGCTGTCCTACTCCCCCGGGCAGGGGCCTTCCCTGTCTTGTTCTCCGGGGTACTAGCCCTGGATGTCACCTTCTGCATCATCCACTCACAGAATGAGACCAGAATTAATAAGCCTTAAAGAAGAGTTTAAAGTAGGCACTTTGAAATCACTGCTCAATTTACCCACTCGAATCCAGTAATGCCGGGGTGGACAAGTAAGGCTGGAAGGCGCGTGCCCCACGCAGCACACGGGACCTACACTGGAAACTACCCAGCGTTTATGCGGAATGCAAATTCACATGTGCATCCTGCCTTGGAAAGCAGTTTTCTTTATAAAATAAAGGACCATCTGCCCCTTCCTTTCCTCACCAATCTACCAGTGAATCCTGTCAGCAAGACCTTCAAAACAGATCTACAATCCGACTCTTTCAGATGACCTCTACTATTACCACAGGCTCTCCCATCACCAGCCTCCCCTGCAGTCCCACCCGCCCACCACTGTTCTCCTCAGAGGCCTCTGCGTGTCACTGCCAGCCTCGCAGAAGCCCAAGAGCCTGGTCCCCCAAGCCAGCCACACTTTTCGATAATCCCCACCTTTGACCACAGGTGATCTCTTGCTATTATTCTTCGGTGACCTTAGTTTGTGACAGGGGACTTGTACTTCCCCCTCCGCAGCACTCACTCAAGTTGTTCAGTCGCCAGCTCTGTGCAGCGTCTGGTTACTACACTGCCTCCTCTGAGTCTTCCAACAGACCTGTGTGCTTCCCCACAGGGACTTAGCCGGGCAACTGCCACGTCCCCGCACCTGGCATCAGGCATGGCAAATACTTGCACACGTTGTATTTGCTGAAGGGATGAATGCTGATGGACAACCTGGAGTTCACGGAGAGGTGGCAAGGGCCACATGGGGTGAACCGCCTTCGGTGGGAGTTCAGATCCTCCCAGACCTGAGATTCTGTGATTCTCCAAAATAGCTAATTAAGCCTAAGGGTATCCACGTGTTCCCCACCGCCACAACCAAAATGACTTACAGACTGAGAACTCTGACTGCCAGTAAGAGGGGGAGGTAACACCCTCGGTACTCTGCTCGGCCCCACATGGATGCGTTGTGTAGGGCAGAGGGAGTGGGACCCAGTTCCCAGAGGTTCCTAGGTGGCCCAGGTCAGCAGGAGACCAGTGCTGGGCAGAAGGAATGGGACAGTGAGACCACCACACAGCCTGGGTACTTCCCAAGGGCCAACAGAATGACCAGATGACACATGCAGGCCTGGCTCTCCCAGGTGCCCATGTGATGGAGATGCCCAAAGTTCATACCCAGTGTGGTGTGGTGTCAACCACACCAGAACACAGCAGCAGCTGAGGACGTGGGTGGTCCATACTGCCTGTCTCCTTCTATACCCACCCTAGGGAGAGGCAGGTTTCCCTAGAAATTGCAGCTGAGAAACAACTGCTCAGCAACTGAGTATTTGTCTCCACTTTTTAATTCATCATTTTTTATACATTTCCAAAGCCCAGCATGAAATTCGCTAGTGAAGCAGGTGAACAACATGAGCTGAAGGCAAACTCTGGCCACCTGGCAGCAGGTGAGGGGAAGGTGCGGTGGGGCAGAGAGAGACTCAGTGTCTGGGCTGGCTGCCTGTGGCTGGCCATCCATCCAGAGGTGTTTTTAAGCTTCACCGCACCCCCCCCCCACACACACAGTTTCCTGAGTCCTGTCAGACTGAGCCATCTTCACTTCCCCAAACTGCTGGCTGGGGTACCCACACCACCTCTGCTTAAGTACAAGCTGTCACCACCGGGGGACAAGAATAGTTGGAATCCAGGAGGCTCCACCCGCCGTCATCTTCTCCTTACTAGGAATACAGTACAAACGAGACAAAAGACGCTGGGCACAGAATGGCACCTTGGCCCGGCTCACGTGGCTTGACCTGGGGAAGAGGGAGACTCCACCCTGCGCTCACAAGGTCACCAGAGAAATGAAATGAGGTCTCGGCCTGTCCTGGAACCTCCTCCCCAAGTGTCCACCCCACCCTCCACATACCCCTTGGCCATGGGTCCTCACCGCGGCTTACCTGCCTTGCGCAGCAGGCCGATCTGCGAGCCGTTGAGGGCCATGTAGTCGCAGTCGGTGATGACCCGCACACGCACCCCGCGCTGGTGCAGCAGCTGCACGGCGCGCCCCAGCTGCGGGCTGGAGAAGGCGAAGAGGCAGAGCTCGAGGCTGGAGCGGGCGGCCAGCAGGGCGCGCAGCAGGCGGCTCAGCGAGCTCTCGCTGTGCGGGAGGCTGCACCGGCAGTCGGCTGGGGCCCGGGCGGGAGCGGCGCCCGGGGTCTGCAGCAGAGCCTCGGTGCAGGTCACTTGCGACGGGAAGAAGAGCACTTCGTGCCGCGGCCGCCGGCCGGCCCTCAGCCAGCGCACCAACCAGGGCAGCGCCTCCAGGGCCAGCGCGATGCCCGCGCCTGTCAAGGCAACCAACCGCCAACTCGGCTTCGCCATGCTGCTACCACCTAGGCCCAGACTGGAGGACGCCGCGCCTGCGCACCCTGCCACGTGCCAAGCCCCGCCCCACCAAGCCAGGCTCCGCCTCCACCCCACGTGCAGGCGCTATGCCATGTGGAGGCCATGCACCTTCTCTGTTGCTGTGGTTGCCCTGGGGAGCAGTTAGGAAGGGCTGGGAAAGGGTCTGGAAGCGTGGGAATGTCGGAATCCGCGGAGGACTGGAACCCCAAGCCTTCCTCCAGCCCTCACTATTGGAACTGCCTCTTCCACTTCCCCCACAGAGCAGAGCCAGGAGGGACCCGGCATGTTTTCCACAGAGGGGAAAAGCGGAAAAGGTGCGAAAGGATTTCTTTTGAGTCCTTGTTCCTCAGTCCTGGCCAGGACTTTGCCACTCTAAGTGGAGATTCTCTTAGGTCTTTTTTTTTTTTTTTTTGTCCTGAGGTTTGAACTCGGCCTAAACCTTGAGCCACTCCACAAGCACTTTTTTGTGATGGGGTTTTTTGAGATAGGGCCTCACCAACTGTTTGCCCAAGGTGGCTTCCTGACTTTAAACCTCAAACCTCCTGATCTCTGCCTTCTGAGTAGCCAGGATTACAGGGGTGAGCCACCAGCCACCGGCTTCTCTTTGGTCTTTAAGTGAATTGACATTTCCCTCTCAGGGTCTACTGTGATCAGCAGACTGGTTACATGACTTCATAAAGCCAAAGGTCAAAGGAAATGCAGGGGTAACGCTGCACCCCCTGTTGGTGATTTACTTCCCAGCTAAACTTGCTGGCCACCCTGGAACTGCAGGGCAGGCACAGAGGTTGCACAGGAAGTAAGTGGCCAACTGCAGGCAGGAGCCAGGTGCTGTTGGGCAGGGAAGTTAGGGCAACACAAGGCAGAAAGCTAGAGGGATCCCAGTGGTCCTGGACTGATCAGTTTCCTGTAAGAACTGTTCCAACCTCCTAACTATATGAATATGCATAAGCATGTGCACTTTGACATACACATCTGACCTGCCTCTGTTCCTTGATAGGACCTGGAAACATATGCCAGGCCAATTGTCATAAGAACACCTAGTGCCCTGGTCTTGGTTTCTAAATACCTTCTTGAATAGAGGAGCCAGTGCTCCCTGAAGAACAACTGACTCACTCTGGAGCTGGGTAGGGACGATGACAGGTGCAGCAAGGCATCTGGTGGTATTAGAAAGGAAGTACTCAAAAATCACAGGGGTAGCACCACATCCCATGACATGAGCCCATCTGAAAGAATCCATGGCCAAAGCTGGAAGAATATGAGGAATAAAAAGAAGTAACAGGTAGTAATGGATTAGAATCCAAGTTGAAGTAAATATACTGGGTCTGTACTGACACAAATACATGAAGAAAGAAAAGAGCCACGAGTCAGTCTTTGTTATGGAAGACTTCCACATGACACAGGAAGCTTCTCCCCCTGCAGGAAGGGAACCCAAATCTCCTTGCCCCTGAGGTATCGTGACTACTGTGTACCCAAGAGGATGCAATGAAAAGGCCCTTCGCCTCCATGCTAGTCTTTCCCAGTTCAATCACAAGGAAAAACATCTGAATGCAGACCAGGGCACATTCCACAGGATAACTGGTCAGTATCCTCAAGACTGCCAAGGTCACAAAAACAAGGAAAGGCTGGGAACTGTCACATACCAGAGAAGCCAAAGGAGACAGGAAAACTCAATGCCATACAGTGCCCTGGACTGGATCCTGGAACAGAAGGAAGGCATTAGTGGAAAACTAACAAAACCTAAAAAAAGCCTGGAGTTTAGCTGGTAATGTGCCTGTCAATGTCAGTTTTTGAGCTTTGACAACTGTATGGTCATAAGATGCTAACAATAAGGAAAACTAGGTGAGGGCATGCAAAACCCTATGTTCTACCTCTGAAACTTTTCTAAAATTATTCCAAGTTAAGTATAAAATGTTAAACATACACCTTCTATATGATCCAGCTCCTGCTCATATGCCGAGAGATGAATACACAAATGTTTGTAGCAGGTTTATTTGTAATTAACCAGATCTAGAAACAACCCAAAGGTTCATCAACAGGTAAACAGAGAAACATTTGTATATCTGTAAATGAAATACTATTTAGCCATACAAATGAATGAAGTACCAATAGGCACTACATGGATGAATTTCAGTTGTGCTGAGTGGAAAAAGTCAAAGTACACACAGTACTTTTACCATTTATAAAATAATTCTAGGGACTTATAGCAGCAGAAAGAAGTCCCAAGTTGAAGTGATCAGACCAACCAGAAATGTAGAACCAACCTGAAATCAGACAAACCTGGAAAGGAATTCCAGGGCTGTGATATCACACAGGGCTGTGATATAGTCTGAGTGCCCCCAAGGTTCTCGTGTTGAACTTTAATCACATTAAATGGAGGGATTAAGAGGTGAAAATGTGTAGTGGCTCACACCTGTAATCCTAGCTACTCAGGAAGCAGAGATCAGGAGAATTGCAATTCAAAGCCAGCTGGGGCAAATAGTTCAGGAGACCCTATCTTGAAAATACCCATCACAAAAAATGGCCAGTGGAGTGACTCAAGTGGTAGAGAGCAAGCGTGAGGCTGTAAGTTCAAATCCCAGTACTGCCAAAAAAAAGAATAAATAAGAGGTGAAAACTTAATCCCACTGTAGTGCTTAGAGATGGAGCTTTGGGGAGATCAGGATTAGACAAGGTCATTAGGGTGAAGCTCCCATGATTGAATCCTGGTGGCTTTGTAAGACAAGGGAACGAGACTATAAGCCACGTATGCACTCCCCGTCTCCCACTATGTGATGCTGTGTTGCCTGGGGACTCTGCAAGCAAGAAACCCATAAGCAAATGTTGCCCTCAACCTTGTAACTTCAAAACCATGAGCCAAAATAAACCTCTTTTCCTTTTAAAGTTACCCAGCTTGAGTATTTAGATACAGTAATGAAAATAGGACACGTGTAGGCTGAGGTAAGCACTCTACACATTCCTGATAGATGGGGGACTGTGCATGAACTGGTGGGGAGGGCAGGAGAGCTCACAGAAAACTGAAAGCCAAGGGAGGCTTGAAAGGGACCCCCAACCCACAAACAGATCACCAGAGGACAAAAGCCACATAAGCTTCACTTCAAAATCCTTGGGGGGTCAGTAAGCTAGGAAAGCAAGGCACTGGATGGACTCCTTGGTATGAGCATCACTGAGTAGGGCACTGTGACTGCACACTGTAGGGGAGACAATGTCAAGTGGAAATCCAGGCAAGTGGCCACACAACAACCTCAGAAAAATAACACAGAATTCAGTTGCTACAATATGTTACATAAGAGTTCCCAGTTTTCAACCAAACTTTACTGGATATGGAAAGAAACAGGAAAATGTGTAGAAACAGGTATTGGATTTAACAAAGACAAAAACAAATTTATGAATATGTTAAAAGAATTAAAGGAAAATATAATAGCAATGAACTAACAAGTATAGAATCTCAACAGAGAAATAGAAACTTTTTCTTAAAGTCAACCTGACAATCTCTCTCCAGGGTATCCAGATGCTCCCTAACTGATGATGGGGTTACACCCTTATAAACCCATCATAAGTTGAAAATATCTTAAGTAAGAAATGCATTTAGTACACTTAACCTACCAACATCATAGGTTAGCCCAGCCAACTTAAACATGTTTACAACACTCATGTTAGCCCACAGTTGGGCAAATCATCCAACAGAAACCCTGTTTTCTCATGAAGAATTAAAGTTCCTGGAATGCACTGAACATTGTACTTAATGTGAAAAACCTAATGGCTATCTGGGTAGCTGTCACACCATGAAAAAGAAGAAAAACCATAAGTAGAACCATCATAAGTCAGGGGCCAAGAATTCTAAGTCCAGTGAAACTATTCTTCAGAAGAGAAGGTTAAATAAAAATACTCCCGGGATGGGGGCATGGCTCAAATGGTAGAGCACCTGCCTAACAAGTGCGAGCCGAGTTCAAACCCCAGTGCTGCCAAAAACAAAACAAAAAAAAACCCAAAAAACAAAAACCCATAAACCTCAATACAAAAAAAACAAAACAACTCCCATATGAAAACTGAGGCAATTTACTGATAGCAGACTTGCCTTAAAAAAAAAAAAAAACCAGAGAAATTCCTTGAGGCCAAAAAGAAGGTACACTAGCCGGTAACTCTGTCACTGGTACAAAATGATGGAACTGGAAATGGTAAATCTGTGGGTAAATATTTTGAAGTGTATATGCATGTTATCTTTTCTTCTCATTTCTTTAAAATATGTAAAGTAAATTACATATGCTGTATTGTTAACGTATAGCTGTAACATATATACAGTAATAGAAAGCAAGGGGGAGGACATGAAGCTGTATTGGAGTAAAGATGTTGTATATTCTGGAATTAAAGTCATTGTATTATGCTGGGTGCAGTGGCTTATACCTGTAATTCTAGCTACTTGGGAGGCAGAGATCATGAGAATGGTGGTTTGAGGCCATCCCAGGCAAAGAGTTAGCAAGACCCCTCGCCCCCCTCTCAATCAATAAGCTGGACATGATGGCACATGCCTGTCATCCCAGCTACAGGAGGTATAAACAGGAGGATCAAGGTCCAGGCCAGCCCTGGGCAAAAACGGAGACCCTCTCCAAAAAAATAAAGCAAAAAGGGCCGGGACTACTACTGACGAATGGATTAAGAAAATGTGTTATTTATACACAATGGAATTTTACTCAGCCAGGAAAAAGAATGATATCATTCGCTGGTAAATGGATGGAATTGGAGAACATCATTCTGAGCGAGGTTAGCCAGGCTCAGAAGACCAAAAATCGTATGTTCTCCCTGATATGTGGACATTAGATCAAGGGCAAATGCAGCAATGTGGTCAAACTTAGGTCACATGATAAGGGGAGAAATGGCAATAGGTAAGAAACCCAAAACTTGATAGTATTTGATGTACCCACTGCAGAGGAACTAGTACAGAAACCTTAAAGCGACAGAGGTCAACATGAGAAGGGGATCAGGAACCAGTGTAAAGGTCAGTTAGAGATGAATCAACTTGGGTTGTAACACGTTTGTACATGGAAGCAATGCTAGGAATCTCTCTGTATAGCTACCCTTAACTCAGCTAGCAAAAATGCTTTGTCTTTCTTATGCTTATGTTTTCTCTTCAATACAATTAGAGATAAGGGCAGAACAGGATCTGCCTGGAATCGAGGGGGGGTTGGGGGGGGAGGAGGAGAGGGAGGGGGTGAGGGGTAGGGGGGAGAAAAAAGGCCTGGGCTGAGGCCCACGTGATACAGCACCCACCTAGCAAGCAAGATGCCCTGGTTCAAGCTACAGCACCACACACACAAAAAGTCAGCGTATTAGTCTTACTCTCTGCTACTATAAGGAAACACCCGAGGCTGGGTACTTACAAAGAAGAGTCAATTTAGTTCACAGTTTTGGAGGCTGAAAGTCCAAATAGTATGACGCTGGCTCTGGTGAGGACCACTGGCTATCTCACCTGGTAGCAGCTGGTATCAGCAGGAACACGGCAGGGGAGAGAGAGCTCACCCGGTGAGACAGGGAACCAGAAGAAATGTAAAGGAGACAATATGAGCTCTTCCTAAGCTCCACCTCTTTTTTAATTTTTGAATTGTCATGCATTAATAACACGAGGGATTTCATGGATAATTCCATGCATGATTCAGTGTACCCTGAACATGCTATCCCCTCCATCATATATGTGCATCTTGCTGATGTTGCTGGGACTGGGTCAAGTTTGAGCTCGACTTCATGCTTGCAAAGCAAGCGCTCTATGCTGGAGCCACACCTCTGGTCCATTTTGCAATGGTTATTTTGGAGATGGGGGTCTCATGAACTATTTGCCCAGGCTGGTCTCAAACTGCGATCCTCCCAATCTCCCAATCTCAGCCTCCCAAGTAGCTAGGGTTACAGGACATCACCACAATAAACATGGGTGTGCAAGTATCTCTCTTCTATCTTGATTTACACTCTTTCAGCTATATGCCCAAGAGTGGGAGGCCCCACCTCTTAAAGGTCTAACTCCAAAGATGGCCTCATGAAAGAGGAAGCATTTAAAGATTTTAAAAACAGAGCTTGTCAGAGAACCCAGAAAAGTTGTCATTCCCATTAGCAGTTAATGAAGTTATTCATCTAGAACTGCATACAATAGCAAAGGAAAAAGAGGTACGTTGTTTTCAGGAGGAAGATGACAGCAATCTAGAAAGCCTCGTCACTACTGGACCCTTTGTGCTCACTCATACAGTCTTCTTACACATGGGAAATGCAGGTCACACTTCCCTGTGACATGAATGCACAGCTAACTCATGTCAGCCTACTACTTACCCAGTGAACTCGGTCACTGGACTAGCAGGCAAATGGGAAGACTCTTGTTTGACTTCAAGGACAGTGATCCAGGGAATGTCATGCACTGGAAAAACAAGCAGGACCCACTCCCAAAGCGGTGACAACAGCAGGCACACACCTCCTCCCTTCATTTACTCGTGACCTCACAAGTCAGGGTGTCCTTCCTACTCCTATTAGATGGTCAAAACACAGATCTCCCAGTTAAGGTATGCCACTTTCACACAGGCATGCTTCCCGACACAGTCCTCTTAAAATATCTATAGGAACCGAGTCATTTGCTGAAGTTGTACAAATGCTGAGACATGACGCAGACTCTCCAAGAGTTATCTCCTCTCTGCCACCAGCTCGAGTAACTTTTCGAATACCATCCAGGATCACCACAGTGACTTCACCTTTCACACCACTGAGTACCTGCCAGTCGCTAGTGTCATTTTAACCATGAGTCATGTGACACACTTCGGTCGACAAGGGACCACATATATAACATTGGTTCTATAAGGATGTATCATCTAGCGATGTTGGAGCCATTTGTGCAAGCCAACTCTATGACATTTGCACAACACAATCACCAACTATGCTTTTCTCAGCTCACAAAAGTGCATTTCCTGTAAGTAAGCACAACTAATTATTAGCCATCAAACAAAACCATGTAGTCAGCAATTTACAAAAATACATATTTACTGTGTTTCAATGTTCTTATATTATACAGAGACCTAAACACATAAGCTTAGTCTTCATGTCAAATATAAATTAAACAAACATGTAAAACATTATAAACAAGTTGGAGAAGCCGCCAGAAAATCCCTCCAAGCTGTAAATCCTTATTAAAGCTGTATGATGGGATGACAAAATTGTCTCCAATCACCATACTCGGGAAGTTGTTACCTGAAGCCACAGGTAAATGTTGAAGGCAGCAATAGAGGGAAAAGTGACATTGAATAAACTCATAGTGGGCTTTGATGTCCACAGCGAGTTTAGTGAGTCAAGGGATAACAGACTGGATGCTTTAGCAAAGCCTCATCTTTGTTAGAGACCAGGGGCTGCACTGTTCAGCTGCAGGTTCATGCCATAGACAGCCTAGGGGGACTGAGACCATGATGTGATGGGGAACTTTACAGTACTCAGAGATGAGGAAAACAGCCACTTCATCCCCCAAGAGCCTTGATAGGGCCCCAACTAAAAAGCAGATTACTAAAAAAAGAGACTATGGTTGGGCATATGTCCTGAATATTCACAAGTGTAGCAAACATACAAACACAAACCAGAAAGTTCTTACTGAGTTTCAAAGCAGGAAGGTTCTATAATGCTAACCCCAAGAGAGGATGGTTACTGCAGCTGAAATGCACAAGTCAGGCCCGGCTCAACCCACTCCTCCTGCTGGTTCTGAGCTCTCATCGAGAGGCACAACAGACATGCCCTCTTGAAAGTCTCAGGCACAAGGCTGCCCAGCTCAGGGGAGCCCGCTGTCCCTGTCTTCCAACAGCTGTGGGCTGCACTGAGACCCACACAAGCCCCACAAGAAGGGCAAAGCCAAGCCCAGCAGTTTCCACTCCTTGCCAGGACAACACAGCTCTACATCAGCACTTCAGAAACACAAGGCAGTCCCTCTTCTTGAGGCTCTGGAGGACAATCATGCACTGCACCACCATTTGCTCAAGGGTGCACACAGAGCCAAACCCCATCGGGGTCAGTTGCGAGGCTCTGCAGCTGAGGGGCTGCGGACCGTAGACATGAGGTGTGACTTGTAGGTTTTGCTCAGGCCCGTCATCCAGAACTTAAGCAGCTTGACATTGTCCTCCTCAGATGCGCCCAGGACACTCAGGAGCTTCTGTGTGTCTTCCTTGGGGCGACTGTCCACTTTGGTGAATTTAAAGAGGACCTTCACTTTGCTGCAGAAAACCAAAAACAAACACTCAGACCCACAGCATCAAACACCTAAACAGCTTCCAGACCAGCAAGAGCCCTGCAGGCCCAGATGGAATTCCCACACTCAGAGGAGAGGGCTCAGCCCACACCTGTACACTTAAGGTTTCTATCCCAGGGGAATAGAGAAAAAGCCAGGCACAGCATCAGACACCTATAGTCCCAGATACTTGGGAAGCTGAAGCAGGAGGAACACCTGAGCCTAGGAGTTCAAGACCAGCCCTGGAGTCATAAGGAAACCCATCTCAAAAAAAGATAGAAAGAACTATCCTTTTTTTTTTCAATTTACATTTTTTATTCATTTATTCACATGTGCATACATAAGAACTACCCTTAAATTTATGGAAGAAAACTGGTTGCTTCTGAGCTTCGATGCCTTTTTTGAAATCAGGAAAATGTCTAACTAAATTTGATGAAAAATTACTAAGAATCACACAAGAGAACAAAATAATGCTTTTAAAGAAAGGCAACCGGCTAGCAGCCTAGCTCAGTGATGTAGCACCTGCCCAACATGTGCACAAACCTGGGTCCAACGCCTGCACTGAGAGAGAAAAAACGAGGAATATGGTTTCTGACTTTCAGATTTTAAAAGTTAATTATGAACTGGGGATCTAGCTCAGCAAGGGAGCTACTTGCTGAACTAGGACCTGGGTTTGATGCCCAGCACCACACACAAAAAAACCCAAAAAACCCAAAGGTAATGAGCAGCAGAGTAACAGGGCTTCATTTCAGAACCACCTCTGCACCCCTGGTGTCCTTCCTGACCCGCCCCGCCCCCCATAGCTCTTGGAGGGAGGAGTCAGCCCTGCCTCTAGAGCAGAAAATGTTGGGTCACTTCCCAAGTAGTAGAGCTGGTGTCTGAACCCTGCTCTTAACCTTCACTCTCACCACCTTCCAGTGGCCACATCTGGCCTCTTTTGGAAACAGCAGAGCACACCACCATGGGCAGCTCCAGTGCTGAGGCCCAGCTTACTTCATCCACTCCTCCTTGAGGCATACAAGGCACTGGTCCACCACATCCACAGACAGGTTCTGGTTGGTCAAAGCTGCTTCAATCTTATTCAGGATAGTGGGGCCAACTGGGGACAAGGCAGAGACAAAGGGGAGCATCAGCACCAAGGGAGGGGCCAGCCTTGGTGCTCTGACCACTCTGACAGAAGGCAACCCCACAGTGGCACCTACCTCGGTCTGCAGCCACGGGGCTCCCACTGGTCACTATAAATTCATACTTGCTGAGAGACTGGTCATCCTCGCACCCAACCAGGGGGAGGTTAGAACGTGTGGCTGTGTGGACCTCCACGATGACCACAAATTCTGTGGTAACACAAAACACACTATCCCATGAAGTAAGTGCTCTTCAATAACATGAAGCCTCCCCCTTAAGCCTACCTAACCCACTACTCCACGTTATTTCAGATCAACCAGGCACACACTGCACTGCTAGGGCAACGGTCTTCCGAGAGATTCTGTGGTTTAAAAGTTTTTACACTTCATTTGTGAATAAAGTTAACAGGTTAATTTTCATCTCAGTTAAACTAATCATTTCTTACATTACAACAATCACAAATCATACACATTCATTCACTCATACAATGGGTGAACTCATAAAATGGGGTCTACTGTTACCCCATTTTTATGTATAGATGAAAACAGACTTAAGCGCTCAGAACTTGCCCAGGCCACATAGCTGGTGGTTTAAAACTTCAGTCATCTCTGACAGCAGAGCCTGTGTTTGTAACACTACCCAGAATACAGGCACTGCCCGCAGAAGCTCAGGACCCAGGCTGGTGTTGAGCAGGCATCTGCCTGGGGCTACAGAGCACCTGCTCTGTGGAGTGTCCACAGACTACTCCAGAAGTCCCTGACTTGCTCCAAGGCTGGGATTCACCCATGCAGGCCCACTCCTGGATATTCCCGAGCCAAGGAGGGAGGCAACTCACTTCCTAGCTCTCTGCACTCAGGGCCATGCAGAGCAAGTCCTGACCATACTAGTGAACAACAGGGGAGACAGGGTACATACACAAAAAAAGAAACTAGAGAGGACCAGCAAGCATATGATGGGGAACAGGAGGTAAGCAATCCAGAGCCCAGCAGGCTTCCAAATCCCAGGCACCACCTCACCAGGGTGCCAACTTCCAGCTGCCTGTCCCTATTGTCCTCAGTGGACACGAGCCCTGTACCCCCAGAACTATGATGTACAGCCCACAGAGAACCACTGCCTCTGTGAGCCACCCCCACTCTTGGTTCACCCAGCCCATCTCCACCCATTCCAAAGACAGAAAAGGCAGGCCCAAAGCCACTGGAAAAGCAGGTCCCACCCACAGGCCCTCCTGCCTCTGAGAACAATAGGCTGAGTCCTCAAATCCTCCAGGTCCACCTCTGGAGCCTCCCAGAAGAGCAGAAGGCACACCCTGCAACCGGCAGCACGCACCTGAGGACAGCACATGGGCGGGGATCGGCACGTGCAGGCTGAGCCCCAGGAAGTTGCAGCGATAGGCTTCCTCGTACTGGTTGCTATATGGGATGATGCGGACACAGCCCACAGGCAGCATGGTCTGCAAGAGGACACGGGGGGCTCAGAACTCACCACACCGGGGCCCCTCAGGCCTATCTCCGTACCTAATTCCATTCGCCCTCTGCAGCTGGTTCACAGCCTCCTTCCCTGGGTCATCACAGCTCCCACCAAGAGGCCCCAACTCCTCTCCTGGCCATCTGTCATGGTACCTCTTGCTTTGTGGTATGAACTCTTATTACTTTTTGCCCGCTGAGATGGTTGTCTCTTTTCCCACCCAAGAGAGATAATAAGCCTTGAGACAATACCACAGTCCTTCCACACCACAGGCCTGGGCAGCCAGCAGGCACACGTGTGGTGAAAACTCGGCACGAGGCACTGGGCCCACGGTGCTGTGTGCTGCTTCACACACCCAAATCTGTCTGAGAATGCAACGAAGTTGGCAGGTGTCAGGACCTGCTGGATAGCTTCTCAGAGGACATCAGGGGCTGGGGTGCAGTAGTTAGAAAGTGTAATTATCAGTCTACCAGGACAACACAGACTCCCTGCACTGGAACTAAAGAATGGTAATGACTGCCTATTTTTTTTTTTTTTTTTTGGTGGTACTGGGGCTTGAACTCGGGGCCTTGCACTTGCTACACAACAGTGTACCACTTGAGCCACTCTGCCAGCCCAAGATCTTTTTTTTTTGGTGGGACTGAGGTTTGAACTCAGGGCTTCCTGCTTGCAAAGCAGGTATTCTACTGCTTAAGTGACACCTTTAGTTCCCTTTTTAACAGATCTTAAATTCAGGCAGACGGCTCATGAAGTTCTGTGCCAAGTGATAGATATTTACATCCGAAGTTAGGTACTGGGCCCATGTAGCCTGCCACATAGCATGTAACAAAAATCTCTTTGGGGGCAAAGGGTGGGGGGAAGGAGATGATGGAGGGAGTGAATTCAATTATGATATATTGTAAGAACTATTGTAAATGTCACAATGTAGCCCCAGTACAACAATAATATAATAAAAATTAAAATTAAAAAAAGAAAAAGATGTTCTTACCCGGAGAACTTCAAATGCTGAATGGACAAGGTCCACATCTCTGCTTTTCCAGATCACCTGATTCCCCATGAGGACATGCCAGGCCAACATACGAAAAGATGTTGCACCCAGGACCTGAAACACAGCATGCAGTACATTCTACACAAGTTACCAAATAACTTCTCTCCTCCCGCTGCTGGAAGTTATTTTCTCTGCACAGTAAAGGAGGCTCTAAAAAGGAAGAAAGAGAAAGCCACTTCTCTTCTCAGAAAGGCTGGGGCAACCTGAATGAGGTCGAGAGCAGATATGGGAAGCCCCCAGATTTGCACTTAAAGGCAGGATTCCAAATCTCCTGCACCCTTAAGATCTTTCCCCCAGCTTATTTAGGAAAATTTGAAGCACAAAGGTGTTGATCTTTTGCAGCAAGTCACCGTCACTCTATAGCCATATATAACTGTACCAAGCTGTTTGGAAGTGATGTACGCACGACGCGTCAGCACCTAGGAAGGACAAGAGCCTTGCCTCCACATCCCAGACCACAGCTATCCAGGAGATAGATGCCAGTGGCTGCTCACGCACATGTGCTGAGATGCCTAAAAGCATTCCTTTCAGGAGCCACTACAGGATCCTGCTGGTTTCCATTTGTCCAGTCTTTATTCTTTAATCCAGAACAATCTCTCCCCACCCCGCCTTGGAATAACTCCCATGACACTGACATTATAGAAGAGGATAGTGTTGTCTTCTGGTCTCTAAAAGGCAGAGGGTGACTATGAAACAAAACAAAATGAGGCTGTAATATGTAATACTACATTTTGCTAAGCTCCAACAGCTTCGAAGCAGTACTCCCACTTCCAGTGAATTTAAGATTGCTTCCGGCCCGCCATAAGTGCCTTATGCCTATAATCCTAGCTACTCAGGAGGCAGAGATCAGAAGGATCCAGGTTTGAAGCCATCCTGGGCAAAGAGTTTACAAGACCCTAACTCAAGTGGTAGAGTGCCAGCCTAGCTAGTGTGAAGCCCTGAATTCAAATCCCAGTGCCATCCCCCAAAAAAGATTGCTTCCCATCTTAATCCAATCTTAAACTCACATAAATAATCAACAAAGATGGCTTCAGCTCAATTTAGGACATTGATGGAATGGGCGTTTTTTTCACCCAGAAGCCCCATGTCTGCCATTAACTCACTCTTTATTTGCTCCATTTTCCAAAATAGAAATAACTCTTCTGATAAAATTAATGCTCATTAAAAAATTAAATGCAGAAAAATATTATGAAAAAGGGACAACCTCTCCTCCCATCTGACCAATCCCCCACAGTCAATCTCCTGTGTTACTTGGTTTTGCCTTTGTTGGCATATACACTCATGTTTGCATCTCCTGCTCCACACCACCTGCTTGCTTTCTTGTACTTAATGACATCCATTGTTTAAATATACCATTACTACCATGGCTGGACACTCAGATTGTTCCCAATTTTTTTGTAAGAATGCCCATCACTTTTAAGCTGCAAAGAATCTAGACTGCATGCAAACCATTAATAGTGCTATTGGATTTTTTTAGAAGGTTCTAGAATGACAAGATTAGAGAACCACAAGAAACCAATCGACCAGGCCTTTCTCTGAATAAACATGTACACTGAACTAAAAGTCTGCTCCTAGGACTAATACACCTCAATGGCCACTGTGCCTTCAGTCTCTATGGCTGGTTACTCCCCACTGAGTTTGGAAGAGGAGAAGCCTGGGTTCTTCTCTTGAGTGTCTGAACATGGCCCTACACTTGCAACTTACCTGTCTCATGTGCCGAAGGGACTTGAAGACCGACAGCTTTCGGGGCTGCCAGTTTCCACACTCTGAGAGTAAGGGTGAATCTGCTGGGCATTTGGTTAACTCCCGCCCTTCCGCACCCTCTGGCAACACAGGCGCTTTCTCCTCCTCTTCAGCCTCAGAGTTGTCCCAGCTTTCTGATTCCTCTTCTAAGTCTACAGGATAGATGACAAAGACAGGTATGGATTGTGCCACCCCTTCAATGCAAGAGCCTTAATCCGCAATTACTCCAGCCCCAGGCAGCTCATGGTAACACCACCAGCGGGCTGTTGCTTCCTGGGTACAGCCAGCTATCTGTGCACCTGTTGCCCTGGCACCTGGGAGGACAGGAAAGCTCAGTGGCTTCATTTAGTCCAGGGAAGACATGACACTTCAGAGATTCTTGTGAGCTGTTCCCCATGGCAGGAAAGCTCAAACCAACAATGAAGTGCTGACAGAGCATGCTTACCAAGCACTCCTCCACTAGACACCCTTCTTGGGACTTCACACGTATTTACTCAGTCTCCCCGAATGTCCTGGGCGGACACACTCATCCCCCTCGCAGATGAAGGCTTGAACATCTGTTACCTCTATTAACCCTCATGGCAGACCTCAGACAATCACATCTCCGCTGCACACCATGATGAGACTTGGGGCAGGGGGCACGGTGCCCAGGAGTAGCAGAGCCAGGATCTGAAGCCAGGTATAACCCAAAGGCGTGTGCGCAAGCCCACGCCCAGCTCCTCCATGACCCACACAGTCCAAACACAGCAGAAAGCCATGCATACCCACACATGCTGCTTTCCTAAAAGCTTTAGTAGTAGACTTGACTTCTCCATGCAAATACATCTCACTGAGACACTGTGACTGGCTACACCAGTCTCAAGTTTGTGAGTGACACAATACTAAACAGTTCTAGTGCCAGACTACTTGTGGGGACAGGAAGGTGGCTTCAAGGTCTGTCTTTCTGCATTGAAACCTCACTTCTCAGTCTCCCTGCTCAGGAGAGCTTTCAGGAATGCACATGTGTACAGGTCAAGGGCCTGACTCAAAAGAGTTCCAATGAGGATTGGCAGTGTAGTTCAAGTGGTAAAGTGCCTGCCTATCAAGTGTAAGGTCCTGAGTTCAATCCCCAATACCTCTTTAAAAAAAAAAAAAAAAAAAGGAAGATCCCAGCTGAGCGCCAATGGCTCACACCTGTAATCCTAGCTATTCAGGAGGCAGAGATCAGGAAGATTATGGTTTGAAGCCCTGGGCAAATAGTTCGTGAGACCCTCTCTCAAAAATACCCAAGGGGCTGGCAGATTAGCTCAAGCAGTAGAGCACCTGACTAGTAAGCGTGAGGCCCCAGTTCAAATGCCAGTACTGCCAAAAAAAAAAAGAGAGAGCTCCAACTATTTAAAGGGCCATCCTTTTCAAACTGAGGCACAAGAAGCATCATTAGCAGCAAACTGCACAACATGCAGTGTAAATGATCATCATGCTCCCACCCCACAGTTGCAGGCAACTGTGGACCCCAGAACGCTAATCAACCTGAGGGAAGCTCAGCCAGAACTGAGAGCTGTGATCCCAGGTTGCGTGCCTGCACCAGCACCCCCTGGGTAGTTGGTCACATATACAGGACTCTGAGCCCCAGGTGGAGAGGTTCTGATCATGAATGTGGGGAGGACCCAACCCCTGGGAGGCTGGAGAACCACTGCCCTGGATGAAAAACTCAGGTTCTCCATGTTTTTTTGAACTAAAAAACATGTTCTTTGTTCTGAGCAAACAGTAAGAGACTGGCTACATGGCAAAGTGCATGGCTATCATCCTAAAATGGACAGGAAACCTTCAATCACTAATCCTGTCTACAGACTGCCCTGTTGGAACTTTCCCAATTTACCTGGGGAACAGAATCTTTTAAGGTACATCAAGGAAGGTAAGACAGGAAATCACAATAAAACCATCAAGATTGAAGACTATGGGTTTGCTCAAAGTTACATTTCTCTGAACCAGCTCCTGCTGCTGAAATGGCCAAGAGCCAAGTGACCCCCACAGCCACCTCAGGCAAACAGCCTGGGCAGCAGTACCCAGCCTCACCAGCGAGCTTCTCCATCTGGACCAGAGTGTCCTCGGTTGGTGCGCCTTCCAAGAGCTTCTCTGTCAGTCGGCTGCCACACGCTTTTAAGAGCCTGGAGAACACAGCATCAACTATAAGGCACTCTTGCCAAAGGAAAAACTGGACCGAGAGATCATCAAGCCCCTTAGCCCAACTACCAGCTTACAGAAAACACAGGCCCAACCTAAACATGCTGAATGTCTGCAGAAGGACACACTCGACCATTTTGCAAGACACGATTCAGTTTCTTCATTTAATGAGTGTGATAAAGATAAAAGAGATGAGAGGAATCGTTTGTTCTGATCCCAATGCAAAAGTCACCTTTGAGACAAAAGGGAACACAGACTGTGTACTGGACAACTGGCTAAGGAACCAGCCAACTCTGTTGGATAGGATAATGGCATTGTTGATATATTTATAGTTGCAATGATACAACCAACACTACTTTAAAAAACATGTCAGAGAAAAAAAAGGGGGTGACACAAGAAAAAGCAGTAAAATGTTGGTAACTGGTAAGAAAAATACTGGGGGAACAGAGAGCTCCCACTGCACTGTTTGTTCTACTCTGGGTCTGTTAGAAATTTCTATAATGAAAATGGTTTTTAAAACACAGGCAGAAACTTCAAGAGAGTAGATTTTAAGTATTCTCATTACAAAGCAAAGGATGACTGTGAGGTGACATGAATGTGAAAAGGCTTGATTTAGTGATCCCGCAGCATATATAATCATGCATCACTTAACATCTGAGCAAGGTGTCCTGAGGCAGTTTTCTTACGTGAACAACATAGAGTGTGCTCACCCAAACTAAGATGGCCATGATGTCATTAGGCAAGATGATCTTGCGGGAGCACTGTCCTACTGCAGTCTGTAGGTAGTATATGCCTACATATCAAAACATCCTGCTGTACACCGCAAACATATATAATTTTTATTTGTTAACTTAAAAAATATTTTAAGAGCAACTGTATGTTGTATGAGAGCAGATACTTTTTCTTTTTGTATGTAGGTCGTCAGGAGCTGAACTCAAGGGTCTACCTCTAGGAGCCTCATTCACACCAAGATGGGATTTACATGATGAGACTTGGATTTCTTTCGGACAGGAATGAGAACCCTGGGGCAATGCTTGGAAGGAGTAAGTATATTCTGCAATGGGAAGAAGATAGGACAGCTTGTGACCGGGGAGCAGAATGCTTCCCAGTACGTCCACAAACTCACTCACATGCCTCCCTTCGAGTACTAGAGGCTAAGTCCAACCTGCCTGGCCCAGGCTTAGCAACACAGCATACTTCTACCAAACAGCTGAAAGGGACCATGAGGCCCTCCTGGACCTCTGGCAGGATACCAGCTTCACACAAACATGTAGAGAAACTAAAGACTCCTGCCTATGGCACACTGATCCCTGGAGGAAGCCACTTTGGAAGCCCCCCCCACCACACACACACCCAGTCAGACTTCAGCTGACTGTAGCCTACCAAGGAAAAGCCCCGAGACCTGAGCCAGAAGCAGCAGCCCAGCCATTCTGACTTTCCAACACAGATGCGGATTGCTGTCTTCAGCAAAGGAAGGCTTACTGTTCCTGGTACGAAAACATTTTTCATATCACTGGGAAGTGAGTCTACCTAACTGCATTTCCACACACTGAGGGAGACTGCCCAGTTCCATGTTTACCAATAGGTACACATGGGCCAGCACAGCCAGGAGGCAGCTAGGCAACCTCAACCAAGGACTGCTCCCCCAAATTCATGATCATCCAACCAACATCTGTTGACTATTCTTACTGTAACAACTGTCAAGACCTACGACTCATTACCAGGCAAAGGAGGTGTGCAAACACGCCCACAGGTTGTCATCACTGGTTAAGGAGGTCAGCGAACGGGCAGCATTGCCATTCCTCTGGTGCAGGAAAGGTGTAAAGGCTGTGTTCATCCTCTGGGCACGCTGTGGGCACCCAAACTGCTCGGCCTCAAATACCTGGAATGCAAGGTGGGAAAGGCAGCCTCTTCAACACCAGCCCAGACTCAGGTAGTTCACGGCCCATACCACCTAGGGCCCCCAGACCTCCCACTCTGTCCTCTTGATGCAAAGCATGGAAGCAGCAGCCTGACAGTTACATGCAGATGGTTCAGCTGTCCTGAGAAGAGGAACCAGCATAGAATTTCTCCTGTCCCCTCTCTTATCCTACCACCAGCCCTCAGATTCCTGCTGGGCACCTGAGCCTTACACACACCATGGTGGTCCTCAATGATGCTCTCCAAGTACTCTTGGCACCCCCTGCAGACCTCTGTGTGTGAGGGACACATGACTAGCTCTAGCAGCTACTCCAGGGGATAGAGACAGGGCCTCCAGCTCCAATCCCCTGTGTCCTCCAGCAACATTCCAGCATAGCAGTGACAGCCACTTTACCTGCCAGGATGATCCCATGAACAGTTCCCCCATCCTCCTGCAGTGACAGAGCTCAGGCAGGAAGCAGGCCTCACAATTAGGAGCCAGAGCAATCTGAGGGCTATCTGTCACTACAGCAAAGCCACAGCTAGAGATGTATACTAGGTGGGGTATCAACAGAACTAATGGATAGTCTGTGATACAAAGGGCGAAGGAAGCAAAGACAACAATAAGGAAGCCAGGGGCCTGACTGCAATAAGGAAGCCAGACTGAAAGACAGTCAGGACAGCAGGTGTGGGCAAGACCAGGAGAGTCGACAGTCTGGCCAGGAGACTCATTGCACAACCCCAACTCTGAAGCCAAAAGAACAAATCAGGCACTCAACAGCTGTAGAGCCAAGAGGAACACAGAGGCCTGGGCTCACATCCACACCACAACGGAGAGATGCCAGCAGCACCAGTGCCCCCCTCCCCAGAAGTTACCTTGAGGGCCTTGCCTTGGAGCTCATCAATGACCCCTCGAATCTTCCCCAGCAGGAAGGGCCAGGAGTTAATGAGGTAGATCCGGTCCATCATGATGGTGATGATGCTGTACCAGCGCTGGAAGCCCCTGGCCAAGCTATCTTTGATGAAGAAGGTGTGGCTGAACACAAAACCATGCTGCTCGTCCCCAAAGAAAATGGGGCCTTCACGGCCAGGGCATACCTAAGAGGAAACCACAGCAACTCAAGGGATAACCCTCTCCTGGCTTCAATGACACAAACAGATGCCTCCTCTCAGATCTTATTTTTTTCAGATTTTTTTTTTTTTTTTTTGGCAGTGCTGGGAATGGAACACAGGGCTTTGCACATGCTAGACAACCACTCTACCACTAAGCTGCACCCCCACCCCTTTGGGAAACTGGGAGAGGGCAGATGACAGTGGAGAGCTTTGCAATCATCTGCTCATGTGCAAACTTCCTTTTTCTTTTTTGCAGTGGTGGAGATGGAAAACAAGGCATCAAGCATGTTAAACACCTGCTCTATCACTGAGCTACCCCCTCAGCCCCAGCAAGCTTTCTAGAGGTAACATTTGTTACCGTGGAGTACCAGGGCCAGGCACTGAGCTCATGACCTTTTTCCTCTTGATCATTCCTGTATAAGCATTCCATCACCCCATCTCAAATGTGCCAACATACTCATATGGAGTAGACGGAAGACTGGCACTGCAGAAGCCATAGAGTAAAATCTACACACTCTACTCTTACAGAGGCCCTTGGTCACTCCCTCATGACATCCTTACTTGTAGCACACATGACCATCTACTTACTAGAAGATGTACTGCAGGAAATTGAAGGAGGTACACAGCAACAGTGAGAACCAACAGAGAGTGCTCAGGGATCCCATCAGGTGGACACAGGGGCAGGAAAGCTTAGTAACTGAACCATAAACTCTGTGACAGATGAAAACCTAGAAGCTAAGACTCAAGCTCAAGAGCACCAGCCATACAATTTAGGAACAAATCAATTTACTCTTCAGGAGGTTCTCAGAGCAGCACACAGTGAACCCTGAGATGCGGAGTGATGACTGAGACAATAAAAAGATGACCTTGAGCAAGTTACATATCTTAGAAACAGTTCATATCTTAGAAATATGTCTGTCAAGAATGAACAAAAGGCTGGAGGAGTGGCTCAAGCACTGCTTAACAAGCATGTGGCCCTGAATTCAAACCCCAGTATACCACCAAGAAAATAAAATAAAAGAGAATGAACAAAAAAAATAAAACTTTGATGCTTAAAGTAAAAATCTAGTGCCCATTTAGAAAACCAGAGAACCCACAACAACTTACTCTTTGAACAACCATGGCATGCTGTATTCTGAGTGGCATTGTCTGGCCAAGCCCTTTCCTGTCCCTAATCAGCTTTGAACCTGTGTCCATTCAAGTTTCCCACATAGAAAGGCCCTGCCCTGGGCTCACCTCACAGCTCAGGCTCCGGACACAGGCCTGGCGGACAATGCTGAAGAGCTGGGGGTGGTTGGGGTGCTGGTGACTGACGTACTTAATCGAGGTCTCTTTGTCATGGCTGATATAGCCTGGGTGCCCTGCAGCAAGCGACCGGCAGCCCTGCCCGCGAAAAGGACAAGAAAACCTATTAGCTGGAAGCAGGCAACAAATTGTCTTACCTGTATAAGCATCTAAATCTAGAAACTGCTATTTATTTTTTTGTTTTTGTTTTTTGAAGATGGGATCTCCCTCTGTAGCCCAGGCTGTCCTCGAACTCTCAGTGCCCCTGCCTCAGCCTCCTGAGTGCTGGGATTACAAGCATGTACCACCACATCCAGTTTCTCAATCTGTTTTTGTATAAAATAGCTGGCTTCTAGACTTATACTTACCTCACAGCTCAAGTGTTTCCTAAGTAGGAAAACCAGGACCCAGAAGTCATAAAAGTCACCAAAAGCTAACAGTAACAGATAGCAGTTGCTATGTTCTTATGTAGCAGGTGTTATGGGAATGGCTTTGTGTGTGTTACCTCCCTCAATCCCAAATGCAACTCTAGGAGATAATTTCAGCAATACACCCCATTTTAGATGACAACTGAAGCTGAGAAGAGAAGGAGCTAGACCTAAGATATAGAGCAGTGCCACTTTTCTGAGCGATGTCACCTCCCCCCCTTGCTTCTGTCCTTGGTCCTGAAAAAACAGGGTAGTAAGCACATGGATGAGGGACTTCAGAGTGTTAGTGTGCAGCTTCATGCAGACCATCTGGTGAGTGGAAGTGGACCAGGCTAGTGGACCCATAGACACCCCACAGAGCCCCCACCACACTAGAGCTGAGGCTGTCCTGTAGGGTCTCTACCCCAAGACTCTGCACAGGTGGGCACTAAGGCAAGACCCTCCAAGAGACCCAGGGCTCTCTAGATACCTGGCCCAGCCCTCCAAGACTCTTCCTTCTCACTCCTGCTCAAGCTTAAAGGCTCTTCTCTTCAACCACTGTCCTACCACCCCCCTCCAAATCCCACATAGGCATTTCCCACAACATAGGCAAATCTCACGTGATGCCTGCTTCTGCAGAACCAAACTAATGAGGCTGGATTCCTGTTCACTGTAATGGCAGCTCCAACCCCCACCTGATTTCAGGCCCAATTCAGACCCTCCACGCAAAGTGGCCTGTTGGGGGAACTTCAACTTCACTCCCAAGAGCTTATGAAGTGACACAATGAGGAACTCCAGGATCCCACTAGGAGGAAACTCCCCTGGGGACACCAGGATGAAGGGATGCAAGCCTAAAATGGCTGGAATGGCAACTGTCTATTGGCAGAGTGGGTTAAAAAGCTGAAGTTGGGATGATGGGAAAGATGCAAGAATACAAAGAGAAGCATGCACACGCAGTGGGCCCACTGAGGAGCCTGACATCTGGGTCTCCCTTGCCTCCCCACCCATCTCTTGCAGAAAGAGCAAAACACAATGAGACCCCAGAGACACTTGCCTCACACATGTCCGACTTCTTGGGCCCTGGGCTGCTAGACTCGGCGCTGGCCCCCTCAGATGGGCTGTGAGCACGGACCCGGCTGCTCATCTGGATGCCGCCCTCATCCTCCTCAGCCTGCTCCCCCTGGCCAGGGCTGTCCCCACTTCCAGCACCTTGGGGCAGAGGAGCATGTAGAACTTCCGTGCAAAAGAGAGTACGGGGGCCGTGGAGCTCACAGAAGTGACAGAGGGCGACAATGGCATTCATGGCGCCTTGGGGGCAACCAAGAGGCCTGTGGAGGCAAGGACACAATCAGCAACCTACACCTTTCACACCATGACACCTCCCCAGAGCCCCAGAGCCTCTGGAGCACTTGAACCACAGCTACCACGGATAGGCTTCTGGCCCACCAGAGGCAAGTCACCCCACCAGCACCACTGTGCACCAGATCTGTGCCAATGCTGCATCAGGAGCAGGAAACACAAGGAAGACAGATGGTGAGACAGAGGAGGGGAAACATGAATAAACAATCACACAAAAAGCTCTCCGGGTGAAAGTTCTAGAGGCCAGGAGGCAGACAGCACAGAGAAGAAAGCACATCCTTGAATGCTACCAAATGCAGCACCTTATGTAAGCACCAGTGAATGACAAAAAGAATACATCTTAAGAACCAAGGAGAAGCTCCTTTGTCCAGCACCTCCCAACTGCCAATAAGGTTTGGGTGACCTGATGCTGCCCTCAGGGGCTCACCTCCATGGACACACACACCATGGCTCATTCCCATGTAGGGAAAGGCTATGGGAGATGACAGTGGGCGGGGGCAGGGCAGTGAACTCCCAGAGGAGACGGGGTATGGGGAAGGGCTGGTTCCATAGGCCCCAGCAGAGCTGAAGAGATCAGAGCATGCAGGCTCAGGCCTGAGAGTATCTGGAGAGGGGCAGGAGCCAAGGTCAGAGGCTACAGAAAGCCAATCTTAGGGATCCTTCTAGACCACAGCAAAGCTGAGTACATTTTCAGAGATGGCAAGGCTTCCATGGGTTCTGATGAGACACAAGATCAAGGCTCGCTCAGGCTGATATATATATATATATATATATAAAGCAGACTACAGATGCCAGCTGAGGTGTTCCCACTACCCTGAGTGAAAAGTAATGTCTAGACAAGTGACAGGTGGAAAGACAGCAGACAATGACAGTGTTTCTAAGGCAGCCTGAGAAGATAGGGAATATGGGGCACAAAAAAACGGGACAGGGGAAGAAGTAATGTACGTTACATACTTGCATGAAAATAAAGCAATGACACTTGTTGAAATTTTTTAAGTAGAGGTGAGGTGGCTGAGGGAGAATGATGGAGGGGATGAATCTAACCAAGGTACATTGTAAACATATGGAAAGGTGACAATAAAATCTCCCTGCACAACTAATAAATGCTAACAAAATGTTTTAAAAAGAAAGGGGAGTCTCTACTCCTATTTCCTGAATGGGGGCAGGAAATGTTTCCCTCTTTTTTCCATTTCTCCCCACTTTTATCCTGATATACCAAATTCCTTTCCTAATACACTTTACTATTATTTTTACTATTGAAAAAAGAAAGAAAGAAAGAAACGGGGGTGACTAGTGGGAAGACTCGTCTTTGTGTAGAGGTGAGGTAGGCAGAAAAGCAGAACCAAGTGCAGATGCAGGGGCCATGAGGCCTCTGTTGAAGCACAGATCCTCCAGAGAAGGGGAGAAAGAGCTGGCGAGGCAGGGCAATGGGGACAGCAGCAAGACAGGAGGGAGCGCCGATGCCACTCAGTGACCAAATGAACCAAGTGTTTTAACCAGAAAGGAATGGGATATTATCCAGCCTCAAAAGGAAATCCTGGCATGTGCTACAGCATGGATGAACCCTGAGGACATTAGGTTACGCGAACAAGCCAGACCCAGGAGGGTAACTACTCCTATAAGGGACCTGGAGGAGTCAGATTCAGAGACACAAAGTAGAATGGTAGCCACCAGGGCAGGGGGAGAGGGATGCCAAATAGGGTTTAATAGGGACAGAATTTCAACTGGGAAGACAACAGAGCTTTGAGGTGATGGTGGTGACAGCTGTACAACAGTGTAAATGTGTCTAATGCCACTGAATGATGCACTTAACATGAGTAGAGTGGGAAATTTTACACGGTGCGTATTTTGTCACAATTTCCAAAAGGAGCGAGTGACCATCTGCAGAGCAATGAGGATGTCACTGGTAACCTAAACAACAGGATTTCCAGCACAGTGAGAAAACACTCATGAGAGTGAATACTGATGGCCCTTTTGGATTTCTAGAGTAAAGTGACAGGCAGAAGGTGAACCTGGCAGGAATGTGCCATCAAGGAAAGAACCCCCCACACTTCCCAGACTGATGGAATGATCCAAAGTCCAAGGGACCTGGTGCCTTCCAAGAGCAGTGGGCAGTGAGATAATTCATGCATCCTCAGGGGAAGCAAGGAGATCAGCTGCCTGTTTGGGGAAAATCAGGAAAGCAGTAAAAACCAAATGTCCTCTGGGTTCTGACAGGCAGAGAGGACTTGCAGATGAGATCACAGCAGCAAAGGCAGAGATAGGGATAGCCACAGCCAACATCCGTGACAGGTGGACACACTGGCTGGCAGGAGAATGGTCTAGAATGCCAGGCCAGATTGACCCTGTATTTTCTGGACCTAGGGTGGCCACAGGCCACACCTGACAACTTAAGACAGAAACTAACCAGAGTGGAGCTCAGCCCCTCAGTCTCGTGGGCCAGGTTTTAAGTACTCATTAGTCACACATGGCTCGTGGCCACCATCTGAACAGTGCAGGTTACGGGACATGACCGAATGTTCCACTGGACACCCTTCCTTCAGACAACCTGGAGTTATGTAAGTTTCTGAAAGTGGACAGTGGACACTGACTAGGAACCCAACTCTTCCCTGGCATGCAGGCACGGATATGACCATGGCTTGGCCAGTCACATGGCCTGCCTGGGATGCTTAATCTAGGAGACAGGCAAGGCCAGAGATTCAGTGTAGACATGTGCAAGTGACCAGGTATGGAGAGTCCACTGGTAGAGAGTAGCCAAGGTAGCTGATGACAGCATCTTGTACAACCCAAGTCAGCCTCCCTGCTGGTGGCCATGCCAACAGCTTGTGTCTCCTGTCTGCTCACTCTAAGACCCAACTGAGCTCTCTGCAGCCAACTGCTCAGCTGACAGGCTGCCACCATGCCTGTCTTCCTTCCCAAGGGAAGGGCAGCGGCAGACACAGAACAAACAGCAGAAAGAAGATAGAGAATCTAAGGAACAGCAGGACACCTGGCTGCAAGAACCCTGAGAGTCCCACGTCCAACTGCAGCATAAGGGTAGGGTTGGGGGTAAAAGCCCCGAACACTCCACAGAACTTTGCTTGGCTCGCCCAAGCCTCCACTTGCCTGTCCCCACTCAGAGACACGCCCCCCCACCCCAAACCAGCCCATGTAGACAGCCATCCCTCTCTCCCCCATCACTCCCCATTCCTGGGCTCTGAGTCCCAGACTTCTCCCTTCTCACACCAGGAGTATATTGCATGTATTTCCCCTTTACAAATGAAAAGTCCCTAAAAGTGGAGACTTTGTCTAGTTAACTGCTATATTCCCAGTATATACAACAGTTCCTGACACAGAGAAGGTACCAATAGGGAGACAACAGTTATTGCCAGGGAAAGTAGAGATGTCCAGAGTTCAAGGGCACAATCATGGGAAGGGCAGAATCCAGAAGCATGGGAACCAAGTGGAATAAATTTGAATAAAGGGTTCAAAACTGGGCAATGGTGGCTCACACCTGTAATTCTAGCTACTCAGGAGCCAGAGATCAGGAGAATCGTGATTTGAAGCCTGCCCTGGGCAAACAGTTCCTGAGACCCTATCTTGAAAAAACCTATCACAGAGAAAAGGGTTAGTGGAGTGCCTCAAGTGGTAAGAGCACCTGCCTAGCAAGCATGAGGCCCTGAGTTCAAACCCCAGTACTGTCAATAAATAAATAGTTAACAGGCCCAACTACAGGGAGGTCAAGGACAAGGATGGCTTAAGAATCCACTGTGGAAGAGGAGATGAAGTAACAACTAATGGAATAAGAAAGTTGAGGAAGGAAGAAGGGAAAGCAGGACCCAAAGTAAAGGCAGAGGTACTGACACTGGAAAGGGGCCCAGATTCCTTGCAGAGGCATGAAAGGAAGAGAACTAAGGTTCCTTCTAGCAAGAGAACCACAGCAAGTTTCACCCCATGTGCAGAGCATCAGTACTGACCTTATGCTTAGCAGAATCACACTTCCACCATCCTACCTAGTCCACAGCACGTGAAGTCCCAGCAGACGAGTCAGGTTTGGCAAGTGCAATTATGTTCAAAGGCCTGACATTTTCTAGGGAAGGAGAAAAAGTCAGCTAACTCTAACAGCAGTGATCTCTGCAGCATGAAAAAACATCTGAGCAGTTTATAACCAACCTAAAACCAGGACAACACAAAAGAGGATTAGGAAATTCATCTGTTACTATTATGGTTTGGATCTTCTATGAGTACCCCCAGTTTATGATGCTGTTGGGAGGTAGTGGAACCTTTAGGAGTTGGGGCCTAATAGGAGGAAGTTAGGTCACTAAGGATGTACCCTTGAAGGGGATTTTGGGACCCCAGCCCCTTCTCTCTCTTTGCTTCCTGGTTACCATGAAGTAACCAGCTTTGCTCTACAATGCTCCCTACCATGATGTACTGCCTCACTACATGCCCAAAAGGACCAAGCCACCATGGACTGAAACCACGAACCAAAATAAATCTTCCCTCTCTTTAAGTTGATTATTTCTGGCATTGTGTCACCATGACAGAAAGCTGACTAACATACCTGTGGTTCTGAGTGGCTCAGGAGCCCTCCTGCCAGCAAATTGACATTACAGCTGAAGTTTTAGCTTACACGGCTAAAGCAATTTTTGATAATCTCTTTAAATATAAACATTTATGTTCTTTGAATCTTTTTGAAAATAGAAAATATTTTAAAATATGAAGGCTCTGTTCTTCCTGTGCTTGGTTATAAGGGGGCTACTTTGGCAGCACACACATTGTGCCAACTTAACCTTTCAGGCCACAGACCTACAAGTTTTGCTCTTCCTCTTCTTTAACAGGAAGGGAATACCAGAGGCAATGTTGCTAAGCTACGTCTCAGCATGTGGGATCATCACTGACTACTCTTATTCGATTTGTTTCAACAAAAAGCTTTTTAATCGAATTCTAACAAGAATTCTGGCCAGGCACCAGTGGTTCACTCCTGTAATCCTAGCTACTTGGGAGGCAGAGATCAAGAGGATTGTGGTTCAAAGACAGCCCCAGGCAAATAGTTAGCAAGACCCCAATCTTGAAAAAACCCATCACAACAAAAAGGCTGGCAGAGTGGCTCGAGCAGTAGAGGGCCTGCCTAGCAGGTGTGAGGCCCTGAGTTCAAATGCCAGTGCTGCCAAAAAAAAAAAAAAGTTCTAAAGATCTGAATTATCCATGCCATAGCCCTAGGCTTCCACCAGAAGGCAGTGAGGAACCCTGGATGACACCAACTCTGGAGTCACACAGACCTACTACCTGGGTCTCTATCCCTTAATAGCCAGGTGATATACAGATGGTATGTAACCTCTCTGATACCTCCCTAGAGCTGGGCAACAGACCTCTCAGGGTACACTGTATATGGAATCTGAATCCTGGGCAGCAAGAAGCCAGTACTTTAGTGTCTCTCCAATTCCAATGTCCAAACTCTGCTGAACAAGCCAGTGTGAGTGTACCTAACCAGCTTCCTTCCCAACAAGCTTTCCAGAACCTAAGACAGTGTCATCAACACACTTAAAGCAAGTACTCAAATTCCTCAGAGAGGCAGGCTGGCCTGTCCACCTCCGTGCCCACACTGCCTGCATCACGGACTGAGCCTGAACAAAGATATCTACACTATCCTTCTCCTGCCCTGGGTCTACTTCATTCTTACTTCCAGTGGCTTTCTCATAGTATTGTGCTGGTTACTAAGTAAGAGCACTCCAAGTAAACTAGGTATGTGGCTCTTAACCAGTCCTAAGCATGCAGCTTCTATAACTCATCTCCCACGGGGAGCCTAAGTCCAAGCAGGGATACCAGTGAGACTCAGTGGGTGACAAGTTCCACAGGGGACTCCTTCCAGCTCAGACTCACACCGCTGTACTCCCACCAACTTCACCAGGATCTCCATTTACAGAGCTCCCTGGCCTAAGACACTAAAAGAGCAAATACTGTCATGTGCCACTACTGCCCAACTGCTTAATGGTGATAATCCTGCACCTCCAACACTGGAACTAGCTGTGGCCTTTCTCGCTGGGACAGAATCCCTCCTGCCAGCCTGGCTTGGCACTATAGTGATGCAGGGTGTCCAAGGGCTGGAGAGCCAGTACCAACTTTCAGCAAGCTCCTCCTTGCCCTCTGCCCTCCCATGGCTGCTGGGAATCACCATGAACCTCAATCCACAAGCCAATCACGGGGCTAACCATTCCTTTCCAGAACATAAGGATGGGTGTGCCAATAACCGCCAAACTGGGGAGAAGAGAGGTCTTCTACCCTTCCCTAGAAACCTATTAGCTCATCATCACAGGGCTCTCCCGGGAAGCCAGCCTGGGAGAAAAGGCGGAAGACGATCCCTCTCCCCTAAACCAGAGGGAAGACAACCTGGGCCGGAGGCAGGCACAGTGCAGTCTCGTGTCAAGACTCAATGGGAATAAATCAGTGACCCTGACACGGGGCTACACCCGAGTCACATTCCTCATTCCCGTAGTTTAGGATGTCTCAGGGTCTCAGCGACGCCTTCCACTCAGCCCCATGCCCCCAATCACCCGAGCACTCCAAACCAACACAAACTCAGCTCTGCACCCTCCGCCAGTCATGGGGCCCACGTCTTCCTCAGGCGCGTCCCCTCTCCTCCAGACGCACCCTCTCTCCAAGAACCAGGGCTCGCCGGACACCCGGACAGCCCCGCCCCTGACTGCGCCAGGTAAGTTGTAGCTGCGGGCTCCGACCTCCTAGGATGCAGCTGGGGCCACTCCACGCTCCGACCCCTCAAGAGGCTTGCTAGCTCGCACTCCGGTCCTCTGCTACCAGCAAGTCAAGCACCGCCACACTCACCCGCGGTCCCGCGGCACAGCAGCCCCGGCAGCGAGCCCGAGGCGCGTGACTTGGCCGGACCGTACCATCCGCCCAGCCCCGCTGTGGGGATCGGGAACCGCCCGAGCGCACCCTGCCCCGCTAGAGGGGCTGAGCCCTGCAAGACCTGACACACCCTGGTACACAACTCGAGTTCCACAAATCCTAAGTCTTGCGGGGAACCGGGCACCTCTGCCAGACATCTCCCTTTTGGTCGCCCCTATTTCGCCCCCCTCCGAGAAGTACAGAATGCTTCAAGCCGCGCTGGGCGGGGCTGCTAGAGGAAACCATTCCGCGCGCGGGAGGATACTGACATAGAAAAAAAAATTAAAAAGAGATTTGAAGAAAAATGTAGCCAGTCTAATACTCTGTCCACACAGAAGAGATAAAAAGAAAGGAAAAAATTTCTAAGAGTGCTGTGACTTCTTCCCTATTTTTATTAAATTGCCGATGGAACCCGTCTTCTCCCCTCATTAGAAGGGTGAGAGGTGCGGACAGGTGGCCGGTAAGTGGCGATCACGTGACATAGGGACAAGCAGACACTGGCAGGAGGCTGGTTGCGTAACCCGAGGTGGGCGGGACGAGAGTGACTCGTGAGTGTCCACAGCTCACGCCTCCCTCTCACCCAACCCTGCCGCGCACTCGTTTCCAAAAAGCATAAATCAATTATGGAATAGTATGTTTAAAGCCTGAGGGCCTGCTACTGTTTGGCTACTTAGAAATTAATTTTAAGTCATTAGTGCAGGATGTAACGTGGTTCCTTCCGGTGAGGAAGCCTGAGTGGCGAGCCCTTGGGCTTGGTCCGCTCTGCCTGCCATCTGAAGGTGCGGTGGTGCGGAGACTGCCTGCCTAGGCCGGGCGCCCTCGCAGGGGAGCGGGCATGGAGTGCTGCAGAGAGGGTGTCCCGATGTGGTTATCAGGAATGCCGGAGAAAAGCCTCAGCCATTCGCAATACAAGTGACTGGTTGGTTTTTTTCTAATTACAGAGGCCGTCTTTCTCTGTATATGTTATGTTGAAAAGGGAACATGAAAAAAAAGAAATTGCAACTTGTGTTTTCTACCGACCTGGTAAACATTAAGGAGTCCCGCATGGAGTTACAAGGTTTAAGCCCGGCCTTTAAATGTGCATTCTTACCTAAGCCCTCCTGATAATTGATAATCAAGCACAAACTTGATTTGTAGGCCATCACAAGATAATTTCTGGAGCAAAAATATATTTTACTTTTGCCATCAACAATACGGATACTTGACTTTTATTGATCTTGCAGAATGCTTTGAGAGCTTTAGTGAAAAGGTACAGAGATGTAAGCACCTCTGTATCTGTGCTTTCCAATGTCTAAAAGAAAACATTTCCAACCTTTGTGGAACTGTGCTCTCTGAAAATGGCCACCCCTGCAATTCTGAATACTAACATGATTAATTGTTTTCCACATTAATAGGTAAAGATCTTACAAAACTTCCCACAAACTTCATGATAATGGCTGGTTTTATATAACAAGTTTTAAAAAAAAATTCAATTGTATTTGGGCTGTGTTTTGTTTTTTGATGCTCTTATTTTTCTGCCCTTTTCTCTTGGTGATAGGTGTTCTTTACCACTCTGAGAATCAAACTTAAGGCTTCTGCCATGCTAGGCAAGTGCTCTAGCACTAAGCTCCACCACCCAACCCCAGGTGTTCTTCTCCAAACTTACATTTGTTACTGAAGTTTTAAACCAAGAACAAGATTTTTTTTTTCACCCAGTAACTTTATAATTCCAGAAATTAGTTTTTTCAGTTTGTTAGTGGAAGTCATCACCTTACTGAAATTATTCTTATTTTCATGGTGATAGGCTAATGAAGTCCTGTTGGAGGAAGGTTACTCCTGCTGGGTTGTTTTTTTGGGTTTTTTTGGGCTTTTTTGCAGCACTGGGTTTGAACGCAGGGCCTCACACTTGCTAGGCAGGCGCCACTTGAGCCACTCTGACAGCCCTTTTTTGTGATAAGTTTTTTTCAAGATAGGATCTCATGAACTATTTGTCTGGGGCTGGCTTCGACCTTGATCCTCCTGGTCTCTGCCTCTTAAGTAGCTTGGATTACAGGTGTGAGCCACCAGCACTCAGCCATGCCTGGTATTTTCAATAAAAGTCAGTGTGCACCCACCATCACTGGGCTTGATTTATGCCACTGACATCTTTTCCAGCACAAGTGGCTCAGCCCTTTCTCTACTAAACATGTACATCTATTAAAAACTAACAATTTGCCAAATCTTTGCCCCAGTGAATCATACCAATTATTAACTAAACTGGGCTCTTGTGGATTATAAACTTTATAGCACATTCAACAAAAGAAATATCTTAAAGTCAGAAAATGTACCCCACATTATCAGCAGGAAAGGCCATTAAAACTCAACAGCAATGTTCAGAATGTGAAGCTGGCAATAATAACCAACAGGTTGCAACCTAAAGAAATACTATGTTCAGGGTGGCACCAGTGGCTTATGCCTCTAATCCTGGGTACTTGGGGGGCTGAGATCTGGAGGATCAGTTTGAGGCCAGCCTGGGAAAATAGTTGGTGAGACCTCCATCACCAAAATAACCAGACCAAAATGGAATGGAGTTGTGACTCAAGCAGTAGAACACCTGCTCTGCAAGCTTGAAGCCAAGTTCAAACTCCGGACCCACCAAAAAAAAAAGCCACTAGGAGTAAGTTAGCATTTTTTACCATAGCAACTTCTGTAAGTATTTAAAAATTAACCTTCTTCCCTCAATTTGAATTTCACTGCTAAACCTTTGGTGTTTAAATCTAAAACTAGCTGCCTGTTGAATACCAAGTGGTTTCTTTTTAGTCTACAAATCAGCTGTGTATCCTGTCTATGGATTCAAACTTATTAAATGCCTTTTGCAATTAGTGAAAGCTCTCTGGTTTCAGTTTTTGATCTTAGAAAAGGATACAACTAGGCTTTCATCATCTTCACCATCATTAAGTAATTTAACTGCCTGGAAAGATAATCATCACACTTCCCTACTCACAAATGCCTTAAATTTACCCAATCTGCTCACACTTACATGTAAACGTCATCTTCCACAAACCTTTTCAAGCCACAGCCCAGAAACTTAGAACCAAAAACTTCATCTTTGCAAAAGCAAATAACAGAAGATTAGAATGAAACATAACCACTGGCATAGACAAGAGGAAGAACCTGAACAGGGAGGCTCCCCAGTGAACACTCAACAGTTCCACACACAGGCAAAGTTCAGACTTTACTTTTCCCTCAGCCAAATTAACTGCTAATAAAGTATTTGTCCCTGATCAGATTACATGGGCACTTCTGTTACCTTCCTTGGCCTGGTGTTTTGATTTATTGAAAATAAAATCCATCCATATAAGGCTGACAAATCCTGCTACTTTACTGCCATTAATACCACTTTGCCTCCGAAAACACCACTGCCATTTCAAAAGCACACAGACAGATGTTTTGTTAAATCCTTTAAGTCAGTATTTTCCAAACTGGAGATCTGTTAGACCAAATATACTCACTTGAGAGTCTATGTTAAAGGTTAAACACTGTCACTTTAACTTTGAAACAAAGTTTAAAACTTTGGTTCACAACAACAAAAAACCTTTGATTCACTGATAGCAATCCAAAGTGAAACACAAATGAAATTCAAGTACTGGATCCAGAGTTTTAAGATATGAGATTACTATGAAAAGACGAACGTGAAAAAGTCCTCAGAGAACTGGTAGGTCCACTAATAAACACCAACCCAAGGTTGCATCCTTGTGTCTCAGCAACAGCCCTTCCCCAAGTGTGAGCTCACCATCTTCTGGCACCATCAAAGTGCCACATGGTTTCATAAGTCAACATTTTCACAAAATAATTTGCTGCCAAGAATTAACTCAAAGGAACAGCTAAGGGTTGCTTAACTGTGCAGCCAGTGAACCTGGTAACCTTCAGAAACCAATATGGGAAGAGCCTGGACAGCACACCTCTCAAAGGCAGTTAGGTGTCAAGTTTTAAAATACTCTCTTCTTAAAAACAAATGAGCCACATAGTTCTTTGACCAAGGAAGGTTTGCAACATAACTGCTGTCAGGAGAGAAATCACTTACCAGTTTAAGAGAAAAATATCACAGAATCACCATGTATTGGAGAAGGAAAAGAAGAGTTGTACTGGGGAAAGCAGGCACCACATCTTGGGGCCTGAGGAACAAGGGGAAAAGACTGGATTTATAGAGTTTGGAGTCTGAGGGCACAGTGGAACTGAGTTCCTGCCTTCTATGTGGAGAGACCTAGAGCCTGCCTCCTGGGCAGGGGTGTGTTAAGGTTAATCTTAGAAGCACAGGGGAAAACGTGAACTGGAACTGTCTGTGCCACTGGAACCATCCTTGTGAACCGTACTGCTCAACAGAAGCAGGCAGAGAGGGGCCTGTGCCTCTCTAGTCCCTGGCTCTCTAGCCTCCTCCCTGCAACTTTGCAGGTCTGGCCCAGAATCACAAAGCAGAATATAGAAGGGATGTAAAGCTGAGGCAGTAATAACCAGCACTGCCCCTCAGATACTGGCTTGGGGGAGGTGAGGATTAATGGCTTGCAAGTAGGAGGAAAGGCCTTAAGCAGCATATCCCTTCTGAGTTCAAATGTGGAATTCTGGTGAATCAACCTTGGGCAAATTTTAATAGTGCCCGCATCACCTGAAGCCCTCAAGAGACTTATTTTTCACATAGTCATCACTGGCAACTACAGCGAGGAATTTTCAAACACATTTTAGGTAGGTCATTTTAATTTCAGATATAAACCAGAAGTTATTCAGTTTCAGCCAGGTGTAGTGGCATATGCCTGTAATCCCTGATGGAAGAATCACAGTCTGAGGCTGGTCTGGGCATAAATGCAAGACTCTATCTCAAAATAAGCTAAAGCAAAAAGGGCAGGAAGCATGGCTCAAGTGGTTGAATACCTCCCTAGCAAGAGCGAGGCCAAGTTCAAACACCAGTAACTTGACCAATTTCCATTTTTAAAAAACAAAACCTGGTCCTTAATTCACTACATAGACAAAAGATAAATTCCCTTTATATATTTCCTGTTTCTTAAGTACAGATATATGTAAGCCTCAGAGAAGTGATGCAACCTGCAAGTAGTACTAATTCAAGAGAAGTCTGAGTTTAGGTGAGGGTCACATTCAGCTGGTTGCCTACTTTTGTACAAATGGCTTTATTGGACACTCACTGCAGGCCTGTGTATGACTGCTTTCCTGCAGCAATGCAGAGCAGTTACAGAAGACAATACAACCACAAAGCCAAAGCGTGGTCTCTACTGGTGCACTGCACATACTTTGGAGGTTTAAGCGTTTCTTTTCTAAAATAGTGAAAACGTGGGCTGTAGCTCAGTGGTACGGCGCTTGCAGGAGACCCTAGGTTCCATCCCCAAACCAAAACTAAATGAAAACATGATTTACCACACTTGACACTTTTGAAAAAAGTGAATCATGCTAATAAGGAAAATTTTTTGTTTGCTTGCAGGGTGGGGAGCAGTACCAAGGCTTGAACTCAGGGCCTCATGCTTGCTAGGCAAATGCTCTACCACTTGAGCCACTCCACCAGCCCAGGAAATTGTTTTAAAGAAAAAACGTTTTTCTGCAGTGGGGGGATGGAACACAGGACCTATGCATGCTAGGAAAGCACTCTAACACTGAGCTGAATCAGTCCATGCGGAACTGGTTTTTTTGTGTGTGTGTACTGGGGTTTGAACTCACTCACTAGGCAGGTACTCTTAAGCCACTCTTAGCCTTGAGAAATGTTTTTTAAAACATATGTAATGCATTATAATCTAATCACATTTTGCAAAGACTCCACATCATAGGGGTAGGAGTGGCCCTGGCCCACTGGAGGAGGAGCCCTGAACAGAATCCAAATACAACTACTCAGCTTAACTGAAGATGCTTTAAGAAGGAAGAAAAGGGGAAAACCTATTTGTTTCATAAAAACTCTAAGTAGAGGGGGGAGGAGAAAGCCAAGGATGTAGATGACAAAAGAGTGTAGTACACATCAAAGGTCAGAAAGTGCTTAAAAACATCATCGCATAATCCACAATTGATACTGTCACTAAAATGTATATTAATTCTAACTCTAAAAATTAGCTTAGCCAGGTGCCGATGGCTCATACCTGTAATCCTAGCTACTCAGGAGGCAGAGTCAAGAGAATCACAGTTCGAAGCCGGCTTGGGCAAATTGTTTTTGAGACCCTATCATCTCAAAAAACCCCTTCACAAAAAAGGGCTGGTGGAGTGGCTCAAGGTGGCTCTGAGTTCAAGCCCCAGTACCCACAAAAACAAACACAAAAAAACCTATAGTCTCGCTTTTTTTTTCCTTTTTTTATGCTGATATCAACTTTTAGAGTCAAATCTTCTGAAAATCACTAAAATCCAACTATTTCTGCTCACAATCAATGTCCCTTTACAAAGGGGGAAAAAGTGATACAGAAGACATATCAACGTTCAAGGAATTAAAACAAAAAGGTAAATTTAATGCAATAATAATCTGAGGATAAATAAATCCACAACAGACTCTAGTTTGAATTTTTTTTTCCATTCTTTGCAGAGAATGGTTTTTTGAAAGCACATAGGACTGAAGATGTGGAAACAAAACTGAATTTCTGAATGTCCAGGTAGCACAGACTTGGTTGTTCCCTGCTACCCTCCTCACACTTGCCACAGCTAAGGTGACAGCTTTTCTGTGGAACTCAGCACAGTCACTGGTTTCAGGAGTAGCTGGAAGGCTTGTTTCCTGAATCATCCTCTTGTGAGCCCATACTCTGTGAAAGAAGAGCGGGAGGAAGGATTATGGTTGTTTCTGTCAAGGGGTTTCACAGACCCAAATAAGCGCACCGGCTACTCCTCCTCCTCACAAGAGCCACCCTGGGAAATGAAGCAACTCAGGACATCCTAAACCGTAGGCCATTGTTGCAAATGTTTCCAGCAAATGTCTCTGTGAACTTACTGTTGACAGTTTTCAAGAACAATGCACAAACTGGTTAATAATCTAAAACCAAGTTCCCACGCCTGAGAAAGGAAGGAAGCAACACCCCTCCTTTGCCATTCTACCATTTCTTTAATGAGGGGAACCCCATTCACCTTTTGCACAAACTGAGGGTTCACTGTGATCTCCTGGTCCATGGCTTTCAGCCGCTCATCCAACTCTATGCACTTTAGCATCTGCAAGACAGACCCCTGATTAGCAGGTGAGCTTGGGTCAACCACGTCTTCTGTGACCTCAACTGTTAGTATGGGACCAGTGGTTCACAATCCCTGATCTGAAACCCCTGGGCTAATGAATTTTGGAGTCAGAACATTTTGAATCCAGAGAGTTAACACACATAAGTACTATATACTACCTAACCCAGTGGAGTTGAGGCTGCACCTGTAGTCAAACATATTAACATCTTTTGAGGTGAAACTAAAGACTTCATACTAAGTGTGAAGACTACACATCATTTCAGGTGACATTTTGCCATCCGTGAGTTACCAAAAAAGCTCCCAGTTCCTAGGTTGTACTTTTCAATTTTAAAATTGTTCATGATACAACAGAGACTGATGTTTATTGCAGCACTATCCACAATAGCCAAGCTATGGAAAACAACCCAGATGCCCTACAACTGATGAGTAGATTAAGAAAATATGAGATGGCGTTTTGTTCAGCCATAGGAAGAATGAAACCATGTGATTTGAAGGTAGGTGGATGCAACTGGAGGACATTAAGCCAGGTTCAGAAAGACAAAAGCCGCATGTTTTCTCTCATATGTGGAAGATAGATCCAAAAGATAAACATGTACACAAAAATAAGCATGATCATATACAAACTCATATGCTGAACATGTTTGTAATAGTGGAACTACTTTATGGAACTTAGGGAAGGAGGGAAAGGGAAAGAGAAAGAGCATCAACAATATCATAAAACATAACATCTATGAAGGTAGAAGACATAACACTATGTAGTGAAAGCTGTCAAGAAAGGGAGGGGGGTGAGAGGGAAAGGGTAAGGGAGGGTAATAGAAGGGGATGAATAGATCAAAGTAAAGTATACTCACAGAAGGGACATACTGAGAAGCCCCTTTGAACACTGACTTAGAAATTAATAACGAAAGATGGGACCATAAAATTGGTACTGTGTGTGTGGGGGGGTACTTGGGGGAGAGTGAAAGAAGGACATTAAGGTGAAGGAACATGGTTGATGGACTTCATATACCAGTATGAAATAGAACAATGAAACTCTGCAATTGCTTGAAGTGGGATGGGGAAGGAGTCAAGAGGGAGAGATGGAGGGAGCAATCTAACCAATGTACAATATAAGCCTATTGAATTGTCACAATGAATTTCCCCTGTACAATGAATATATCCTGATAATATTTTTAATAATAATTTTAAAATTGTAAGAAAGGAATCTGTGGAGGTAACCTATGTTACTATATGTTACTTTTAGTTTCTTAGTGTAACATTACTTCAATCATCCCTTCTCAGAATAGGGTCAGACTGCCCATATGACCCCACCTCACTCCCAGAACTCAGAACAGCACTCTGAGCAGAAAGAGGTGGCCCATGCTGCGGGTATCCTCCTCTTCCTCCAGTCGGAACCAACCCTGCCCCTGACTCAGGAGGAGATGCTTCCTGACCTCCCTATCTGGCCTGCCACAGAAACAAGGCTCCACTTTGTGGCAATTTGGTATAGATAAAATTGTACCAGATCTTTCAAATGTCTCTGGAGTTAAATGTAGGAGTTGGTAAATTAGCTGGGAAATCTAACTTACTACTGAAAGAGTTCCAAGCAACCCATTTTGAAATTAACTTTCTTAGAAGTAAATGTTCATAGGCTGGAAACTACCTGTACTTAAACTTAATATGCTGGAACATAGGAGCAGTATTTCAATACTGTAACTAAACCATCAATAAAAAACACCCAAACCTGGCAATACATTTACCTCCTGATCAATGTTATGAAGCATAGCTGGATTATTATATTTTTCAGGATTATCATGGAAACTGACCATACCATCCTTCTGATTAATACTTGCAAAAATTTCACCATCTTCTATCTATAAAAAATAAAGAAATTAAGAAAGACGTTTAGACCTGAATACTATGTGAATATAGTCATGCGATACAACGAGGGAAGCACAGAAAGCAATTCATAAATAAACTTGTATGTGTATTTTAATTTTTAAAAGAAAACACATGGTAAGTTTATTCTAAGCAACTTTTTTTTTTTTTTTGAGATGGGGTCTTGCTACCATGCTAACCTCAAACTTCAGATCCTCCTGCCTCAGCCTCTGAAGACCTGAGATTATAGGCATGTACCACTGCACTCAGCTGTATATATTTTCAGTATCATCCATTTATTCAATAAGTATCTATTGAACATTTACTATATGCTAGGCACCATTATGGATGCCAATGGGTGCAAAAATGACACACATACACAAAATGATTATTTTAGTTGAAGTAAAATCCACATAATTAACCTTTTTTTCCTTTCTTTAACAATGTCTCACTATGTAGCTCAGGTGGGCCTTCAACTCAAAATCTTCCTGCCTCAGCATTCTAAGTGTTGGGATTAGAAGAATGAGCCATTACACCTGGCTTCTGCCCTTATATCTTTAAATACACATTTCATTGCAATTTTATATTGCTGTTGTCATTTTAAAACATGTTTTTGTTTCACACATTAGAAATTATTTTCTGACTCTTCAGGAAAACTTTTCTACCACTGCTGATTCCAAGGTAGATTCAATGGTAAAGAGCCTACCTAGCAATCTTGAGGCCCTAAGTTCAAGCCCCAGTTCAAGCCCCAGTTCCACCAAAAAAGAAAAAAAGAATGAATCCAAGGTAGATTTAAGGACTGGTAGAGTGCCTCAAGTGGTAGAGGGCCTGCCTAGAAGCATGAGGCCCTAAGTTCAAACCTCAGTACCACAAAACAACAACAACAAAACCAAGGTAGATTCAAGGTCTATCTTCTTTATTTGCATCAGTGACTGGAAATTTATTTGACTGATCCTGACCATGAAATTAAAAAGTGAGGAGCAAAAAGAAATCCTAAACAGGTATTTTTATTCCTAAAGATTGTTGTTAGTGGGATAATGACTAGTTCAACTGTTAGTGGTAGAACTGAGCTGCTCTCAACTGGCTCATTCCTATTTATAGTAACCAGCCCAACACATATTAATTAGAATGTAGAGTTCTCAGGCTGGAGGTGTGGCTCAAGTGCTAGAGTGCCTGCCTGGCAAGTGCAAGGCCCTGAATTCAAATCCCAGTATGGAGGAGGAAAAAAAAAAGAAAGAAAAGAATGTGGAGTGCTGTATGTGATCCCAGACAGCTGCCTATTTAAAGAGTGGATGGAATACATCCAAATGATATTTGGACCTTGGTTCACAATTCATGATAACCAGAATAGGAAACAGCCCAAATATCCACCAATTTGAATTCACATAACGGAATACTGTAGCCCAAAAATGGATGAACTACAGTATATATAACAGAATGTATGAGTCTCACAGTGCTGAGCACAAAAAGTCAGACCCCACAAAAGCATTTACTATGTTTCCTTTTAACAAAGCTCAAAACAAACACAACTAAACAGGATTTACATTTCAGAACAATAGGGATCTACGAAGGTACATGCAGTATTTTTGGGTGCTGGTCATATTCTGTTCTTTCATTTATATGTTGGGGACATAGATGCCTTTACTTTATAAAAATGTGTGTAGCTGAGTACCTACTAACATATACTCTATGTTTGTTACACTCCAATAAAATATTGGCTTAAAAAAAAATTCTGCCCTCACAGACTTGTCACTCCAGGGCAGGGTTTCTCAAATACTAACACTTGGGCAGGGAACTCTGTTGTGTGGGGCTTTTGTGTGCAGTGTAGGATGTTTAACAGCATCTCTGGTCTCTGCTTACTAGGCTTCAGTACTATCCTGAGCTGTGACAACCAAACACATTTCCAAACCGAAATGAAATATATTTGGGGTGTGGCTGGGAGTACAGTGTTTGTCTAACACGCACAAGGTTCTGGGTTCCACCCACAGCACTGACAAAAAAAAAAAAAAGAAAGAAAGAAAGACTTTCAGACAGTCAAACTCTTCTGACAGACAAAATGGCACTGATGAAGAACTGCTCTAGAGCCAGTTAGGGTGTCAAGATTGGTCAAAGAGTCCTCAAACCCAGTCCTTGTGTGTCCTCAAAGCATTTCACTAGCCTGGGCACCTGGGCTGGTACCACAGCCACTCATGTACTTCTTCTTTCTCAGCACCCAAGAGTGAGGTCCTCAGGGAAAAAGTCTATGTCTCTCTCATCCTATGGAACCTGGGGGCTGGCCTAGGGCTTTGAGCACACACTCCATGGTGGCCAAGTCAGAAAGGTTTGGTTTTGTTTGGGGTATGTATATGTTGGTTTGTTTGCTATGGAGTACTGGAGTTTGAACTCAGGGCCCACACCTTGAGGCACTCCACCAGTCCTTTTTTGTGATGGGTATTTTCAAGATAGGGTCTCCTGAACTATTTGTCCTGGCTGGCTTCAAACTGCAATCCTCCTGATCTCTGCCTCCTGAGTAGCTAGGATTACAGGCATGAGCCACTGGCGCCCAGCTGTTATGTACATGTTTGAAGGGGAAAAAAACCCTGAGAACATTTGTAAATCAAATTATTAGAACAAAGGTTCCATTAGCACAGGAGAAAATCATTTTATTACTGCTAACCCTCAGATTAGAGGAGCCAATGTGAAGGTTTCCCTGCCTTGGCTGAGGACACAGTTTTGTGTTTGGACCAAAACCAGATCAGAGCCAGGTATTTATACCACTGGACATTTAGGGAGATTGCAGTACAACTTGGTGGGTTACCAAGTAGCCATTATCCCAACCAGGGTGTGGCTGAAAGCAGAGAGAGATGCAGGGATGAAGACTTGGAATGTAATAAAGACAGGTGCCAGTATGCTGGTAATATTTTACTTTGTAAGCTTCTCTGCTGGGTGCTGAGTACGTAAGGGTTTGTCCTACCACATATATGTCAGTGCCATGCCAAGTGCAGTCATAGACTAATACTGGTAAGGGACTTGAGTCAGAAAGTTAAGTCAACATCAGAAGCACAGTTTAGTTGAGCCAAGGTTTTTTTGGCAAGACTTTCTTGATGCAACAGGGTGCCTTGAAGTACATACTGGGGCAAACTTGTGATCCCATCATATATCCAGAAGACAGTAGCACTACTTTATGCCTCTTTGTATATCTGAAATATTTCATAGGTATTTTAAATGAGGTTTAAAAAACTCTAGTCATAAGATTGAAAAAGGGGGACTATTTGGGGAAGAGCTAGGAGTAAGGAGTGGGAAAAGAGAGGATGATGGAGTGAACAGGATCAAAAAACATTATATATATGTAGGAAATATAATGAAACACACTAAAAACTATTAAAAAGAGGGGAGACAAGAAAAGGGAGCTAAGAAACAGTAATATAGATAGGGTAAATTTGATCAAACTACAATATATGTATATATATAATCATCACAATGAAACCCCTTTAACAATTTATGTTAGTAAAAAAATTAATATTCTAGTCATGAAAATATGTAAATATAATAAGGAGCACAAAAAGATACAACCATGGTGTATATCACTAATGTATGGATGACTATCATTTAATTATTTGAGTGTCCACCAAGGATCCATTATGACTGAAGGCTTAGTCTAGAGGGTGACATTATTGGGAGGTGGTGCAACCTTTAGGAGGTAAGGCCTAGTAGGAGGTACCTGGCTGTGTACCTTAAAGAGGATTGTAGGACCCTGGTCCTTTTCTGTCTGCCCTGGTTTGAGGTGTGTTTACTTCTACATGTACTCCTATCATGATGTAGACCCTCAGCAATGGCCAAACCAATGGAGCACCTGATACTAGATGTGAACCTCCAACATAAACCAATAGAAAACTTTTCTCTTTTAACATTAGTTGTCTGAAAGATTTCCTTATAGTGATGCAAAGCTGACTAACACAACCATGGCTGGGAAATCCTACAAACTATAGAGAAACAGACCAAAGTGTCATTAAGAGATGACTTTAGATACTCCCATTTTTCTTCTTTTATCTTTTCTGTAATGAATGCTCATTACTGTTTTTTGTTTGTTTTTGTTTTTTTGGTTGGGGGGGCAGTACTGGGGTTTGAATTCAGAGCCTCATGCTTGCTAGGCAAATGCTTTACCACTTGAGCCACATCTCCAGCCCTTTTTGTTTTTGATTTAGTGTGTTTTTAAATAGGGTTTTGCACAGGCCACTCTCTAAACACCAGCCTTCTGCCATCCTTCTACCTCTACCTCCCAAGTAGTTCGGATTGTAATTGTATGCTACCATACCTGGCCCCATTACTTTTTTTTGGTGAGACTAGGGGTTTGAACTCAGGGCTTCATGCTTTCAAAGCAGGTGTTCTACCACTTGAGTCATGCCTCCAGCCCATTTTGCTCTGGTTATTTTGGAGATGGGGTCTCACTAACTATATGCCCAGGCTGGTCTCAAACCACAATCCTCTTGATCTCAAGTGTCCGAAGTAGCTAGGATTATAGGTGAGAACCACCAGAACCTGGCCCTGTTACTTTTATACGGATCAAAGTCTGCTAATCAAAATTTTAAAATGAAAACACACCTACCATGTGTAGAACATATTTTTCTGCCTCCTGAGGTCCAGATAACTGCACACGACTTGCCATATCTTGTAACGATAGTGTTAAAAAGGTCTGAAAATCAGAAGTAAATTAATCATGGGTAGAAACAACAGAAGAAAGACACTTTATTAAATGTGTACAGAGTTTTTTCCATTGCTGTACAAAGTAATTTTTTTTTTGGTGGGACTGGGGTCTGAACTCAGGACTTTGCACTTGCAAAGCGCTCTACCACTTGAACCACACCTCCAGTGGCCCAAAATAAATTTTTGTTTGTGACAATGACTTGAAGTTGATGAACTCAGTAGTTTTAGTCACCAATCCCTACAGGAATAATGACAAAGGGTTAATTTCCCATACACACATGGCCCTTTTACAAGTTAAAAGAAAAAGGTCAAAGTGAAAAGTCGTAAAGAGCAAAGACTGGGGAAACACAGAAAAAGAAATCAAAGCACTCTCCAACATGTAAAAAAAAAAAAAATTCTGTCTCACTTATATAAGTAAAACTACCCTAAGATTCCATTTTTCACCCTATCAGTTTACTGAAGCTCCAAAAGTCTGATACCCATGGCACAATGCACTGATAAATGTAAGGACTCAGGACCCTCCACCGCTGCACAAGCTGGCAGGAATATAAACAGGTGCAGCTCTAGGGAAGATGAGCCAGCAGCACCCTTTAGGTTACCAATGCACAGATCCTCTGACTTGGTAATTTCACTCTTAGAAATATATCCTACACATACTGTCCTCTATGTGAGAGAGCAGTGTTTACTACAACAAAAGACAGAAAACCACCCCACTGTTCACACAGAGGTGAAGAGTAAGTAAAGTATAGCATAGCCATATGAATAGACTACTTATACATTTAAAAAAAAAAAAAATGAGGACACCTTTTAGGAACTAAAAAGAAATCCAAGTTATGTACTTCATTAAATAGGGGGAAAAAAGTTGCTTAACAGTGTACATGGCATGCTAACATCTGTGTAAATAAAGGGGAGGACTACACGAGTATATGCGCATATGTATATGAATTCATGTCCACACGAACTACCTTTAGAAGGGTACCCTAGAAATTAATTGGTAATACTGAATTGCTTCTGAGGAAAGAATAAAGGTGGCTGGGGTATAGAAACAGAACAGAGATCTTTATATCCTTTCAATTTTGTATTATAAGTGTATTACCTATTAAATAAAATTGAAAAAAATCAACATTCATTCTGCAAAATTCAAAGTTAAATTTTTTTAAACAAACAGAGGAGTTAAACACTTGTTAATAAGCATGAAGGAGACCAGTGTTTATCACTATCCTGCTTGGATCTGACAAAAATGCTCCCTTTCAGGAACAAATTAAAAGTGTTTTTTTTTTAAATGGCAGCTGGCAAAATTTACAATGGCATTTCAGAGCTGGGCATGTTAAAACCCTGATTCTGAAACTTTATTATTTTTTTTCTCAGTACTGGGGATCAGTCCCAGGGCCTCACACATACAAGGTAAGCACTCTGCCACCAAGCTACACCCTCAGCCTGAAATTCTTGATAAGCCAGTGATTTAAAAAAAAAAAAATCCACATATACTTTAGTTTGGGGACGGGAGATATATAGCTCAGTGGTAGAGTACCTGCCTAGCATGTCCAAGGTTCTGAGTAACCGCCCCAGTACTACAAAAACAAACAAACAAAAAACGTGCACTTTAGTTTGGAGAACAGCACTCAAAAAATTGAAATTACTACTAATTTTAAGAAATACCTAAGTAGTTTAATGCAAAGGAATCCTCAAAAGTGAACATTTCTAAATGCTTCGTAAAACTATCATTTTCCCTGTTTCAGAATAAACAGAAACTTCCACTTGAATGTCTTCCAACAGAGGACTGGTTAAATAAATCCTGATCCATCCACACAAGGGACTACTATGCAAGGTATCTATGATTAGGTTCATGTTGCCATGGAAAGAGTTTCATGACACATTGAACAAAAAAAAGCAGGGTAGAGAATAGCACATAGAGCATGACCCCAATTACACACAACTGAGTGTCTATAAAAACATACAAAGATGACACAGAGACACAGTGGAATTTAGAAAAATGTCCATAAAAATGTGGATACAGAAACCCCCAATGATTTCTTGTTCCTAACTGCTTTCAGCCTGGAATGCCATGGGACAGAGTTCCCAGAACTGACAGTAATGCAGTCTACTTGCTGAGACTTCTTAAAAAGCTTCAGACTTTCTCATTTTCTAGTAAGGAGGTTTCACTTGGCTAGAAAATGCTATGCTCTTTTCCACTTCTTATATTCTGGCACTAGGACCTGACATATAGCAGTCACCATCAAAGGTACACCCTTTGGATTAGACACATCTTTTAATAACACTGACCCTACCTACCATGCTTTATGATGGCCTTCCCCTACATCCCCTCAGCAGTGCTCATGAACCCAGTGTGCCACAATCCACCATCAATAGGCACACAAAGAACCCAGGACACGATGAATTCATGAACTACTACCCCACTCCTGACATGACCACCTTGAGACCCTTCTTTATTTGGTCAAACTCTTGTTCTGGATTCTTCTATCTAGAACAGAAAACTGCATTTTACTATGCTGACTTCTCAAAGTATAAGCTATTTCATATTTCAAAGTGATGACCTATGATTAACTGTTTTACAAGAGTGCTACTGACGATTCTCTCAGCAATGTATATACATAGTTAAGCTGGTTTTTCTCTGGCTGACAGGTTTTCTGTTTTTGATCTTTTTTTTTTCTTTTTTTAGACAGTACTGGAGTTTGAACTCAGAGCTTTGTACTTTTGAGGCAGGCACTCTACCACTTGAGCCACATTTTCTGCCTTTGATCTTTAAGTTGCTTTCTCTTTCACATTCTTCATTTCCCTCTTACACACTAACTTTTTACAAATTCTCTGCTGATTTCCTCGTGAGTCCAAAAGCTGTAAGTTACTTTCTATAGAGTATTTGGAGGGAATTCCTCCTCCTATCCAGTGATTCCAGTGGAGGTCCCACTTCTGCCCAATTCCACATTCTTCTCTAGTTTCTCAGAGGAAGGCATCTTCCCTTGGTCAGTGCATTGCCAGATTCATCATCCCCCTCCTACTGCTGGATATAGTCCGGCCACAAGCAGCCCCTATTCTTGCTCTTTCTTCTCCCCTACCATTACCACTCTGGACATGGGTAGAAAGATGCATAGAAGTGGGATCACCATGATCTCACCATCTGTCAACTGCTAGGTCTCTGACCAGACTTCTGCCAGTGCAAAAGCAATATGCTACCTGTTTAAGCTGCTGTTAGCAGGATTCCAATTACTCGCAGCATATGCCTTTTTAATACACAGATTTTTTTCTCTTTATGCTTCTCTACATTGCTTAAACACTCAACAATTAATCATATTCTCCTCTTCTTTTTTTGAGGTGGGGGTCTCACTATGTTGCCCAGGCTGGCCTCAAGTGATCCTCCCACCTCAGCCTTCCTAGTAGCTGGGACTACAAGTCCCAGCTAGCACTAGGCTAAGTGCATATTTTCTTTCTTTTTTTTTTTTGGCAGTACTGGGGTTTGAATCAGGGCATCTGCTCTGTTTGAGCCATACTGCCAATCTACAATGTGATTTTTTTTTTTTTTTGGTGGTACTCAAGTTTGAACTTAGAGCTTTACATTTGCTAGGCAGGCATTCTACCAATGAGCCACATAACCAGCTGGTGCGTATTTTCTGTAACTAAACACCATCGCATTATTTTCATCTTGAAAATTAAAATTATACCCAGGCATGGTAGTGCACATCTATAATCCTAGCACTCAGGAGGGTGAGGCTAGAGGATCTCAAGCTCAAGGCTAGTCTGGGCTACCCAGTATATATATGAAATTTCCTTACATCCTAGAATTCAAGCGCATGTGGCTCATGGAACCCTGGCCTAAATGATAATGTGAAGAATAATACATCTTTAAATAAGAAAGTCAAGCAGAGGTCAGCAAAGTCTGAGAAGCAAGGCTGGTCATCACTAGCACCCCTGCCTACCCATATGGAACTGGTGATCCTTTCAGGGCTACTTTCTCTGCCTCCCAATGTAGCTGTATCACCCACCTTGCTTCCTCTTCACCTGCTCCTCTTCTCAAATATCAAATACCCTGCTCTAGCCCTGAAAAGACCAAAAGGTAGCAATCAAACTCCTTCTAAGCACCCAGTTGCAACAGAGTTCTCTCTTAGTATAGAAATCCTGCCATACTTTGTCCCTGGATCTGCTTCCTCTGTGCTAAAAAGGGAAAGAGAAAGAAACCAGGCCCTGGGCAGTCAGGTGAAGTCACCTGAGAGCAGTGCTTGCCTCACCTTTGTTAGCCTCTGAATGTTCTTCTTATAGAGAGAGGACAGACACTGTTTAACCAGTCCCATGTTGTTATCGCGGGTGAAAGTTTCGCTGTGCTTGTTCACCAGGTTCCGGAGTTCTGAGGGATTGTTGGTTGAATAAACTTGTGCTAACTCATGGTATGCATTGCTAAGAGGCTAAAGGTTTGAAGATGAGGAAAAAATCAGATCAATGCTTTAGAGGACTAAAACTTTTATAACAAAAAACAACTACACTATATTATGAGCAAGTACATTATTTCATGTTGTTCCTATCAAGTTAGAATTTATCCAAAGGCCTCAATTTTAAGACCAAGGATAGAAATTTACTATGGAGTAATTATTAATAAAACTTTGTATCAAAGAACAAGTAACTACAAAACAGGTTGAAAAACCACTTAATATTCTCTACTAGTGGTCTTTTGTTTTCCTATTGATGAGTTATACCAAGAACAAAGAAGGCAAAATTTCCCTCCTTCCCAACTCTCCCTCCCTCACACACGTCACCAGGTGCAATGGGGCAATCTACTTCTATTAAGGAATTGGGGCAGAGCTCCAAGAAAATGTTGGCAGTTCCAGAGGAGCACTACCACCTCTGACTCTGGTCTGATTCTTTTCACCATTTATGATACCATCATAAGTAAGTTACCAATTCTTGTAACTGGTGCTCTTGAGCCATAAAGAAACTCTATGAAGGCATTATTTCTAAAACAGGCCTGGGCAGGGGCCACTGGAGGGCCCATGGGAGCTCTTCACAATGCTCTCAGGATAATGTCCTAAATCTACCCTGTCCATCACTCTTCAGTGGGAGCACCTTTACCTATCTCCCCCCATCGCCTGGGAAGAAGCAGCCAGAGCCCTGAGAGCCACAACAGGGCTCTCACGGAAAGGACTGGCCATATTCAACAAGCCAATGTGAAAATCTCACCAGGAAGACTTTCAAGATTGACTTCTCTAAAATTTTGAGTTTTATACAAGGATAAGGGTGAAATTAGTAGCAAAATGATTATAACATCATAATCCTTTGCAACTGCTCAATTTAAAAAAAAAAAAAGCCATAACCATGTATTTTTTTTTAAAGTTTATTTTTTAAACATTGTCCCATAACTGGGTTGTCAGAGAGAACGGGAACAAAAATGCGGTGAAGTAGAGCTTGTGGTATTCATATAGCTGGTGGCATTTATACAGGAGCTCTAGTATAATGCCCCAACCTTTGGATAGGTTGAGTTTAATCAAATCAATACGGCCTTTTCAAGTATTTTGACTAAAATGTAATGACAAAATATAACAACAAAAACAACCTTTGTAGAAGCTTAAATACCTTTAGTGTAAGGACCCAGAGTAAAGGTTCAGAAACAGGTTTTTGAGAAACATTTCCTGCCAAGCAGGCAAGCAGAATGTGTATGAACTGGAATGGAGTTATGATTCTGACTGAACCACGCTACCAGGCTCCATCAGACAGTTAATAAAGGTCTGCTAATCTGAAGCTGCTGGGAAAGCTGTATCACTATAAAATAAAACTACAGACGTATATGTTACAACTTATGTACTGATTACCATGTCATGTAAGAAAATCAGTTTTATTTTAAAAACTCACCTTAATAAATCTACCCACAATTTGAGATGTATATTTCGGTAGCTGTTGTACTTTGCCAAGTAATATCAAAGACACTAGAATATATTTTTTATATGATTCCAACATGATATGACTGACCGCCATGGCAGGAGTAGTTATAGCCTAAGCAAGAGAAGAATGTGTAGTGTGAAAAAACAGCACATCATAGCAGGAAACAGAAATGATCACATTATATTACTTTAATTAAAAAAACAAGACCAGGCTGGCAGGCAGAATGGCTCAAGCAGTAAGAGCCCAGTAATCTTGAGGCCCTGAATTCAAACCCCAGTGCTATTCAAAAAAAAAAAAAGCCATATTAATTTTTTTTTTTTAGCCAACCTGAAGTTTTGAAGTCAAGATACTTTTCCATTTCAGCTAAGCCCCTCAGTCCTTTTTTGCTTTTTGTTATTTTTCAGGTAAGGTCTGAAGCTTTTCCCCAGGTCCAGCCTCAGACAGTGATCTTCCTAACTAAGGTCTCTGGTGTAGCTGGGATCACAGGCATGAAGCACCATGCCTGCCTTATTGAATGAGGTAAGGCCTGCCTGGCCTCAAACTGCTATCATCCCAATCTATGGGTAAGCCACCATGATTGGCTTATTATTATTTTTTATAACTTTTTTTTTTTTTAAACAGGGCCTTGATATGTAGCCCAGCCTGACCTTGAACTCCAGAACCTTCTTTCTCTGCCTCCTGAGTGCTGAGATTATACATGTGTACCATCATGCCTGGCTTACCTAAATTTTGTTGAAATATAGTTCATAGTATAAAATTTACCCCTTTACAATTCAGTGGTTTCTAGTATATTCACAATATTCAAAACTATTACATTATCTAATTTCAGAACATTTTCATCCCCTCAAAAGAAACCCCCCACTCATTAGCAGTCATTTCCCATTCTCTCCTCCATATGATCCAGGCAACCATTACTCTACTTTCTGTATGGATTTGCCTATTCTGGACACTTGTATAAACGGCACCACACGAAAGGTTGTGCTCTGTTAACTGATTTCATTACCTTAACAAGTTCTCAAATTTTAAGGTTCATTCAGATTATAGCATGTGTATCTCATTCCTTTACATGGTTAAGATTCACTATGTGGACACAGCCTAATTTATCTTCTCCTCATTTGAACAGTTTGGGTTGTTTCTACCTTTTGGCTATAATGAACCTTGTTCCTATGAATATTACATGCTTTTGTGTGGACATATATCTTCATTTCTCTTGGGTATATTCTTAGGAGTGAAATTGCTGGGTTCCCTGGTTAACAGTTTGATATTTTTGTGTGTACTGGGAATTCAACACAGGGCCTTGAACAGATAGGGCCAGCACTCCACCATGGAGTCACCCCAACCCCTGAATTTTTTTTTTTTTTTTTTTTTTGGTGGGAGTGGGGTTTGAACTCAGGGCTTCATACTTCCAAAGCAGATGCTCTACTGGACCTCCAGTCCATTTTGCTCTGTTATTTTAGAGATGGGGGTCTCACAAACTACTTATCTGGGCTGGCCTCAAACCATGATGCTCCTGATCTCAGCCTCTCAAAAGTAGCTAGGATTACAGGTGTGAGCCACTGGTGCCCAGTCTAAGCTACTGGTGCCTGGCCTGATTTATTTATTTATTTTAAAAACAAATTCCCTTCAAAAGTGACTGTGCAATCCTATCAGCAATAATGAAGATTCTAAATTTTATACATCTTTGCCAACACTTGTTATTATTTTCAGATCTTAGTCTTCCTACTGGGTGGGAACTAGTATCACACTGCGATCTGGATTTGCATTTCCTTAATGACTAATGATGAAAAGTATCTTTTCATGGGCTTACTGGCTATTTGTATATCTTTTTTTGAAGAAATATCTATTCAAATCCATTACCCAGCTAGGCACTGGTGGCTCACACCTGTAATCCTAGCTCAGGAGGCAGAGATTAGGAGGATGGTGGTTTGAAGTCAGCCTGGGCAAACAGTTTGTGAGACCCTATATCAAAATAACCCATTATAAAAAAGGGCTGGAGGAGTGGCTCAAGTGGTACAGTGCCTGCCTAGTAATCATAAGGCCCTAAGTTCAAGTCCCAGTGCTGCCAAAAAACAAACAATAAAACCCATTTCCCATTTTTTAATTTTAGATTTTTTTTTATTGTTAAATTAAGAGAGGCACTTGTATATTCTAGATGCAAGCCCCTTAGATGTCCATTAAGTGGGGACAAGTAAACTACCCAGATCAGTCTGTGGAGTGGTATGACAAAATCGAAGTTACCTCCACTTTTTGCTTTACACAGAACTGTATGGTCTGAATTTTATCAATAAATACATTTTCTTTTGGACTTTTTCTTAAAGTTATAAAAAAAAATCTGTATCACTTTGAGTCAAGAAATACCATCTGTAAGAATACCAATCTATAAGAATATCATCTATAGTTCGTGCATATCACTAAAACATGCATGAAGAAGACTAACACTAGACAACGCTTGTCATTAGGTCAAAATTAAGCACTAAGTATATCTTCAGGTAAAAAGATATCTACAAACATCAAAAATGCTTATTTTTAACATTTCAGCTATTTAAATAGAAATATTTCCTAAGCGCACTGCAAACTTTCCTGCCTTTGCAATGCAGCCACCATTTTGATATTTCAAGTTTGCTCAAGATAATTACACGAGACCCAACATGATAATGCATCCAATGTTTATGAAGTATGTTTTTACCATTTTCTAAACTTGTCACCTTAACTTAAAGAGGAGTAACCTTGGGCTGGGATTGTAGGGATTGTAGCTCAAGTGGCGCACCTACCTAGCAAGTACAAGCCCATGAGTTCAAACCCCAGTACTGCAGGAAAAAAAAAAAAAGGAGTCACCCTGAAGATTTAACTTGACTAGACACATGCTTTAATGACAAGGTCTCTGTCTACCACACCTCATGAGATTCCCTCAGCAAGTCTCACCAACCAATCATTGAGGCGCTGGTCAGAGGCCTGGCTGTGTGTATGTGTCATGTGCATATTACAAATCAGCATTCCAAATAAATTGTGAGCTCTCTGAAGGTTTATAATATTCCTAATACATGCTATGAATTAAATAGGAACTTAGGAACTTTTCTTAGAATACTGGTATTACTTAATGCTGTATATCTTTTCCACACACTCTGTAAAAAAAGCCCTTAAGAATATTCTACCAAACTGTGTAATGTGTCTCACTGCATAGACCAGGGGCCATTATACAGCCACAGACAAGAGTGGGAGAGATTTTCACTGTTTATTTCTTAATCCACTTTGAATTTTGAACCATAAGAACATTATGCAAGCTAAAATAAATAAAACTTAACAGAACACTACACATCATTCTAGAATAAGACGACACTTCAGGCTGGGTGCTGGTGGCTCATGCCTGTAATCCTAGCTACTCAGGAGGCAGAGATCAGGAGGATTGTGGTTCAAAACCACCCTGGGCAAATAGTTCTGCGAGACCCTATCTTGAAAAAACCATTCACAAAAAAGGGCTGAAATGGCTCAAGGCCCTGAGTTCAAGCCCCAGTACTGCTTTTTTTCCTATAGGCAAAAGAAACCATAAAGGTCAAGAGATGTTTTGATAGGGTATAAGTGACAAACCTAGGTTAGAACCACTCATTAATGCTCTTCTTTACCCTACCGCTGTGCTTCAACTTGAGCAAGTCATTACCCATTTACATGATCAGAGCAAGAGGATTTAAGAGGACTTCCTACTGAATCTTAAGAGGCCCGTGCCCAAATCATTCCAGTTATAACCCAAAGAAGAACAAGTTCAAAACCACCTTAGAGACAGGTACAGAGAAGATTACCTGTTCATAAAAGTAGAGTGCTCTTTCAAAGTTCTTCAGCCCAGTATAGATCATCCCTCCATAATAATAGTAACATAAAAAGTGTTTTGCATCATAGGCTCCATTCTCTTTACAAATATCCATCATGTCCACATCAAGATATGGAAGAGCAGGTTTAAAGCATTTTGCCAGCAAACAAAGCTGTGAAAAACATTTATATTAAATTGTCATTTTAATTTTACTGTGGTAGGATTTAGCAGGTGGAAATTTACAGATTCCAGAAATTTCAAGACAATGTTATTTTCTTTTATTGAGTAAAATGATTTAAATGTCAATGCATTAATCCATTTGCTTAAACATTCAGAATAAGAGTTTTTTAATTTAAAAAAGATAACTAGCTATAAAGTAGAGTATGGCACAGATTAAGAATAAACACAGAACTTCACAGCTATCACTCAATGCATCAACCACGCATTTGTTTACACATGGAGAAACAGTGGGTCTTTTTTCAATTCACTGAATTAGTGAAACAAATAGTCCAACATGCTATGAAAAGGTGATTTTTTTTCTTTAATTAATCCTTTTTTCAATTTGAATTCTTTAGGTAAGTGTAATAAATTGTGCAAGTAAAGAAATCAAGCACACCTGAGCATAGTACACACCTACAATCCCAGCACTCAGGAGGATGAGTCAGGAAGATTTCTAGTTCAAGGTCAGCCAGGGCTACACAAGCACATGGGAAATTCCTATATCTAGCTAATGGTGACATGGAGCAGATATACAACTCATTGAGCTATATACATTAAAATAATGCATATATTATAACTCAGTCACAAAAATATATTAAAGGTTAAAAAAAAAAAAAAGAATGTGTGCTTAAAATAATCCATATACCATAAAACACCACATACAGACTAGAGGAACTATGGCACACCTTAACACACTGCTATGGAATCATCTCCAAGATGATTAAACAGGAAAAAGCAAGGTACATAAGAATTTGTATAGATTATTAGCATTTGTATAAAAGAAAAATGAGTAACTATATATTCATACTTACTTGTATGTGCATAAAATATCTTTGGAAAAATAACACAGTAAACTAACACAGGTTTTCTTTGGAGAGAAGAAATGGTGGCTAACAAACAGAAGTGAGATTTAATATCCTCACTTTTGCCTTGTGAACTCTGAGATACATAATTAAGATAAATAAATGAACAATATTTTAAAGTATAAAAAAGTTACCCATGTTTATTCTCAGGTGATAGACATTTCTTAGGTTCCACAATTTTTTTTAAAAGAAAATGATTTGAATTTTTTAAAATGTTATAAAATTACTATATCTTACTAGCTAAACCCCACCCTACATACTTCAACTTCTACAATCTCCATCAAATTATCTTCATTTATGTAATCCAATGTTAAGCAAGACCAAGAACAGCCTTATAGCTCTGACCTGGGTGAATTACAGACTTTGGCTGCTTACCTGGCAGAGATCAGCATGTATTGAGGTCAACTGGTTTGTATTCATCTGCATCTTGTCTATGGCTTGCTTAAGGATGCCAATTCCTCGAAGGGGCTGTCAGAAATGACATCTCTTTCAGATAAGCTCTCAAAGATGGCAGCACATTGGATCTTATGTTGTCACTTACAAATAAAAAATAACACTAATTGATAGGTTCTTTTAAATAACAATATGAGGTTTCCATACTCTGTTAGGAAATGTCTGTCTCTATTCAATCTGGAAACATTTTCTTATACTGTTTCTTGGAATATTTAGAGAACTCGGCACTGTATTTTAAATCAAAAGCTTTTTTTTTCACAATGAATATCAATAATCAAAAACAAGATTGCTTTTTCAATAACTGATTATATTTAAACAAACAAAACTTTTCCACACCATTTACATAATTAAAGATAAATGTGCTGACATGTTTTCCATAGGGCAATCTGGCCCTTATCCAGTAGTAAGCTACTACTGAATCTAAAACCACAAGTCACAAACACTCTCCTACCCGACTATAAATAACAAGACAGAGTTTCATGTGAGGCGCAATCCATCTCTGGTCAGTAGATGAGACTATAAAATACCTACATACCTATATCCTTTTTACAATAAATTAAAAGAAAATTAAACAAAAAAATAGCATAAAGGGCACTAGACAGGTAGTTTGTTACAATCAGTTGAGATACCACATCTGCTGGGCCTGTGCACTATTCTCCTGACATAGGTACAAGTGGCCCTTACAGCAAAGGCTTGGAGTGCTCTCAAGGAACCACATATACCTAAGTATTGGTATGTTGAGTACTAACCTGGAATCTTAATAAACTAGTTCACTATGTGAGTTAGTTCCACATTTTAACAGAACTATGAATACTTGAATAACATTTCTTACCTGTTTTCTTTCCACAAGTGCATTTGTTAGCTGATGACAAAGCCCAGCAACTAGACACAACAATAACAAAATATTGAAAATATAAATAACTACAAAGGCAAAATACATTCAGAAGATAAAATATTATTTAGCTTACAAGTGTCTGTTGCATATCGAATGTGCTCCCCATTACAGGTACTGATGAAAAGCTGAACCTGTGAGAATAACGTTTCGAAGTCAGGAACACTGGGCATAGAAAACTTCACAAACCTAGAGCAAGGAGAAAAGAACCTAATTACCCTGATTATTTCATAAGGTAAAGAGCAGAAGCAACTTACACCTAAAGTCTATCCTGTCTCCAACACTCTATGAAATTAAATGAGGAACAGTTATTTATTTTTTTACAGTACTGAGATTTGAACTCAGGGACTTACACCTTGAGCCCTCCACCAACCCTTTTTTTATGAAGGGTTTTTTCGAGATAGGGTCTCTTGAACTATTTGCCTGGGCTGGCCTTGAACCACAAGCCTCCTGATCTCTGCCTCCTGCGCAGCTAGGATTATAGGCATGAGCCACCAGTGCCCAGCCAGGAATACTATTTTTTAAATTTAAAACCAGAGTCCCAAGATTCTCTAGCCCTGATTCTTTTACACTTTCTAGACACAAATAAGGGTTAAGAAAAAACGCTTTAAAAAGAACAAATTTCAAAATTAAAAACTCCATTAAATGAGGCCAAATACAGGTTGTTAATACTTGTAAATGAAGTGAATATAAACTTTTAACCAAAAAAAATTTTTTAAATTTTCTTTCTAGCTCTAGTGTGGTCCAGACATTTACTCAATTAAAAATCAGTTGTTGCTTTTCTTGCTTTGAGGAGAATGTACTGAAGAGGGGCAAACAATGAGAGCTATGGACTGGCAGGAAGCTGGGGCAGTGGCTCAGGTTAAAGATGCTGCAGCCAGTGGCTGGTGGAGTTGCTCAAGTGGAAGAGCACCTGCCTAGCAAGTGTAAAGCCCTTAGTTCAGACCCCAGTACACACACACTAAGGAAAAAAAAAAAGCTCCAGCCAAAAGTCAGGTGAAGTTATGGTCTATATGGTAAAAAGACAGAACTAGCTGATGGGAAAGGTAAGAAGGAAAGGGGTAGGGAGAAGAAGGAGGACACAGATGGTCCATTTGAGTAACTGGGCAGATGGTGCCATCAGCTGCCGTGACAAACCCTCTGAGGAGTTGCAGGTTTCAGGGGAGAAAGCATACAGGCTACCACCACTATGGCACTGCTTATAAGCAAATTCAAGCTCCTCTTTAAAAAAAGAAAAACAAAGAAAGAATTATTGGGGCTGGCAGAGTGGCTCAAGTGGTAAGAGTGCCTTCCTGGCAAGTGTGAAGTATGAGGCCCTGAGTTCAAACCCCAGTACCACAAAAAAAAAAAAAACCAAAACAAAACTACTGAAACTAATTTCAAGGAAAATGATCCCCCTACATCCTTTACTTTGACTACTTCTATCTCTACAGTATTATTTTACATAACAATGTCACCTTGCATCTATAATTATACTGTGTAATGATAAAGATATGCCAGAAACAATTTCATTTGTGGTTCACAATAGGTCAGTGAGGCACTGTGATTTCCATTGCATAAATAAAAACATTAAGCTCAGAGCACATACCTCTTAATTGGAAGGAACTAGATTTAACCCAGTTATCAGCTGTAAGTTCAGGTTCTTTCCAACAATATCTGATATAACTGATATACAGTACGACACTGTATAGCTCCAAAATATTTTCATGTACATTATCTCACTTGATATGTATGTACGTGAGTTTATGTGTGTACAATACATGCATGCTATCTGCTCTTTTATATCATTAAAAAAACACAGACAGTAGAAATCTTTATCAGCACTCTCCAAGGACTCTCTGAGATGCTGGAATGTTCTGCATCTTTGCTGTCTAACAGTGTCTACAGAATATCTGAACTGTACAAGTGTCTCTGAAGAACTGAATCTTTACCTTTAATTTTAATTAACTTTAATCTAAATAGCTGCACATACCTGTTGGCCACTATTGCAGAACACAGCTACAGACTTTCTGTTCTCATAAGGCTTCTACTCTAATCTCTGCTCCTGACACCTATCTTTGACTCAGAAATCCCTGTGTGAATGGAGCCAGATGCTCACTTTAGGTCAGTATCTTCTTGGTTACGTCTATTATTTCAAATTTCATGACAACAATATCTAATCTATACTACTATGGCATTAAGAGAAAAAGAATTCTATCAGGTACACAGAGTTATAAGGAACTCCAGTTGATAAAGGTCTACTGAATTTGGTCTTTAACAGCTTAAATTTGTTTAAAGAAAGAAAATCATTGATATTTTCATTCAATGTATCCCACTATGTCCTGTTCTATCACTCTTCCTATTTTCTTTCTAGTTAGGAAATGTGGAGAAGGCTATGGATTACATGAATAAAAGCATCCCAATTAAGTGCAAACTAGAGTGTCTATAATTGAGATGGCCATTCATTTTTTAAAATAAAATTTCAAAATGTATATAAATATAAATGAGTCAAAAATGATAAAATTTAATAAGATATAATTGACAATTAGCTGGAATTGAATAAAATGTAACTACTATGATATGACTTTAATTTTGCAAAAGACTTAATGTTGTTTATGTGGCTTACTTTCTACACCAAAAAAAAAAAAAAACCCAGAAACTGCAGTCTTTAGTTTAAACAAGCACAAAACTATAAAAGAAGGTATCCCTTACAAAACAGCAAGGACGCCCAAGGAGTGTTCTTGTACATCCAGAGCCCCGAGCACAGTGTCCAGGTGGGATAAGTTCTTTGCAAGGAGTTCCCCGCTCTTGTTGATCAGTTCACAGAGCTGGGTCATTTGCCCTGCAAAATAGGAACAGTAGCATTCAGTCATAGTACTAACCAAACTAAAGGAACGATAATCAGACTTTGTGTTTCAAAGTGAAAGTACCTAAAGATGATTTGGCCCAAATCATCTCAGATGAGGCCCAAAAGGGCCAGTGGAGCAAAACCACCAGCCTATGCCTCAGAACTAGTTGAAGATAACACCAGACCTCCTATTTCCCTCTGGCCTCTAGAAGTTTCTGTTTCCTTCAGTCCCTTTTCCAGTCCCGCAAACCAGAAATGTACACATTACTGGTATCACCTCCCTTTTCCCTCTCTGTACCTAAAAGGTCACCATATATGATTTAACTTTATTCCCTGAAGGACTGGTGGAATGGCTCAAGTGGTAGAGCACTTGACTAGCAAACATGAGGCAATGAGTACAAACGCCAGTACCACCAAAATAAATAATTTTATTCCCTAAGTCCCTCAGCTCTATTCCTTTTCTCTTCCCTCCCTGCCTTAATTTGGATCCTCATCATTTCTTGTCTGAAGATCATAAGTCTTCTAAATGGTATTTCTGCTTCCATCTTTCTCTCCTCCAACTTGTACTTCATATTAATACTGAGCCTTCTGAAATGCAAATTCAATCAAATTACTCCAATGGCTTTATGAAATCCAAATGTCTAAGTTTGGTTTACAGAGTCCCTTCAGTAACTGGTCCCTGCTGCTTCTCCAGCCTTACCTCCTACTACTTCCCCTCACATACCTACTCTTTGGTCACACCAAGTTTAGAAAATTAACATTTCATGTTCTTTCATCTTTATGTTTCTACACAATTTGGGGTGGGGGCAATACTGGGGTTTGAACTCAGGACCTCATGCTTGCTAGGCAGGCACTCTACCACTTGAGTTATTCCATCAGCTCTTTTTTGAGTGTTTGTTAGGTATTTTCAAGATAGAGTCTTGCGAACTATTCGCCAGGGCTGGCTTTGAACTGTGATACACCCCCCCCCCCATCTCTGCCTCCTGAGTAGCAAGGATACAGACACAAGCCACTGGTGCCAAGCACATGCTTTATTCCTCTCTCCCACATCAACTAACTGACCCACACTTTACATTCAACAATCAGTGTAGGCTCTTTCACCCCTCTCCCTATGACTAAGTTGGGTATCTGCCCTTTTTGCATCACATTCGATTGTGGTGGCAATTCAAAGTAAATATGGGTAAAGGGACTGTCCTGTTTCTATGGTTCCAGAATAGTTACTACTTAGCAGCCAATCAACCAGCAGCTTATGGAATTAGTTAACCTCCTAACTGATCCACTGATCTTTTTCCCATCCCACAATACTATGTTTTAACAACTAAGGCATAGAATCTAATTAGGCCTGAATTGGTACTTTAAAGAAGGCTTATCTATCTTGACAGTTTTTTTTTTTTTTTCCAGTACTGGGACTTAAACTCAGGACCTTGTGCTTGCTAGGCAGGCATACTATCACTTGGGAAACTTCACCAGCCCTTGACAGTTATTCTAATGACAGACACTCTGGACACACTCTTTCTGGTGGCAGTTGTAGTATGTCCATGGGCATTAACCTCCAGTTTCCACCTTCAATATTTCTCTTCAGTAGCTAGGTGGGATTTTTTTCCCCTTATTAAAAGAACACTTAATAGTGTTACAGAATAATGCTTAAAGTGACTGTAGCTGGGTACTTTGATAATTTCTGAGGCTTAATACTATGATACTTTAAATTTTGATGTATTTTCCTGAAAACATAGGAAATATCTCGTTATTATTACATGCATTGCAAAAAAGAATAAATAAACATTTGTTGAACTGGGAAATACCAACTCATTATCATTTTTTATAGAATTTCCTGTAGGTATGAGCTTCTTCCAGCTGAATAATTTGCCCCTTTTTAACCTACTACTCTAAATATCCTTACAACAACTTGAAACACCCAGAAATAAGCATTTCAATCCATTAGTTTTCCCCCAATTAAATAACTAATACCAGGTTGACACTTAAAATAAGAGCTGGGTCACTATGAAATCATAAGATAGTTAACTAGTGTAGAGCCAAGGAGAGTCAAAAGTATGTGTCATGGTGCATTTGAAATGAACTCACCCAGCGATGTGGCCAGTGAAATTCTCTCTAGTCAGAGTAAGCGGGAAATAACAGTCCCTTCAATTAAAGTCAACATTAGAAAATTCTGAATAAAAGCAGCTAAAATAGAAACGCATAAGCACCGACTACACAATGAGTGTGAGGCACTGCCGACAGCAGGGAAAGTTATATTTACCTCTGCCTAGCAGACTGTTCCTAAAGCAGTGTCTTACACAGAGCAGGTAGGTTTCAAAGCTTTCAGGAAAGTGATAATTTTTGATGTTCCAACAGCCTTTTCCATTTTTTAAATGAGAAAATTGGCTCAGAGAAATTAAATGGCTCACACAAGTGACTGAACCAGGATTTCAATCTCAATCTTCTAACCACGTTACCTCAAGAAGTAGAAACTAAATTGTTTGTGGCACAAATGACCAAATGGTTTCTTCATTCATAAGAAAAATGCAAGTCTGTACCTCGCCTGTGAACTTAATTTCTACCAAAAATAAGGAAAATGGGAGAGAACTATTATTTGTAAGGCACAGTTTCATACTAGATCATTTAAACCTTACAACAGTAACACACACACATACACTTGTTCACAAATGGAGGTAAAAGAGACTCAAGAGATTGAAGTCTTATCCAAGGTGACCCAGCTCCTAGAATTTTACAATTAGTGGCTGGTAACAATAACTTAAAGCCGTTATTTATTGCATCCCATATGACAGACACTGTTCCAAGTATTTTTACTCCGTTCAATCTGTACAACTCTATGAAGTAGGGACTTATGTTTATTCTGCAGATGAAGAAACTGAAACACAGTTAAAGGGGTGTTGACAATTCCGAATCCAAGATTCTGTATAAAAAGATGATGCGATGAATGAACCAAACAGTAAGGAAACTAAAGGGCAAAACAGTTAAGGTAACAATTCTATTCTCTAGAAATGGAGTCCTAGAAGCGAGAACTCCCTTGGCATTCCATAGGACCAACATAGGCGCCGAGGCTCCATACGTGAGCCGGACCGCGGCCCAGGGGCCGGGCAAGACGGGCCTCCGAGCCAAGGAGCCCAGAAAGGACTTGACTCCTGCTCGCAACCCGAGGCCTAGTCAGGGGGTGGCCAGGCGGCAGCAGGACGGACAGGGTGCTGCGCCAATCACCAAGGTCAGGGGAAGCCAAAGGAGCCAATGGATGCTACGAAAGACGCCCGGCGGAAGTCACGCCCCCAAACTGTCAAGCAAAGGGCTGGTGGCTGGGGCCTGGGCCGGGGGGAGGAGGGTCCGGGCGGCCAGAGGAAGGGGAGGCCGGCAGGTGGGGACAACAGCACCAGACAGCGCGAGAGGTCTGCTCACAAAAAGCCGTGCTCCATCCCGCTCTGGTCTAAACGCAGCAACCTGAGTCCATCATGGAGAGGAGGCTCTAAGAGGGCGGTCCCAGCCGTCCGCGCTGGCGCCTGGGGATGCGGGCCCAACCCCGCGGTACACCCAGTCCCAGCTCCACGACCCAGGGCCTCACCTTGAGCTGAGAGCTGTCGGACACTGTTAACGAACTGCTCCAGGGCAGACGCCATGTTTCCCCACAGGCCGCCCAAGCGGCAGAGGCAGCTCGCGCGGGAAAAGGCCGCCGCTCTGGAAGGAGGGGCCACGGCGATCCACCAGAGGGCCGCAAGAGCAGCTCGACGTCACTTCCGCCTCCTCAAACACCGCGAGATCTCATCAAGCAGACCCCCCCACACACACACACATACTCGCACACTGTTTCCATAGAAACACTTCCGCCGCTTGCCGTAGCCGGAAGCTAGTTCTGTCCCGCCCCCCCTTCATTTTGTGCACCTGTGAAGTCTCTCCCCAAGTTAAATGGAAATGGTAGAGAGACGAAGGAACTGTATTCGTAATTAAGCACGTATTTTCCGGTACAGGTTTTGCTAGGAATGGCCGTACGTTTTTTCGCTTGGCCTGATCCTTAAAGTACGGCTTATTGTCATGTCGTCTTTGTTGCTTTTTCCTGTGAGGTAGCAGTTGGACCCCAGAGCCAGATAGGGTGGGATCAAGTCCTTTTCTCTCATTAGTAGCTGTGTGATTTAAGCAAGTTACCCGGCTTTCCTTTGCCTTGTTTTCCCAATTTGCAAAAATTTCAAAGTACTCTTGAGCACACAAGACACTTAAGACAGTGGACTAGCAATGTAGTGAGCAAGCACTGCGTGTTCATTCAAGATGTTTATTTGTTGCTGGGAAGACGGTCCCCGGGCCTCAGTGCCAACTCATGTCAAATAATGAGAGCAGGGTTTTGAGGAAAAGGAAATAAGACTTATTATTCGTGAAGCGAAGAAGAGAACAGGAGAGTCGACCTAAGAGAAAATGTCCACTTTCTAAAGGAAGAGTTCAGGGGCTGTTTAAAGTACAGGATAAAACGCATATTCCAAAACTTTGACTCTTAATCTCCTCGTAGACTAGTGCCACATGGCTGAAGCTGTATGTCTTCATTGAGAGGTTTTCGCTTCGGTAGTTAAGAGAGTTAAGAGGGAGAAAACTGCCTGGTTTAATTGAAGAATAGTGTTAACCTTGGGCTCCCCAACAGGGGGACAGGAAGAGGGAGAGGGAGGGAAAGATGAGAGAGAGAGAAGGAAAAACAAATGTTACTTTGAGTAACAAGCATAGCATAGCAACCCTGCCAGCATGCAAGGGACTACATCTGGGACTACAGGAGTGTACCATGCCACCACACTTGGTGGCGTAGAGTTCTTTAAAATTAAACATTTTTCTTACTAATCTTATTTCCTCACAGGACCCAACATAGAATTTGCATAGTAGAGAATGAGAAAATAAAAGTGCATTTAAAACACTTTACTCAAAACACATTTAATTGAGCACCTACAACATACTGCCTTAAGGAACTAGAAAAGCACTGGTGAGTAAAATAATCTTGGACCTTCTCTCTT